TGTCGTAGTATTGCCAGATGTTGAAGTTTCTTAGATGATGCAGCAAATATTGCCAGAAATACTAAAGTGTTAACTGAAAACTACTGCACATCAATCTCTTTAAAAGTCTATGAAAAACAACGCTTTAATTGCGCTATAAATAGTTTTTTTCATATCTAAATAGCCGAAACTAGTCGGAAAATAAAATTCAAGAAAAACTGATATTTTGTCTATAAAGCCGATTTAAAAACAACAAATTAAAATTCTACATCAGACGTAACATCAATCTCTCATATCTAAATAGCTTTCTATTCCAGGTACATAACAATTCTTAAAAGATTTTTATAGATTTCACATTTTCTTTCTCGATAATCAAATAGAAAAATGGAGATTGAATGTTCATACCGTATGGATTACTTCACACCATTCCATACTAAAACATATATTTGTGATGTATCATCAGCAAATATTATCAATCCTCAACAGAAAATTGAATCTTTCGAAGGTAAACACTTACCAGGAAAATCAAAGTTAGAAGTTGGAGCAATCATTTTCAAAGACACGATTGTGAAATATTTTCCGGTAGGACTTCAAAAATTCTTTCCTAACCTTAAACATTTGAAGATAGAACGATGTGGTTTGAAAGAAATATATAGTAGTGATATGGCAAGTCTCAACAAGTTAACAGCATTGATAATAGAACGTAACCATCTGAAATGGCTTCCTGAAGACCTTTTTGTTACAATGCCAAAGTTGTCTCATATATCATTTAATAATAACAAGTTAGAGTGTCTCAGTCCGAATATGCTAACGCCAATAAAAGAAATAATCTCAGTTGCAGCTTTCAACGACAATTTCAACTTTGATAAAAGTTTTGGTGAAGATGATGATTCCGGTATAGAAAGTATTGAAGAATTAATGGAGCATATTGAAAACAATTCAGAGCCATATAAAGAATACGTGGAACGTCTGTTTAGAAAGAAATATTCAAATTCAGTTTTTCAAGGATTTGCAGAGTTATGGAATAGCGAAAAATTTTCAGATTTCATTATAAAAGTCGATTCGCGGGAATTTAAAGTTCACAAACTTGTTCTTGCATGCCAAAGTTCAGTTTTTTCCGCAATGTTTGAGAACGAAATGCAAGAAAATCAATTAAATGAAATGAAAATTGAAGACTTCAATGTGCCAGCAGTTTACGACTTTTTGCGTTATCTCTATAAAGGAGAGATCACGAATATCTTAAACGGAATGGATTTGTTTGCACTTTCAATGAAATATGACGTATCAACACTTAAAGAATTATCTCAGAAAATGATTTTGGAAAATATAAATAAATCGAATGCTGTTGAAATTCTTCATCTCGGTCATCTCTATTGCTCGGAAGTATTAAAACGAAGAGCTTTTCAAATCATTCAAACGATCTTTCCAAATAAAACTTTAACAGAAAATTTAATGAATTATCCTGAAATATTTCAGAAATTCTTACAAACTAAAAAAGAGTGCGATGAGAAACTTCAGGAAGCTGAAAGAATTTTTAATGGAGAAATTACAACACATATAATCGCTTTCCATTTAAATTAATGAGTAATTCTGGTTTACATTTTTGTAATATTGATAACGTCTGATGTTTCTGATTTAAGTTTATTGTTTTTAAATTCTTGATGAATAGAAAACTGAAACTCTGATGTAATGAAACTGAATAAATTCTTTTAAATAATTCTTCAAATCTATTCTAATAACATTATTTATTATATTCTACCAGATTTAATTAATTTAACACTCACTGATTAATTTGCAGAGAAAAAAAAATTAATTGGAATGCATTATGCAAGAATGAATTAAATATTTGATTATTTTCTTCAGCATAATGCATTTCAAGTAAGTTAAAAAAACTCCTTTTGTAGATTAACATTAATTAGAAGCTGTTAATTGTAGAGTAAAACTTTTAATCATTTTCATGTACTGTCATCAAAAGTGTGTAGTAAGAATACGCGGTTTTTATTACTGCTGTGAAGGTTCCGCATGATAATTTGATAAATTTATAACCAGTAAGCCTTTGTGGACGTTGTGATCTTATTAAGATGAGTTGTAAAGAAGTTTTCATTTTTTTATCATCTTCAATTTTCCAGCGATCATATGCAGCTTTGGCGATACTTTCAGAAGCTTTTTCGACTTTATCTCCCCAAAAACTTAAGATGAAAACTTGTGGTATTAAGACCAGGAAACATACAGCATATTTAATTTTCATTTCAAATGATTCTGTAGCCAACACTTGAATAAGTCCAACAGACATCGCAAGAATAGAAAGCAAAATGTTCAGTAAATTTCCAACACAGAAAACTTCATCAAATTTTGAAGTTAGTTCAAGAAGTTTTTCATGATTTTCAATCAAAATTCCAAGTTCGTGTTGATTTTTTAAATTACGTAAATCATGAGCAATAACTTCATACAATTTGCAAATAAGTTCGAAGCATATGCAATACAAAGTATCATTTCGGTTTAAGAATATCAAGCCAGTTAAACTATACACAATTTGTTGTAAATATATTAAGAAGAACAAAGCGTTGTTCTCTGGTCGCCATTGAATAGTATAAAACATCGCCATTTTAATATCATTGGATGTCAACAACGAATAAAACTTCATGAAAAAAGGTACCGAAGCAAACACTGTTAACACAAATAATGAAAAGCTTAAAAGTATTTTAGATAAAACTTTAAGAAATCGAAACAATTCCGGAATTTTATGCCTTTTCTGATCAACATTTGTATTTGGAAACAAATCCTGCAATTCATCGAATAACTTTTTAATCCTTTCTTCTTTATGTTTAATATTCAATCCTCTGAAGTTCGCAAGCATTGTGTATATTATTAATCCAAAGCATAGAACAACATCAAAAAATTTATCTTTGTCATTGATATTCCAGACAATGAAATTGATAAAACTCCAAATACCAAAAAATTGAATTGAAATGAAAACGTAAAAAATGATTTTGTTCTTAAATGAAGTTCCATTGATGCAATCAATTCCAAGATATTTCAATATTCCAACTGCAAGAGTGAAGAAATCTTTTGTTTTATAAACTTTTTCTGACGACATCGCGAATGTAACTGAACGTGATTTTTTATTATCTGAAATTTGCAACCTGCGTTAAGTTTTCTTAAGTCTCGTAAAATTCTTTGCAAATTATACGCTTTCGCCTTTATCAATATTTATGTTGCATGTTGATTAATTATTTCTATGGTTCATTAAATACTCAGATGGAATGTAAATAAAAGAATCAACACATGTTGAGTTGTTTCCCTCTGAGTGGTTTTCAGACCAAAATTTCTTTTTCAACTTCATAAAATTTATCAAAATGAAAGTTCAAGAAATTAATGAAAATTAATTAATTGAAAGTAATTAATTGATTGACTTCAAAAATCATTTAAAAAGCAGTTGAAAAACAACTTTCAAATATTTCCCAATAGAAAAGCTTCTTAAAAAGCTTTTCACTGGAATGTGGAATTTTCCAATGAAAAATCATCAAAACTTTTAAGGAATCTCAACATCATTCGCGAGATAACTTCCGATCAAGTCAGATTAACTTTTTGTGTTGCTTTGCAAATATTTATATCTAAGACCTAAATACCTACATTGGTTTAAAAGAGATTTAAATGAAAATATTCCTGACACATGTTGACTATTTCTGTGATAAAAGGAAAAACAAATTGAAAGAAAACTTTAATTAAAAATAAGAAAAGTTTATTAAAGAAAAAAAGAGATTTTATATTTATTCAATCTATGTGAAGTTATTCGAATGCTACAAGGTGGAAATATTTCATTAACTTAAACATAAAGTGGAACAAATGCTCGTGGTTGTCCCTTGTATAGTGAAAAACAAAAACTTACGGACAGTTTGATCCAAACTCATTTTCTCTTATGGTTTAACTATCTACATAAACTTCATCAGCAATAACTGTAAGTTTTCATGAGATTCTCATGATAAGAGATAATCTTGAACGAAAAGAAAAGTTTTTTTATTAAGTTTTGTTATAATTTCCGAGATGATTATTAACAAAAATGTTTTTGTTCATCAATAATTAATTTCATCTGCTGAAATATTTTCTTCCTTGTTCACTTTTACTTATAATCGATTGCAGAAATTAAATGATTTGTGGTAATGTTTCAGGTTACTGATCAATCAATTTAGAAAATTCCCCAGGAAATTGCTTGAATTTTTACAACATATCATTCTAATAATAAATCAAATTTGAGTGAATGAACTTATGTTGTCCCTTCTCGAGAATGTTTTTATCTCATCGAATTTTCTCCACATTTGTCAACCCAAACATATCGATTTTTATGTCGTTTCTTCCCATTTGCCGTTGACATTTTCCTTTTGGGATTTTAATCATTGACATTTTGCATTTTTTATCAGATCAATGTTGAAGCCCATAAAGTTTAATGAACATCTAAATTAGATGTCTAATTCGCTTTCTTATCATTTTTCATAATCAAGAAGCTGTTGCTCAAAACAAATTTAAAAAATTGTGAAGGTCGTGTGCATGGTTCTTGTATTTACATATACCCAAACCACTTATTGAATACATTAATAACATTCAACCTGAGCTTTCCTTATTTCCAGAGAACGATTCATTTCCATTAACTCTCCTTTCCCTTTTTCATTTTTGCTGCTTGTAGAATTAAAGTTTATTATTTTGATGGTGCAGTTGGTTACCAGGACTCATTGGATAACGTCATAGCTTGTTTCAATGAAATATTCCTTTCTAAAATAAAACATAACATAAAAAGTTCGTGTTAAATTGCTTTGACGTAAAAGTAAACGCGCAAAGATATTTATAAATAGCAATCAAAAGATTTACTACACAAATTAAGTTTCTAAGTTCATAAGAATGATGGCTGAAAAGGTATAAATTATTTTTCTCTTTTATTTATGTTGTATGCTTGATTTTAACAAGAGGGTCATGGTTAAGTGGGTGCGTGGGAGTGAGAGAAGGAAGAAGAAGAGAGAGACGTGTTGGGAACATTTGTTGAAAGAGTGCAGGGGCTTCAACGATACCTTTTCTCTTTCCTAAAAACAATATTTTTTATTGATTTATGCTTCAAAAATGTTAAGGACAATGAGACGTAGAAGTTTGACTTAGTAGAGGGAAAGAATTTATTGATTTTATAATTTTTCCATGATCCATCTTTTCAATGTCTGTAAAATTGTGAATAATTCATCGAAAATTAAGTTGAATAGAAATTTACGTTCTTGATGTTTTAAGAAGATTGCTTTAATGTGATTTAAATGAAATCTGGTTAAAACTGTTTTGTTTAACTACTTTCCCCCCATAACGTCTTTATGCTTCGTACGGTTTAACATAATTTAAATGAATTAAAACTTTAACAAAACTTTAATGGTTTATGTGACTAGAAAATTAATTTATGTGACAACGCAATAAATTTAATGTTTACTAAAAGGCAACGATAAAAATTTCAAGGATGTCACAAAATTAAATAAAACATCAAAGAGAAATGTTTTTAAAAGGATTTTTTCTCTCTATGGATGGAAATATTAATTTTTTCTTCTAAATATCTTAATTTCCCAAAAGAAGACATTAAGCTAAACAATAATAAAAAAATGTTTTGAAATCTTTCGAAAAATCTTTCTTTCTTTAAAACAGCATAAATAATTCAGAAATATTTTTACTTCTGTTCGAAATGCCAAGTCATTGTTAAATTAAGGAATATAAAACGCAGAATTTCAGAAACAATGATTAATGTTGCTTTTATGAGCATCTCAATCCAATATGAAGTGAAATTTAATTAACTTATGGAACGTGAATTGAGGTGAATGTTCAAGACTTTCCTTCCATGTCGTTTCAATGAATTTACGGTGACAAAGAAATCTAATTTCAATTCAAGAAAGTTTCTGTCTGCTAGTTGAAGTTAGTATTTTCACTCCCACACCAGATTTTACTACCAATTAACAGAGTTATTGAATCATGCCATGATTTATTCAGAGCAAAATATCTAAGTTAATTATATTCTTCAAAATACTTCACTTAATTGAATAAAATTTATAATTTCAATTTATTCTTGGAACCTCTCATTAGGTCTTCAATTGAATTTAATAAGAATTTGAGTGTCTCATTAAATATGCTGTGAAATGTGAAAATTTGCTTTAACATAGAATGAAGAAAATTTTTTCAGTCTTCTTCATTACTATTTCAACTTTTGAAAATAAAAGTGGTCATTATCTACACTGGCTTGACCTGCCACAAACATCAGTTTCCACGACAACTGACCATAAAGAAAAGCAAACCAAACAAATAAATATCCAACCTGAAAGGGGTTTCTTGTGGTAAACAAAAGTTAAAATTCTGTGAAGCTTTGTTGCTTTGGTGATTTTTCCAGCTAATATCAAATATTCCACTGGATTGCGTTCTCTCAAGAACTTTTTCGAATAGAAAATTTCTTTTTCCAATTTTCCTGCGAAAGCAAAACCTTCAATTTATGAGACGATTCATTTGTCTGTGAGTCTTGATTATATTCGGTTCGCATTCATAAATTTTAAATACGGAAATATGAAGAAGAAAGAATAAAAGTGAAATAAAAAAATTTCTTTCCCTCCCTCTTGTTACAATTTAATCGTAAAGTTAAATAAAACATTCACAATAGAATCTTTATTTCGATGTTGAAAAGTTGAAAAGTTTATAAAAACCCCCACGAGTGTTTGAAGTGGTTACAAGTGACCTGACATTGTTTATGAATTGCAAATGTTTGCTTATTTGGTACCAGTTGGAGCATAAACTGACTTTTTTGATGGTGAAAGTTTAAGCTGAAACCACGATTAAAGTTTTAAATTTGCATGAGAAGTGTTTGCTACTGGATGTTGGCCTTCAGCATAAGGAAATAAAAATTCCACTGAGAAAACCAGCAGGTTGATTTGATTTCATCATCTTTTTTGTGTGGGTGGATTAAAATTCAAAAATAAGAAATATAATCGTTTCAGGCTGAAGTATTCGTGTTTCCTCTCCAACATCGATAAATAATTCGCTTTCTGCTTTCCCAATAGAACCTTTCAAACAGCAAAATATTTCTCACAACTTACAACATGTTGTGGGTGTTATGCTTTCTGTTGATACTTCAATATCCATCAAGAACACGAACTTAAAGTATCAAAGACAGATAAAAGCACTTAAAAGCTTAAAGTTGTCTTCAACAATTCACTTTAATTTGTCACAATATTAATTATCAGCAAAATGAATCTAGTTATGAAATCATACAAAACAAATTTTGATATTTCTTCTTTTCCTTTTTTTTATGTCAAAAGTACTTCGAAAACGTTTAAAATTTTCTATTTTTATCATTTTTTTAAAGAAGAAAACGATTTGCGTCTTAAAGGGAAGAGCGGAATTTCAAGTCTTATTTCCCCAATCTGTCAGAGTAAAATATTCATGGTTTCTAAGACGACAAGGGATGATGGGAAAAGTGTAGACCTGATGCTTTGATAAAGTAGATATTTACTGATGAAATGACAAGAAAAGGATAGAAAAATGAGAAGATATTTGTGACATAGAATCCAACGATTGTCCACTTTGATTTTCATATTAGCTCTGGCTTTTGTTGGAATGCTAAGCTTAATAAAATAAAAATTTGTTCGCTATAAAAAGGTTGCAATGGAAGTCGTGAAAAGTTAATCATAAAATTCCAACCTAAGGTTATGGAGTGAAAGGAAGTGAAAAAAGGTTTCTCGACCAGGATGATAACAAATGAAGGTTTTAAGTTTACTTTAATACATTTAGTTGGGACACAAATATTACGTAGTAATCAAATTAGAATAAAATGTCATTAATGAGAATTAAACTTTCATCAAGTCAATTAACAGTTTTAATTACTTTTGTCTAATTCTATCCTGACGAGTTTGTAACGATGATTGAATATCTTTGTTGATGATATCATTTAGGAAAGAAAACAAGAGAGAAGAAGATATTTTAATTTATTTATCTAACTAACATTTCCTTCATGTGTTCACAAAAATTACGAAGAAGGAATAAATTTTACAAATTTTTCAAAAAAATTCTGTACAAAGCAAACATCCATTGAAATTGAATCAAACATTCATCAAATATTAAGTCTTAAATCAGGAGCTTAAAAATATATTTCATTGATGTTACAACCCCCTAACACCACTCAAGTTTCAAGCTACATAAATTTCATCATGATTTTCGTTTTGCAAACTCACATCCATGTGAATAAATCAATTACAAGCAAATGAAGGAAGCTTTTTATCACGATAGAAATAAATCCTCAATTCATTCCAAAACAAAATATTTCTCCACCCACGCACCTGAAATAAGGAAGGAATTCTCGTCAATATTCAAATGAATGTCACTCACTTTGTGTCTTAAGCCATAAATTCCTTGAACGTTTTCCCTTTGTCTGCACTATCATCGATAAAGGAAAACGAATTTTGGGAGTAAACATTTCATTACAGTTGCGTGTGTTGAATGCACAAAACAATAAAAGTGAAAATTCGACGATTTTCTTGTTTCAACAATGAAGGGAAAACTTTTTTTGTTTGGTGATGTAACTTCTTAGCTTTTGAAGTTCTGCCTTCTTTCTAACCTAATTACATATCAGCCTTTTAGTGCAATAAAACACGCGGATCTAATTATGTGAATTTCGACCCAATTTCAACTTTTCATCAGCTTCACAAATAATTTAATTTATTATGTGAAGTTTGGAAATGTTATGACTTGATTAGATTAATTTTGAATAATGTTGGTTGCATTAATTCTGATCTGGTCAGTCCAAACCAATCTCAAGTTTTGCATGAATGATTAAATTAAATATTACCTCAGCTAACTCGTTAATTGTATAACAACAGTGAAACGTGATTGAACTTAAACAATTTAATCTCATCAAAGGATTTCTCAAAGCTGCAATCCACATAAAAACAATTCTTTGCTCAACAAAAGCCTTAAATGGAGCATAAGCAATTAATTAAAAACTAATTTCCGTCGTTGAGCTTCTTCAAACAGACAACGTTGAGTGTTTTCATTCGTTTAATCTCGTTAATTTTATTCAAGCTGTTTCCACATTGCAAGAACTTAAATCAGGTGAACAACAGAAAGTCAGAAAAATATTTCATTTTATTGCTTCAAATAAAATCGCATGAACATATCACGAATCAACTTCAAATTGTTTCGTGATAAACTTTTCGTCTGGGAATTCTTGACTTGATTTTCCATTCATTCAACTTCAATATGGGATTAAAGCTGGAAAATGAAAACTTACATGTACAAAGTAGAAGGATTTATGATTGTAAATATTTGATTCACCCTCGAAAGTCGCTTATGGCTTCAGCTTGTATCCATTAGGATGTCTTTAACAGAAATCGCATATTCGTTTAGCAGTTCGTAGAACATTATGAGATTTTTCATTTAATTTCATGGCTGTAGAGTAAGAAAAAGAATTGCTTCATCATTTGTCTGCATTTGTTGAGTAAAATATACGACGAGTGATGAGAAAAATCAATTTTGTCTCGCTGATGTTCAAGGAAAGAGAAAAATTTTCTCCATTATTGAAGCATTAATTTTGATTTTATGTTTTGATGTTCTTCGTATTTTTATTTTGCTTTTTATCTTTTAACTTCTAAGGCGCTTAAGCGGGATAAAAAAAGAAATTCAAACAACCAAAAGCCATTTAAATCGATATTAATGAAGTTTTATTACGATATTGCGCAAGTTTAAGAAAAATCTCATTTTAAAAAAAGAAGTTTTGAGAAAGCAGTGAACTTGAAAATTTTCCAAAAGCAATTTTACTTCAATTTTCGTTTTCCTTTTTCAGCTCTCATCATAGACAACCGCATAAAATTTGCATGGCTGTTCAATCGAATAACTTTAATTTGAATTTAAGTTCATTTGTTGTCGAGGATTTTCACATCACATGGAACACGGCGAATCAAGTCGTGATCACTATGAACGGGTGTTTTATCCGCAATATAGCGAACATCGATACTGCACAGCTTTACGATCGATTGACACAGTAAGGTCGCTTCACCAAACCGTCGTTTCACTTCGTAGTGCATTAGATGAATCACGTCAAGAAATTGAAAAGTTAAAGAAGCAAATTATCATAAATAACGAAATTCAAGACGCACGACCGTTCCATCATCCGGAGCCTAACGCTCAATCGATTGATTACAAAACTTTAGGCGAGAAAGTTTCTCAGTTGGAAAAGATTTATTATAAATCACATCCGAAGGAGGTTAAGGAAACAGACGAAGTGGAAGCTGGTAATGTTGTCAAGGATGAATCAGTAAAGAAAATCGAGGGAAAATGCGAGTCTAAGAAAGCTTCATCATTTTCATTAGTGCCTAATATCAGCATCTCAACCCAAAATCTCAACGATTCATCCATACAAAAACCTTCAATCGGAAGTATTAACAACCAAATGGCGTCGCGAATTGACGTGAAAATAAAAGTGTCATCAAACATAAACGTTGACAATAACGACACATCAACGGAGACATCGGAACGTTCTGATTCACCTGCACAACAATCGGAGACTGACACGAAAGGTGAGAATGACAATGATAAACAATCTGAAGAAATAAAACGAGAGAATCCCAGAGTTGAAGTGGAAATGTATGAAGACAGTAATAAAAAAACTTTCAATGTTGATGGAAAGAATTTAAAGATCAAAGTGACGAATGAAGATAACGTCAGTATAACGAAATCATCTGACAAAATTAGCGTTCATCAAACGTCATCCGAATATCTTAACCTTGACATTGATGACATGTCTGAAGGTGACAATTCAGTGTTCACTGAAGGCGCCACTACGCCAATTGAACAACGTCTTCAACAAGTCGAAGATATCGGTTCTGATAATGAAGCTGAAGCAAACGAAGACGGCGAATTACCACGCGATGAAGGTGAAGATAATGAAGACATTCCCGAAGAAGTTGATGATATTGAATTGATATTTTCGTCAGAAGACAACAAAGATGTGATTCAAGAAGATTTGGTTTCACTTTCTGAATATGAACCTTGGCAAGTGGGTGGCGATGCTGGCACTCCAATTCTTACAAGATTCTCAACACTCACATCTGAAGATCGAGATCGTGAAGCTTATTATGAGAAGAAGAAAGCACTCAAAGCAGCACGAAATATAAGCAAAAATAAAGAAAAATCGTTGTCAACCGATTCACATCGTGGTGGCGTCGACAAAAGTCTTGAAAGCACAGACTCTTTAAGTTTCGACAACAACAATGCTGGCGCTGAATATAAATCATCAAGCATGGAAAAGGATTCAAGTCTTGATAACACAATTTCAAGGGATGTCAGTTTTGACACATTTGGTAAACATTTGACCAATTCCGGAATGGGGAAGAAGTGGACGAATGTAAATGTGTTGATTGAAACTGACATATCAAAAGTTGGGATTGGTGATGAAAACGTTTTGGATATGGGTCGTCGCAATACATGTCCGAATCCTCCGTTATACCGGTGAGTTGAACAATCAAGTGAACCGTAAAAAATTTATGTGATTTATGAGACAATTGATACATTTTCCCTGCAGACCTTTGGTTAACCGCTCATCTTTCCGCAGTCCACTAACTTCGAAATATCCTCGGTCATTGCGTAATAATTGCACGCCTGTTACGACAAAATTAACTAAAGGTTCGGAGACTGGAGCTATTTCCAAGAACAGTGGCGATAAATGCAGCTCGTCAGCTCAAACCGATATCTCTGCACTTCCACATCAATGGCGATCTGAGACTCATCTCGTTGGTGCTGACTACTGTCTGGGGGGTTTTACATTGCCATCGAAACATTGCGCACCTAAACCAAGAAGTGGAAAAAACTCTTTAAGGTGAGTCTGAAATTACTTTAAAGAAATTATTTTTGCTTTTTAAAGCTTTCAAAAGAGAACAGCGAAAGATTTTTCCATTGAAATTGTTTTATTAATTCTTCCATTGAAAATGTTTTTTATTCAGTTTTATGTCGTGTTTTCATGTCTTTGTTGACATTAAAAATCCAATCATTGCAAAACGTGTCATTTTTAACATACTTCAGGTTGCATCACTTCTAGAATTTCATTTATTCAAATATTAATTTTATTTTTTATAACGTTGTATAATACAAGCAATCAAAAATGTTTTCAACTGCAATTAATTCTTGATTTCGTCACGATTTTAATCACGATCCACATTTTTAAAAATGCTTGCAATATTTTCTTTAAACATTATTTCAACACTCTCGTGTGCTGTGTTTATAAATTTTCCAATAACGCTAGACGAGTTTTCTCTTTTCCGTGATGAAGCTTTCACAATTTATTTTTAAACTAATAAATTGTATTATTCTTTTAATAAATTTCTTTTAACGAGGAATGGAAGGAAAATTATTGATCCACTGATATTTTTAGCACAGCATCGAACAATGCATTTTAAAGAAGACGCTTCAATTATTGTTTCAATTTCTTCTGATGCATTAAGGAGAAGTTTTTCATGAAAAATCTCAGATAATTTTCTTATTTATTATGCCATCTTCCGTTCCTTCATGTTTAAGTTGATTATATGATTCATTTAAATAAGAATGGAGCTGAGTTATCTTTGTCAGAAAGGAAGAAAGTCTTAAAGTCATCTGAATAATTCGAATTCAAATTCAAGTGTGACATTTTATGAAAAGAAAAAAAATCATCCACTTTGAGAAATGATTTTCATCCATTGAATTATTCTCTCGTTTCTTCAATTATTTTCAGAATGAAATTTCCAATATCTAGAAAAGATGATGAATAAATCAAGATCTGATTTTGATTTGCGTCATTTCTGGCAGCTCCAATTTCCTTTTTTTCCCTTCTTTACATCTCAGAATTTAAATAAAAATCATCACGAAACTTGAGTCGACATCCTCCTTTGAATTTCAAAGGTATTCATCGATCAATTAATCATGAAATGAGTTGAATACACTGAACAAGGAAATGATTGAATCAATGTCAAAAAATGATTTTGCTGTTCATTTGTTGAGCAAAATGGGAATGTCGAAGACGATATTGTTGTAGCTTCTCAACAAGCTTCTATTTACCTGTTCCTTTTATATTATTTTTCTTCTTTCAAGCTGTAAGCAGCTTCGATAATATGTCCGCTTCTTTCATTGATACCGTTAAGACTTCATCATCATCATTCACATTGAAATTGACGGTCGATAAAATTTTCTTCTCATTTTCCTTTACGTGAAAAGAAAATCTCTTCAATAAAATTAGGAACGTCATCACAAAAGCTTAAGCGAAAATACTCTCTTAATGCTATTACGGGTCGTGACCCATGTTGGTGAACATTTCGTAAAAGAATAATTACTAAAATTTTTGTCATTGCGTGGGTGAATATTTCGTGGAAATTCAATTTTTGATCCCAAAAAAATTCCAAACATTTTGCCATACCCACACCGCCCACGCTAGTCCTTCAAAAAAGAAAAATGAATCATTCTTTCATCTCATTCTTTTGAACATTACCTTTAATCAACGAGAAGTTTCAGATGAAAAATGTGGTAGCCAAAAACATAAAATTATCTTAAACAATCTCTGAATAAAGTTAACAAATAAATCATTAAAATGGGATGCTTTATACCGAATGAGATACCAACTTAATTGCCTTGACAGTTTGAATGACAAATGAAAATGAAAAATAAAGAAAAAAGCCATTTGCTTAAATCAACTTATCATGAAAATATTTCAATTGGAAGACAAGAGAAACGGAATGTAATTTGAGATTTCAATCAAACTCAAATGACCGAGAAGGGAAAATTTTCCTTTCTCCACTTTACTCACATTAGAGTTTTTCTTTTTTCTTGAAAGTTTTTCCAACATTTCCTTTAAATTATCACGAAGAAAACGATAACAATGAAATGTTTTGTAATTAATTGTATTCCATTCTTTTTTCGCACAGACTTTCCGAGAAGACACAAGAAGCACGTCGAGTGCTATTAAGCGACATAAATTTTACGAGCATGGTTCCGGAACTTTCACGTTCGGCCGATCACTTGTGTCAACAAAAAATAAACGAGGAAGACGAAAGCGGAGATTATTTTAAAGGAAATTTACTGAAAACGCCAGATTACAGTCGTGGAGTGACGCCAAGTACGAGTATGATTGCTTCGCCTGGTATTTCACAATGGACAGTCAATGAAAGCACGACACAAACTGAAGGCTTCTGGCATGATCGAGGAGAATCTTTCGACTCATCCAAAAGTTATTCACTTAGATCAGGCAACTCAAATGGAGTTCTCACAAAACATCATCGATCAAGAAGTGTTCCATCGTTTCGTTGTGCTATTTGCAAGCAAAATCATCACACAATGAAACCTTCGGAAAGCATGTACAATGCAACAAGAACCGTCACGTTTCAAGGTAAAACAAATAAATGTTTTCAAGTAAACAATCGAATTTGGGAAATGTTAAAATTGAATTTTAGAACCTTCACAAAAGATTCGAGGATCTTTGCCAGATTTACGTCACGATTGTACATGTCCACGTCGTTATGGTGGCGGACGTTCAGCACTTTATCGCATGCACGAGTCAAGTGGATCAACTGACAGTCTTTTGGAAGAAGCTGATGAATTTGTACGTCATTGCAATGATGATCCGGTTATAGTAAATGTGTCATCGAAATCTAGTAGACGATGTTCCGAAGCTGACATACAAAAGGGTAACTAATCTGTTAAGCGTAAGTGATTGATGTGCAGGGATTTAATGTTCTTTCAACTTAGATTTCCGACCATCAAAGCAATCACTGCCGTTCCTGCCAAAGTCTCCGAAATGCCTAAAACCCGGACAACTAGCAAAAGTCATTGCTAAGACGGGAAGGGTCGTTGTTGGTAGAATTCGATATTGTGGACCTGTTGCTTCCAGTGATAACTCAGATGAGACTTATGTTGGCCTTCAACTACCCCACGCATTTGGCGATTGTGATGGATCAATCGATGGAAAGAAATTCTTCGAATGGTACGTAAAATTGACAACAAAACTTAAATTGTTTGACGTCACATTTACAAATATTTATTTTTACCTACAAAGGAACATAAAAGTTTAACTCATTAACAAAGAAAATGTTTTCCTCTCAACCTTTCAGTGAAAACAACTTTGGGCTGTTTGTGCCATTCAAGAAGGTTATTATGGCATGGAATTCATAAGTTACAACACAATCCAGACTGAAAAGATAAGAGAAGAAAGGAATGATAAAGTTACTCGATGCATGTCATGTTTCATTGTTTAGTTCTATCCTTTAAGTATTTTCATCAAACATATACAAACAAATTGTGCGTTTTTAATCTCGCCTAAGGAACAGTTTTTAACTTTTTTGTTTTCTAAGCAGTTAAATTGAAAAATCAACATTAAAATAATTCTAAATATTTGTCATGTATTTCCTTCCACCCACATATGACTGCTGAAGGAACATCTGGAAACATAAATAAAACATAAACATCTGAGGAAAGATTCACATCATATGACATCGAGGAAGAAAATAAATTTATGACTCAATGTTATGTTTCATGTTAGCTTGACTGAAAATGACGGAAGACAAAATGACAAAAAGGAAATTTATGATAATTCAACAAACTTAAAGAAAGCATTTCTCAAAGATATAAAAAAGAATAAAATTTAATGGAAAAAGTTTCATTGGAAAAATGTTTGTCGTAAGTTTCCTCGTTTATATCCAATGTTAAATAAAAGTGTTGAGAATTGTGATGTTTAGTAATGAAACGACTCAAAACTTTATATGAAAAGCTTTGAAGAGGAAATGTAGATAATTTAATATCGACAACCATGAGTGAAACAATTAATTGCAACAACATGAAATAAATATCATTGTGAAATTAGAACTTTCCATTAAGAAAAAGCCTTTTATAGGAAGAAGGAAAAAATGAAAGAAAATTTTCATAAACAACCTCATTAATGCTGCTTTCCCTAACGTTACCCTTGAGCAAAGATAATCTATCATCGTTGGATGTCACATTTAGATCGTCGCCCTGAAAGTGAAAATAATATTTTTATATTCATGAAAAATAAAATGTTTGTCGCTGCAAGACAATTCCTTCAAAGGAGATTACTTAAACAGATATTTACATCAATTTGATTGTCATAAACGTAAAAAAAATAAAAATAATGAATGTTACATTACATACAATAGATGAAGTAATAATCTTAGAATAAAAGAACGTTTTATGATGAGCTAAGACATGCTATGAAAGATATCGAAGATATTCTGACACGTTTGCCGTCATCATCATAATCATCATAATCATCCTTCTTCTTATCTTTTCGCCACACTGACAATGAAACATAAATACATAAATAAACTTATGAAGATTGTAAAATGTCTAATAAATGTGAAATCAATCAATAAAAAAAGAAACTAAAATATCATAAACAGAAGCGTAACAAACTGGAAATATTTCTTCGATGATCTCAAGACTTTTGAATCGTTGTCGACCTAGCTTTGCTATGATACTTTAATTAACCTTTTATCGTGACAAAAAAATATCGAAAGGTCTGTAGAAAGTTATTCATTTGAGAAGTACGAGGACATTTCATTATCCCAAAAGCATTGAAACTTAATCGAGCAGATAATTAACTTGAATTTATGTTTTGTTTTAGATATCACGTAGAAATAAATATCCTGAAATGAAACTTGAAGTTTTCGGATAATTATGTCCTTTAGCAAATTACTTAAACCTAAAGTCTAGACATCCATAAGAAAAATTACCACTTTCGTTAATTAATCTTTCCTTTTTCTTTATTGTATTTTCCTGTTTGTTTATTGTTGATTACAAAAATAAAAGAAGAAATTCTAAAAAGAATTCTTGGACGAGGTAATTACATAAGAGAATTCATTTATGAGATTATCAAATTAACTTTTTTTTATTTAGATTCCAAGAAACTTTTTGAATGAAAATAAAAATCAAGAAATGAAATTTATCTACCTACACCATTTAAGTAAAAATGTTTTTACGAATTGAGAATTAAAAGCATAAATAAATTGACTTTTATGAGTGACGAGAAGAACTTTTTTCTTTTGAAATAAACTAAAGAAATGATTTCATTGCATTGTCGTTGAAAGGCACAAAATTTATCTTTGTTCGGTCCTTTCTAGATATCTAAAAAAGAGATTCAATCGCTTTAAGAAATCTTCATTCCAGTATCCAAGTTAAGTGTTTGTTTCATCATCTCGTAAGTTGCAAACGAAACTGCAACCATTGGAATCGCTCTCAGATAGTTGATGGACATGCCCCGGTAAAGTCCTTTCACAACACCATTTTCAGAGTAGATAAGCTTCAATGTACTCCACATGCCAATGCTGTAAAAGAAATAAAAGTAAAGAATTAAAGATTGTTCAACTAACATCATTAATCTTCATGGTCAATTTATTTATCGAAATCGTTTTAAGTGACTACTTACGGGCTATGTAAATGTTCCAACAACAAAGATAGTTGGAAGATTGATAGATTATGAGGTTAGTGAGACGAAAACAAAGATATTATAAGAACGAAAGTTAAAATATCCATCCAGGTCCATTGTGTTATGTACATAAATATAAAAAGTATATAATGGAGATTAGTTTTCCTTCAACCACCAAAATTAAAAAAATTAAACATTTCACGAACCATGAAAACATTAACAAGGAGCTGAGGTGTTAAACGAATCACTTTCATAAATAAATAATTAAAAGATGACGAGTCAGGTCAATGTTACTTTAAGTGAAGAAATGACAAGAGACACGAAAATAATTTTAAATAAAATGAACGTCGCATGTTTGAAGCATTTCAGCAATAATTTATGTGATTGAATTTTGATCTTCCATTCCAGCGAAAATGCTTCAACTCAACTCAAACCTTAATTCAGGGATTGTAGACAGTTCACATTTTCACTTGAACTTTTCATTTCAAGCCCAGGATTTACATTAATTTTTTTGTAAAGATTTCCATTAAAAAAAATTTGAATAATTCAAGCAACAAAAAATGAATTATTTATTTAATTCTTTTAAAATGAAATCTTTCCCATCTTTGGTATTCAATAAAGAAATAACAAGAATTTCATTCCAATCCTTTCCCTTTTTTTCTTCTCGTCGCTTTGATTTCATTACAAGATTATTTCGCTTCCACTTTTTCATAACAAACAAAGTTAAAAATAAACTTTTGTTTGTCGTTTATCTATAATTTACATCTGTATTTTTAGCTATTCACGATGCTATTTTACGTCGTAGGTCAAAGTCAAATATATTCACTGACCATTTAAAATCAGCCCAAGAAAATGGACACTTTTCACAAAAGAATAACGAAATGACAAAATCTTGACAAAATCTTTAAAGTGTGAGAAAATAAATCTCGTGATAATTTTTTTTTTCTTTTCATATTTCACGAATTAAACGCATGATGTGATAAGTCAACACCGATTTGTCGATGATGATAAAATTTCGTTTGCATAATATCATGAAAAAAGAAGAAGAGAAATAAAACCATAAAGATAAACACCACCCGGATGATTATCCAAGAAAATTGTTTATGTAGTAAAATGAAATAAGCTCCAAGAGACTATAAAAGCTATCAACAATGTCGCGCTAATGATTGTTGATTTTTTTAATCATTGTAAGCGTCTTTATTGGTTTTTTAATTTCATGCTTTGCGTCTTCTAAGTATAAACTTAAATCATTCAAATCCCTTTAACTACCTCAACTTCATTAACATCCTTCACCGTTTTCAAAGCATTGCAATGTTCATTATGAATGTCTCACCCAAACTTTGCTGTCTCTGGATTCATCATTGCCAATTGCATTCTCCGTCTTGTCACATCAAATGGATATGAAAACGATTGGGCAAGAGCACCGGCAAAGCCACCACATAAAAGTTTTGCAGGCACTGAAAGTACGAGGCCACCTTAAATCAAACAAACAAATTAATTCATAATTTCATATAAAATAATTAACATTGAAAAAATGTTAAAGATCAGACACAAACCTGTATTTCTTTCAAGTTTATTGCACGTGATGTTTGGTGAATATTTCATGCATGCATATTTGAGTACTTCGAAGCAGTAGAAGCTGAGACCAGCGTAGGGAACCATTCCAACTAGTGTTGGAAGGAATCCACGGTACAAAGCTCTAACACCGCCTTCTTCTTTCAATATTGACGTTGCTGTGTGAAGGATTCCCGTGTATCTGTGTTCACCGGTCACTTGGAATGCTAATCGAGCTCTTATCGTATCTAATGGATAAGTAAGTGTCACAGCTGTAAGTCCAGCTCCAGCACCAGCAAAGAACTTGTCGGCATGTCTGATGTAAGGTGTTGGACCGAAGAGTCTTCCGAAATACTATTAAAACCCAATAAGATTAATTAAAATCGTTGAATTTCAAGTTTTTTTTTTGATAAACTTCCGTGTTGTAAACTTCAGACAAAAATCTAGATTAAAATAATAAATCAACTCATCCATTACCTTCTTATAAAACTCAAAAGCTGTAAATTGTGTTGCTGCATATGGAAAGATTCGAACCATTTGTGCTCCATTTCCTTTATAAAGTGCTATGAAAGATTCTTTCTTAACAATATTCAGAAGTCCACTGAATACTCCAAGATGTTTGTAATGTGTTTGATGTGCTTGAAGGAGAATTTTAATTCGATCGAGTGGTGCTACTGCAGTCTTTGAACACATTCCAGCCACGCCTGTCGTAAAAAAGAAAGAAATCGTTTGGTTAATTGAGAGCCTACCTCAATAGTCATAAAGGAAATTACGTAATTATCAACAATATGAATTTTTGTGACAGCAATTTGTGTGCTATCTTTAACAGCCGAACAGTTTCCACCTGACTTTCTTTTCCGCTTTGGCATAGTTGTTAAGAAAAGAAAAGAAACGAAACACAAGAAGAAGTTAAATTTGTGGAATTTTTCTTTTCATCTCCAGCTTCGTTAGCTTCGTTACTAAATCAATGAATCGTTTCAAGATGAGTTGGTTGTTGGTAAAGCAAGCTTGAATTGTTTTATCGAGGTTGAAACAGATAAGCCACAGAAAGAAAACGAAAAGAAAATAAAAATTTCACACATGATAATTAAGCAGCTTAAAGGAATGCGTTGTGGTGTGACGATTGACGATGAATTGGTGAAGCTTTTTAACGATTACTTAAACATAAATTGTCATAACTTTGTAGCAAGATGTGAACTGATTTAATAAGCCTTCACTAATGATTCAACAAATAAAATTTATGTTTCATCTCAACATTGACGGAAAACCCAAACAAACATTTTTTATGTAATCAATTCATGGTCACATCCGTCTTTGTAGACGATTTCGCGCTTTTTAAAGATTCGTCATATGTTGTTAAGTTCAATACTCATCAACAGAAGGTGCATTGTGTTTAGAAGTAAACAGTAAAGACAAAAAATTTCTCTTTGAAAAGTAAAAGTGAAGTTATGTCGAATGAGAAAGAAACAAAAGTTAAGTAAAATATTTTGACGCTGTGGCAGAAAGTTAACGGGGATTTCTTCATAACTTTTTTTCGCATTCCTTTCCAGGTGGATTTTTGAGTGAATAATAAATAACTGTCTTCAATACAAAGTTACATCCTACATATTTTTTTCACATACACTCGCAAAACCTCATTTAATTATTCGGAAATACACAAAAGCGGACGAAAATCAAAGAAGATGATTCGATTTTGATTGAAAATTTATTAAATAAATATTTTGATGTCTCAAGAACGAAGCTAATATTATTGGAGCTCGATTTTGAATCAGGTGAAAAACAATTGTGGTATAAAAATAGCTGTTCAAATAAAAGGTGATAATATGAAGAAATCAAAGGAGCTGAAGCAAGAAGCAGAACATGTAACGCAAGTGGCTTGGGTAAACCCAAGATTATTTCAAATGTTTAGCCAATTAGCACTGAATGAAATCTTCCCCGACAAAATTTAATGAACTTTCCGAAAAAATTGTAAGAAAGAACCTTGAACTTCTTTTAGAGTCGATTGTTGGAAGGTAAATGAGTCGTACGAATAATCACGAGATTGAAGAAACGTGATAGGAAAAGAAGATTGCTAACATTAATTATGTCGCCAACGCTAATTTCCTTGTTAGCCTTGATATGGAATTTCATCTCATTTCTTAAACTCTTAAATGTCTTTAAAGATTCATCAAAGTAAAAAGTGATTAATGGGAATCCGCGACAGACACAGCGGCTAGTTTTGCTATTTTTTTTAACCTTCCTATGCTTCTACATACACGTGCTTCATGTATCATTTTTATGAGATCATTTTTCAAGAGTTACCTCATTCAGAATGAAGAATATCTAAGATTCATGAGACACTTCGCTCTATCCACTTGCTAAAGCGATCAATAGCAGACATTTATTGAACCGGTTTTTCGTGTATAGCCCGTTCTTTCTCTCTCTCACCCAAAAGAAATATGTTTCTTGGTCATCACATTGTGCTTCTTTGAGAAATTTTTTCAAAATCTCATAACTTTGTGTGCATATTGCTTTCGGTATGTTTACTTAGGGTACAAACTGACATGATGGAGTTAAAATAATTATTTTTTATTCGAAAAAGTTTTACAAAATTGTGTCACGAATCCGTGAGAGTTTCCTGGGAAATGTTACTGAAAGTTGTGGAATGACGTCATCAACCATATTTGAAGAAGTTTTGGGGATGGAGCCATTTAATGATAACATAACAATGGAAAATCTTTTGGAAAAGAAACCACAATGGAATGTCGTGATGCTGTGTTTGACTTCATGATCTCATTAAATTTATACTTGTTTATGCCAATTTATTTTGCTTTCCGTTTTATTATCAGTTTTATTGATTAGAAAATGCAGCATGCGATCAGTAAACTCACCTCCAGCAAGTAGATTCCGGCAAATGTAATTCACAGATTTATCTTGTGTTAATGACATTTTCTTATCAAATAATTTTATGCTTAACTACGAATTAACTAATATTCTTAAATTAACAATAAAGAAGAACTTTCTATTCGCTTGGTGCCAATTATTTAAACTCTTTTAATTATCTTTTATTCGCTTCCTTTACAAAGTTTTCATCTTGATATTTTTCCTTTGGTTAAAACGTTACTCCTTGCATAAATAAATCACTTTTCACATATAAATAAGCTCTTAATACTTGGCTTTTCAAATAAATCACTATTTACAGTTTATCCACATCACAACTGCTTCGTCTCGACAGCGTTTGATGAACTTGTTACTCGGTTTGAACAGCGCAAAAGACTAAAGAAGAGAAGATTGAGAAGAAAAAAATAATTTTTCTTAGCGTAGAAGAAGAAGTTATGTTAAGGTACGCAACGAAAACAAAAGATTGAACTCGAATTGAACTTCTTTTTTGAATTAAAAGATTTCAAAATATCAATAACCGTTAAAAATTATTTTAATAGATTTCACATAATTCATGTTTAGACAGTAAAAAAATTAATGTTGAAGCATTGAAAAGACTTTAAATTTCGTATTTCTAACAAAAAGTGTTACTTTATTATTGCTCAAAAATGTCAAAATGAAAATGAAACAAATAAAAAGAATTCATATTTAAGAAAACAGAAGTTACATTAATTAGGATCATTCAACATAGTAGATGTAGAAAGCTTCCTTTTTTTGTGAAGAAACTGAGAGTTCTCCCTATTGAGAGAAAAAACCAGCAATTTCCTTGTTTTTTTTCCTATATCTCTCAAAGCGTTAAATGCGTCTTCGGATATGATTGAATGGAAAAGGAAAACTTTCAACGTACTGACTTAATTGGTAAAAGGGAACAAAAAGTATGCGAAGCCATTCAATTAGCATGATTGACCTGGACACAGAGTAGTAATATAATTAAGAAAAAATTAGATATTTCATTGATGAAAACTGAAGAAAATGCGAAACTTTTTTTTATTTTCCACTCAAGTTTTCTTAATTTTTTTCATCGTATCAATCAATCGACAAAAAAAGGGCAGAGTGTAATTTAAAAACAATATTTCTTTTCTTACTTTTGATGTTTCTTTTTTGTTGATTACAATTCATTCAAGGAATGAGAATTGCTGATACAAGGTATCGTTAAACCTTGAAAAATTGTACACTGTATTATTTTAATCATCGAGAATCCACCTGCATTCAAAAAAAAATCTTTTTAGAGCCAAAATTTCAATTCTTATTTGTCATCATTTACTAATTTTTATCATCAGCAAATCTCATCTTGAACAATATGTTTATGTTTTCGATTTCATCGCAAATTTTAAAATTTTCGCTCATTTTTTGATTAGTTTTCCATTTTTTTTGGATTCACATTTCAAACCCATCAAGTTTATTGGCTTTTTTTTCTTCATTTATAATTCTTCGTAAATCCTTTATAATATGATTTTTTGTTGTTGTTATTAATTTTTTTAATTAAATGTTGGTTGGTTGTGAATGTATTCTTCGTTTGTTTTTAAGCCTTCCATGAAGTTGAAGAGGAATTTCGTGGGGAGGAAAAAAGGGAGTGAAGATGATGCAATGCATGTAAAAACCGGGCATATTTGTCCAACTGATCCATGAATTTATCTCTCATACAATCGCGGATTTCTTCATTTTTGTAATCGAAGAAAGGCAACTCAAAAAATGTGTAGAAAATATTCCCTCGATTTAAGACAATTAAGCAATTAAAAAAAAGTTAAACAAATTAGAATTGAAAGGTAAATAACTCCTGATGGAAGGACGCTTTTGGATAAGGAGTTGATGAGGAAGGTGAACTTATTTTTCAGCAGCGGTATTTGTTTTAATAGCAATGACACATTCTTCTCCGCAGGATTTCAAGACGGTGCACTAAAATGAAAGAAATGAGAGAGAAACAAATTAAAAAATTGTTAAAGAATTGTGAAACTTCACTTACCAACAATTCCTTGCCACCATCATATTCTGTACGCAACTGGACACCTAATTCGCCATCTGGAATCTTCAAGTCTTCACGCAAGTCACCACCATCACTCATCAAGACTAAAAATCCGTCATCAATATCAGTCAATTGGTAGTCTTCGCGTTTCACATGAGGAACGTCCATGTTGTGGGTGGATGGACAAATATCTTCATATTTCTTTCCACTAAAAATATCAATGCCGACCATGTGAACCTTAGCGTGACCGTGTTTGCCTGAAATTATTAAGCACAAAAATTATTTTCTTATTTCGCTAATCCTGCAAAATCTTTACGGACATTCGTCCCAATTTCTTCTTCTTTTATCTCTTTTTTTTCGTGATTTTCATAAAAAATGAATCCAAATTAGTTTCATTACTGTTGAGGACAGCAGATTTTAAACGAAGCACTAACATTAATGAGGTGACTGGAAGTCACGACATAACCTCACATAGAACTTCCTTTTTATTCATTTGTGAAGTCTTTGCACAGGTAAATGACCTAATCACATAAATATAGAAACATGACGTGACTCACCAGTTTTCGATGTTGACATTTCAACAATTTTGCATGGACGCTGTTTCAACATAACGAATCCATTTTTACGCAATGCTGAACATTGCATGGGGTAAGTTGCAGATGCACCAGCATCTCCAGTCTCGAAATGAGTGTCTTCCATTTCAGTGGCCATTTTTGATGATTTATTTGATTAATTCGCGGGTGACGAATGGGTAAAAACTAATAAAAAATTATTTGGTTCAGTATCAAAAATTAAAATACTTATTAATGATAAAAAAAACTTTTCAATGTGAATGAAAATTTTTGTAAATGTGGGAAAACGAAAGAAAATTATAACCGGAAAGTGTCAAAAATCAAAAGAAAATTAGTGTTTTTGTTTTTCGCGAAAGTTGAACTTTGTCTAACGAAAATGAAGAAGTCGACAATTTTGATGCCTCAAATCTAGAAAATATTTTAGATAAATGAAGTACAGGGTGATTAGTAATTTAAAAACCCATATAAACTATTGATACGAAATACCCTGCGCTATATGTTTTGTCGGTGTTGTAGCAAACAAGCGAAAAATTATTAACCGGTAAATATGCAACTTATTTATGAGTTAAGGAACCATAAATTTTATATTTATAACAAAAAAATATGGAAGATATCTAAGATAACAGATACATATTTTTTCATAACATTTTTCAAGATAGCAGAAAAAAATTCTTAGACGGGCGTAAACAAAAAGAATTTGTATTGCAGGAATATGTCTGATAAACCATCCACAAACACAAAAAAGACATTATACAAGTCAAAAGTGGTTCCACGTTTTTATAATGAAAGTTTCTTCTTGTTTTTTACACATCCCGTTTAGAAGAATATTTATAAGGTGCAGGAATTTGCACAAAATAAAATTCTAAAAAGTCGATTGCTTTTTCTTCGTCTAAGCGAGATTCTATTTTTGATTCCGATAATCAGTGGAAACTCTTCGTAGCAAGCAAAACGCAAATAAATAAAAAAGCATTTTCCTCTTCAATCTCTAGTTTTATAAGCCGCAAGATTTTTAAATTGAATTTTACGCGGCATTTTTGAGAACTGCTATGATACTAACTTATTCAAAATGTAAAGCACTACTTTAACTAACTTTTAACACTAATTTCTTGTGTTTCAACACTGTTGGGCCGCAAGAAAGATGATATTAAACGTCCTTAGAAAACTCACACGTTTCTTTGAGATGTCGAAAGAAATTTTCAGTCGAGATTCGACACATTCGAGGGGACTGTAACGGAATAACACTTAATTTTGAACCGTCAGGCGCTAAATTTAAAATATTTCCGTTAAAATATTCTTTTCAATATTTTCAATAATGAGAAAACTCTCATTTTGATTTTTTATCAGAAAACATTTTACGCTTACATGAAATAAACTATTATGTGAAGTCATTTTAAATATAAAATGTCAACAAAGAATTTTCCATTTATTTATTGATTCCATCTAATTAGCATTATGATAAAATCTATTCGTCAGTAAGTAATGAAATGTCATGAAAATCGATATTCATCATTAATATTGTGAAAGCAAAAGCTTTTCATCATAATACAAAGAAGCAATGGAAATTTGGGAAATCTGTTGAGAATTTTTACACCTGTTTTGAATGTTTGTTTCCACCTCCAAAAATAATTATCACACGAAATAATGAATGCGTTTTGTCACAAATTAACTACCTTGGTGATGTTCCTTGATGTAGCAGTGAAGACGATAAAAATTCATCATACATTTTCCTTTGGATTTCTCCTTGAAAGTTATCTAAATAGAAAAATTGTTTGATTCATGAATGCAAACCTCAGCCAATTGAAATGTTGCTGATAAGAAGAAAGCGATTTGATTGGTTGAAGACCAACCCTCGTTTCATCTCCACCCTCTTTACATTAACCATAACATCGTTGTTGTTTCCTATGTTAAATGCTTTTAATGTGTTTGTACAATTTTGATTTTCATGTTCAGAACTATCGTATTTCCTTTCATTGTACATCTGAAATTCTCAGGAGCTGCACGTTTTCCCAATTGTCCGCACGTGTTCTTTATTGAGGTGCCACTTTGTGCACTTGCAAACAATTAAGAAGTGTTTATAAAGTGATTAATATTATTGTGTAATAATAAAGTGCAATCATTAATAGAAGGAAGTCAAAGAGAACACGATGTCCAAGTCAAATAAATAAATAAAAAAGTTGATGCATAAAATTCCTACAAAATATCTCAATAAGTGTCATAATTTATGTACCTATGAAAGTGCGACCCTATTGCATAACATAATTTACATAAATTTACATGAAAGTTTAGCTGATTACCTCGAAATTGTTTTTCACTATCTATCCTGGGTTAAGCAAACATTTAATTGATTTGTCAAAGATAAAATAAAAATTGCATCTGTTGGCAGTTGATGAAGTTCGTGAACAAATGTCGAGAGTTTAATGAAGTTTGTGGTTGAGGTCTTATCAGATACGAAAAATCAATTATTTTGTGTACACAATTGTGCGTAAAAGTATTGCTTATCTACCCTCAAAATCAATTTGTAATTAAACCGATTGTCCATAAAACACGTGTTTGAGTCAATTGCATAAGTCCGTCCGGTGAAGCATTTTGAGACGTGAAAATTTGAAGGAAAAGGTTTTCAAAATTGCGTTATTATCATCAACATACAACTCGAAAATGTTCTCGATGGATCCATTCGATTTCGAGACGGTAATGAGCCGACATTTATTCGAGGGTAGTTCGATGGCAAATCATAATTCACAAACACCTGGAATGAATCATTCATCAAATTCTAACAGTTCCAATGATTATTTCCTATGTGATGATTCGATTACCGATACCGATTCATTCAACAGTGACCAAGAAAACAACAATGAGATTAAAGAGTGAGTTTTTATTCCCAGTTGGATTTTTAATTAAGTAAAATTAGAGTTTTCCTTCCCTCCAGACGAATTCCAAAATACCGTCGCATAAAATGTGCATCACAACAAGCTCAACAACGTCACGCTGCCAACCTTCGCGAACGACGTCGTATGCAATCAATTAATGAAGCATTTGAAGGTCTTCGAACTCATATTCCAACATTACCCTATGAGAAACGGCTGAGCAAAGTGGATACGCTCAAGTTAGCCATTTCCTACATTTCTTTCTTAAATGACATGCTCAGAAAAGACAAAAATGGCAACGAGACGGGACTAAATGGCGTGAAAAGGAATATCCAAAAAGAACCACCAAAAAAGTTTTACTTGAAAGGTAAGGATGATATATTGAGTAATCAATCAAAGAGAAATAAATTCAAGCTGATGATTAATCACAAATGCGTTTCCAAAAATTCTACACCAAAAAAGTTGTCACGCAATTTTTCATCAATTGTGGGCGTTTTTCTGATCGTTTCCTGTACAACCGAATAATTTGCTGTGTCTTGTCCACACGGGGTGGAAAAGGGGTTAAAAATAATGAAACGGTATGTCCGGAAGGAAGCATCCCCGGCAATTAGTATTGTTTTATGAGGTGCTCCGGGTATATATGCTTGTTTTAAAGTTCAGAGTGCGAAAAGGGGTGAAATCGACGGACAACAACCACAAGATGAAATGGGAAATTCACGTTAACACGCAAAGCATTCAACCCCTCAGTTTGGCCCGGACTAAAGTACATTATAGCGTGGGAAATTCGTTACACTTCAAACAGATGCGCTTTTAACATTTTCAGATATTTCTGTTTTTATTTCATTGCTTGAATGTTTGCATGAATGTTTTTAAATCGTTTTTCCTTTACTTTTTCATCCTGAGGCTTTATCCTAAAGAAAAGTTTTTATTTATGTGAAAATTCAATTTGAAAACAGGTGCTTTGTTGTTGATGATAAAGAAGATTATTTTGAGAAAGTCTTTTATGTTTAGAGATGTGGAAATTTGAAGGAAACTTTTAATCTTTGTTGCAAAAAAAAAGGAAACTTTCGAAATTGAGTACAATGATCACGAATACTGTAAATCATCTGAAAACACGCAAGGAGAACATTAGTTAATAAAAGATATTTTCATCCCTTGTATTCATGTTTCTGTTTATTTTATTAAAAGCATCAAACAGCAGCAGCAGCTTGATTATTTTCCCATCATCCGCCCTCCCACACACAACAGACGGAGAATACCGAAAAGAAATGTTTGAGTGTTTTTTGGTGTTTACAAAGTGATTAGGTTGTAATTTGTTACATGATGAGGTGCCAAGTGGGTACAATAGCAAGAGATAAACTTGAGAGGGTTTCCATTTGTGATGATGAATGATTCATGTGCGTGAAACTCTCATGGTAATGATGGAAATATTTTACGTCCGCAATAAGCTTTGAATAGAAAAAAATGAATGATTTCATTTACTTTCACCCTCGTTGATGATAGTCATAATTTATTTATCCAAAAGCCTCAAAAATCTTCAGTGTCATCGTTCTGATGTCTTCTAACTTTATGCATAAATAATCATAAAATTTTTGAAGTTCTTCATTCAATTTTTATTTCTCGATTCCAACCCTATCAAGTGTACAAAAGTTACGGCATTAACAAAACTTTTATAAATTTATCAATCGACATCCGACGATCATCATAATTCACCGTAAACCGTGACTAATTACAGTTTTTGGTAATAATTTTCCTTTATTGTTCCATCAAAAGGAGAGTTGAGAAAGAAAATGAAGCGAAAAAATTGTGCAGCTTGAGTCTGCTTAATGTAGTTCGAAATACTTCATAAGGGGAGAAAGGGCAAACGAATAATTTCGATGTTTATTTGCGTTGACATTCGATAGAAATCTTCATTGATACATCAGCAATGGCAACAAATTAATTTTTAAAGCGCCGAATTCTTCAATCGTCACCTGTGAAATTATTTTTTATTTAAAATTTAATTGTCTCTGATGCTTCCCTCGATATGTATCAACAAATTTCTGGTTCTTCTGGTTGTTTTGTTAATAAAAAAACTTCAATTCAATTTTAATCAAATTTGTTACGGACATTTGGTTAACCCTCGAAAAAATTACGAACCAATTCGAAACTAATTTTAAATTTTTATTTCTCTTTGCAGGAAGTATTGGAACACATTCACTCTCGTGGCATAGAAAGGGCGATAAGAACTTGAATGGTCGTTACTTTGCGAGAATTTGGCGACCAGAAGATCCACGTTCAAACATTCGTCATAATCAACTCAATGGAAATTCATTTCATTTATGAATTTAAAATTTTTCTAACTAGTCAACATCTTAAAATAATATTTCAGGTCATATTCTAGTCATGTTTTTACATTTCTTTTCATCTGTGGTAAAATAAATCATTAATAAAAATATATTTAAATTTAATATTTATTTTAATTGTTTGTTTAAATTCAAACCACCTTGAGATGCTTTCAAAAGCATTTCATTTTAACAAAATTGTTCATTAAAACAACAAACTTTGTTTTTGTGCAAAATTTGTTTACTCAGCTGATACAATTAAAAACCCATCGCCTGTGTTTATTAAAATGTGTATCTTTCCTCATGCCTTCTCATGTTGGTTTGGTGCTGCAGAGGGGTTGATTGTTCACTTCGTTTCCTGCTGTTCTCAACATCAAATTTAAGTTCTTTACAGTCAATCAATTTTTTTACTCATTTCATAATAATCATGGTTGCATTTATGAAATTTTAAAATATAACATCGGCAAATGTTTGATTTTATGATTAAAAATAATCTTTTAGGATCGGGTGTTAAAATATTTATTAAGCGGATTGGAAAGTTCTGCTGGTATGGTAACTAACGATTTTACTGATAAATTAAACATTAAATTTTTATGGCTGCTAATTGATTCATAAGAGTGAAGTCATTGACTCGTTCAGCGAAACTTTTTCCCTTGAAGGAATAATTTGAAAATGGTTCTTCATTGATAACTTCAAATCCCAATTTTGCACCAATCGATTGAGATTGCCTTGCCGACCATAAAGCAGCGACAACTTTAGGTTGACTTTGATCACTTTTCAAATATTTGTCAACATCTTTTCCTTGCTTCAACTGTTTAGCTAATTCAACAGAATATTTCACTAAATTGAATCCAATTCCAAGCTTTCCATAATCTTCAAGAACAGCGAGGAACATAATTTCGACAAGAGAGTCAACCCCAAAATGTTCAAAGACATCAACTTTGCTGTCTGCTGCAATCATGAAGTTCATCAAATTAATTGAGCTTTCGTTTCTGCATTTGTCACGGAAGGTTTCAAAGAAAGTTGGACCTTCTGAATTTAGAAGTTTTTGCTGTTGAAAGTAATTAAAATTTTTATTTTTACAGTCATTTTTAATCCAAATTTATTTTCTTTCTTTACCTGAAGAACGTTTATGGCAACTCCAACAATTTTATTCAAGTTTTTATCTCTTGCAATGATGCTGACTGAACTTTTTTCTAAAACTTCTGTACACAGCAATTCTAACTCTTTTTGACCTTCAACACTTTCATCAACTTGACAAGACCTACTAACAGTTTCGAAACGAAAGAAAGATTTCCTAATTACTTCCATCACCTGCTCGTGATATTCTGGCGAATAGGAAATTATTTCAATTTCCGAATTTTTTGCTTTTATTGTATTCCAAATCGACATTTTTAAAAATTTGACTGCACAGAGCAATTGTAGTTAATCAACTAAACTTTTCTCTTCAAACAATTGTCAAAGCCACTTGTTAGATAACCAACACAACTTCAAGTTAATTTCCTATTTACAGTTTGATGTAGTTTTATGAGAGTTGACTGAATTTTCGGTACATCTTTCTTTTAAATAATACCTGAAAGTGACAAAGTTGCTTGTATGAAGAATTCTCACTGTACTTTAAAACAGATAAGTTTAAAGCTATTAATTCAAGTAGACAGAATATGTCATAATATTGTTGTCATAATTTCTTATCTGTTGTTTGTTGAGCTTACCCAAAACATTTACAAATATGTTGGTGATGATATAATTTGCGTTAAAATTGATTATTTGTTTATTTCAAAGCAACTTTTAAGAACAAATTTGAATTGCTTAAATTTTATAAACAGCAAGTTGATTAGTGAGTGAGAGGTCATTGACACGTTCAGCATAAGTTTTCCCATTAAAGGAATACTCCGAAAATGATTCTTCGAGAATAATCTTAAATTCCAACTTCTTACCGATCGCTTGTGAACCTCTTGCACTCCAAATAGCGAAAATAAGTTGAGGCGGGATTTGATCACATTTCAGATACTTATCGACATAATTTCCTTGCTTCAACTGCTTAGCTGATTCAACAGAATATTTCACTAAACTGAATCCAATTCCAAGTTTTCCATAATCTTGTAATACGCCAAGGTACATGATGTCGATGAAAGAATCAACTCCAAAATGTTCAAAGATGTCAATCTTGTTGTCGGTCTCAATCATAAAATTCATCAAGTTTATTGAGCTTTCATTTTTACAATTGTCTCGAAAAGTCTCAAAGAAAGTTGGACGCTCAGAATTTGGAGATTTTTGCTGTGAGGTGATTTAAAATTTATTAAAATTCATTTGAAAATTTTAGAATGATTTACTTGAAGCAAATTGATTGAAACTCCTACAATTTTATTCAACTGTTTATCTCTTGCGATGATACTGACTAAGCTTTTTTCCAAAACTTTCGAGCATAATACTGCAATCTCTGTTTGAGCTTCAGAACTTTCATTAACTCCACTTCCAATGCTTACAGTTTCGTAGCGAAAGAAAGCTTTTTTGACCACGTCTAATACTTGATCATGATATTCAGGTGTATAAGAGATTATTTCTATTATTCGACTTCCTAATTCAATTGTGTCCCAAACAGTCATTTTAAACTATTTTTGATTAAATGGTGAATAGAAGCAAAAGTTTAATTTATTTCACTTTTATTCATTCTTTATTAATTCAACCTTGGTTTTGGGTTGCGTATCAACATAAATCCAAACACGGACTAAAATAATTCTGAAATGACAAAATGAAAGAAAGATTGCAAAAATGTAAAGCACTGAATTAAGGATTCTGATATCACATCAAATAATTTTTCTCGCTATAAATTTATTTTTCTATGTAAAAACATATATTTATGTTGTATTTATGCTTGTAAATCGATTAATTTTTTTATTTGAAAATCAAATTTTTCTAACTAATTTCAACGAGACAAAAATGTGCACCAACGAACTTGAAATTCTTTTAAGAATTTCAATTCTGATACAAAATTTAATCAAATCTCAGAAATAGACTGGTGATAACAAATGTTTTCCTTTTGCCGTCTGTCAATTTGAATATTTTATTAGAATAACACAAAGGTCTGAAGTGGGCTACATAGTTGTGAAATATTTATCAGTTAGGAGCAGTTTATATTAATCTATTATTGATTAAGTAGATATGTAGCTAAATATTTTTCATAATTTAATTTTCCCTTAATATGTAATTTGAACCAATGAACAAATTTTATGATAATTTGACCATCAGATTGTTTCTATATTTTCTATTAAATTACATAAATTATTTCCAAGGAAAACTTTTCAACACATCAAGAATATAATTCAAATCCGATTAAAATTCACGTAAAAATCAAAATATAAAGGCTTAAAAAATTTTAATATCTTCGTTGAGTGGCTCATTCAGATTTTAATTCAGACCGATATGATTGCCACAATTGATAACACTTCATTCATCAGCAATTTTTCATCCCTTGAGTTCTTTATATTAAATATTTAGTTTTTTTTTTCAATTAAAAAAACTTGAAAACACAATTAAACTAATACCTTTTGTAATCAACAATTGAGAAGCGATCATCATCGCTGCTTTCCATCACCCCAGTTTTCATTCAATTCACTTGATATTAGCGTTTTCGGTTATAATGTAAAGGGCATATAGGAGTTTAAACTGGGACAGATGTCGCAACGTTTGAACGGAATTGATATTGAAACAGGGAAAAAAAACTTTATGAAATTTATAATAACAATACAATTAACTGAAATCAGGTACCAATGCATTTTTTCATATGATCGTCTATTTCCCTTTGTAAAAACAATGTTTCCTTATGGCTTCAACTTTTTTCTCCTGACACCCATCAACCCTCATAAATATATTTTATTAATCTGTTATGACAACTGTGTAAATTAATTTTTTTTTTTAGTTTTCATTGACAACGCTTTTCTTATCTCGACTTATCAAAAAAAAGCTTCTTACTTATCTTAAAAATAATCTTATCATATAAAATACTCTTGTTGTGTGATTTCGATTTGTTTTTATATTACTATATTCGATAATAATAATTATGAAAAAGAACAATTATATTCCATTATAAATAATTTTTTTTATTTAGATCAAAACATTGAAAATCTATGAAAAATGAAATTTTCTTCCCCAACATAAATCAACATAAATTTACCGTTTAAAAAATTTTGAATAAATTTGATCCGGTTAAAAATATGATTTTTATCAGTCCCTCCTTCCCCTGTGCTTAACCGATAATTGCGAAATTAATTTGCCACATCAGATACAATAAGCAGTGAAAATCATAAAAGAATCGCAAGTAATATTCGATATCTCCACTAAAATACATCAAAATAAAGTTCAACACACCACCTCAAGACGCCTAAATAAAAGTTTTCGATATCCAACATTCAGGATTTGCTTTTAAATCTTTAAAAACTTATTTTTTCTTCATAATTTGATATTACCAGCTGATACCTGTAAAATATGGCTCCAACACAAAGAATAAAGGTAGCTAATGAAAAGGCTAGCAAGAACATCACCCTTAGAGGAAACGTGCCCAAATCCACGGTAAGAAAAATTGATAAGAAAAAAAAATTGTGACGGAAAAGTTTGCTTGCTCCAAACTTCCATCCATGTAAAATTAAACTTTAAAAGCATCCTGTTACCTTGTTGCACGTAGACATTTTTATAACTCTTGACAGTTATTTACGATCATATTTAAAGGACTTAAGATTTAAAAAAATAAAACGTAGACACGACGGAAAAAACAATGATAACAACGAAAGCATGCAAATGCTTCTGATAAGATACGCAAAATTTCGACCTTGTTTTGTTACTTAATTGCGCAATTTAGAATTTGTATAGAATAGTGACTACAGGTGTTTTTTGTTAGTATGATCAATGAATATTTATAAGAAAATTCTTTCTTCATCTGCAGTATCTTCTTCCATTAATTTTTTATATTAATTTTTTAGAAAAACGGCGATGAGAAGTTAAGCGTTGGACCCTGGCTGCTTGCTCTTTTCCTTTTTGTTGTCTGTGGATCAGCGATATTTCAAATAATTCAATCAATTCGGATCGCCTAAGAATAAACTTATTTTGGACCGCACAACTGAAGGAGACTTTGAAGACTATCTTGGATTTTTTTATGTTTTTTTTTCATCTAACGCGCTCATTCCTAAAACACTGCAATTGAGTTTTTCTCTAAACTTATATTATACAACAACATTGGCTATTTAAAATAGTTTATGAATTTCTGAAACTGTGGAATTTGTAAAGAATACAGCGAAATCATGTATCAAGTGAGGAGTAAGAAATATTGAAAAATGTTTTCAATCCTTAACAGATACAAAAGAATAAATCTTTTTTAAGAAACAAATAATATTGTTTTTCTCTTTTATGCTTTCAGAAAATAATAAAAAATGTTATAACATTTTATTTCAAATAGTGCCACATAACTCGGAAGTTAATTGTGAAAGTTATTACCTTGTACTTTATTATGTAAATACTTAAACATTTCTGTAGCATTGCTTGAAAAACCTTCACTTTTTAAATTACTCATTTGTTCTATTTTGTAGTGAAATAAGAACATAGAAATCAACAAAAAGTGAGAACATGCAAAATTCTTGAATAAATTTTCTCTAAGAAGAAGATGATGGAATTTTAACGACTTTTATGAATTCAAATTAAAATGTTCAGCTCAAAACGGTTCAAAATTATTTGATGATTTTTTTGTTTACTTTGTATTCAATTTTGCTCGACACGGTTGCATTTAAAAAATCTAAATTTAATATTAAAGTTTCACTAACGAGCACAATTTATAACAAAAGGTTGCTGTAAAATCATCTGACTAATGATCATAATAAATGAAAAGTCGCGTTTAATAATCAGCGCAGCAGGGATATTTATTTCGTATTCAATATTTGGAGTCTTGCAAGAGAAGGTAACGAGAGGCCGATATGGAGACGAGCTGAATGAAGATGGGACAACTGGTGAACGATTTACATTCACATTGGCTCTCGTAGGAGTTCAATGTTTCTTTAATTGGTTATTTGCTCGAGGTAAAGCATTTTTTATCAATTTATTGAACCACATCAAGACCACGTCATCTAATAAAACATTGTTGCAATTTCAGCAATTCTCATAGCAAATCCACAAGTTAAAGATTCAACACATGCAGGATATTATGCGAGCTGTTCATTGACTTATTTATTAGCCATGGTTAGTAGCAATATGGCACTAAGATGGGTTTCTTACCCAACCCAAGTCGTCGCTAAAGCTGCTAAACCAATTCCGGTGATGGTTCTTGGAGTTTTGATAGGAAGAAAATCTTATCCTATTCAAAAATATTGTTTCATCTTCCTCATTGTCATGGGAGTCGTCTTGTTTATGTTTAAAGAAGGTCAAGAAAGTAATAAGAAAGTTGAAAATACTGGTCTTGGTGATATTTTACTTATCATGAGTTTATCAATGGATGGACTCACTGGGGCAATACAGGAAAGAATGAGAGCATCATCAAAGCCAACAGCTCAACATATGATGCTTGCTATGAATTACTGGAGTTCACTTATGTTGGGAACTGCATTACTTGTAACAGGCGAAGGCAAATCTTTTCTTGCTTTTGCATTTAAATATCCAGAATTGTTTGGACATCTTGCATCGCTAGCATTGGCTGGTGCCATTGGACAACTCTTCATATTCATGATGGTCTCTCATTTTGGACCTCTTCCTTGTTCAGTTGTCACCACAACAAGAAAATTCTTCACTGTTCTCTTCTCAGTTATGTTCTTTCGAAATTCTTTGTCAAATCGTCAATGGTTCGGTGCTTTCCTTGTTTTTTCAGGACTTTTTGCTGATATGTTCATTGGAAAGAAACAAACAGTGAATGGAAAGAAAGATGAAGAATCAAAAAAATTATTTGACAATGACAAATAATGACACAAATTATGCTTAAGATTTAAAGTGCAAATGACATCAAATTTCTCACAATTTTTACAGAACACGAAATGTTTCGTGACATTAACATGAAAAATCATTTCTAATCATTAAAAGTGAACTTCAACGTACAATAAAATTGTAAATAAATTAATGTTAAGCATTTTATTTTTTGCTATATAAACATAAAACATGATCCAAACATGAAACAGCTGACTTTTTACTGTCACACGTGACCTTGAACTTGAGCATTAAAACGTTTGGAAAATATTTTCCATTGATCTAAAATGAATGTTTATATATGAAAACCTCGTTTTTCCTTCATTTTATTGAAGTCTTGGTTTATTTGAAACAAATTATTGATTTCATTTCAGCGCCAGGTTTCTTTTAAACATTCTAAAGGTTTTCTTTTTCTTACCTACCTGGGTACATGTGAAACAGAAAAATGAAACGACCAGCCAAGATATCGTCATGATATCTTTTGTTACACAAAATATTGTGATTACTGATAAGTTAACAAAGTAAATTTGTTAAGTGAACAACATATGACATCGAAAAATGTTATCAGATTATTTTCTTTTTAATTTTATGTGCGTGATGCATAAATTGTCTCATGTGTTGATCAGGCAAGCCTTCAGTTGATGTCAAAGCAAATTGAAAAATTATTTGCTCCCTTCAGTCGTTTGACGAATGCTCAAACATATAAAAAAAATTAGTTCACATTTTCTATTGCATTGTTACGAGCTTTATTTAAGCTTATTTTTATATCTTTTTTCTTTGTGTCATGGAAAAGTTTCAATGCAGATTTTCCAGCACGTTGCAATTCTTCCAATAGAGTAAAACTTGTGGCGTGATTGATAAAGAGTCAAAATAACCAGAGAGTTGTTGATCTGCGCATAATCGAAGTTGCACACAAACTCAAACCGGTGAATTTCCCTCAATGAATTTTCCGTTTGACAGAGTTTTCTTTTCATAGTATTTGAACGACTCTCACGATTATTTTCTTCTCTCATCAAACAATTGGAAGGAAAAGTTTTTCATTTTCAGTTTTCCTCGCAATATGAAAGGAAAGTTTTTCAAATTTGTGAAGAAGATAAAATGAAAATGAGGAAAATTTGATGAAATTACTGATAATTGTTAGCGGTTAATTCGCGAAAAATAAACTTTGAATAAACCAAAAGTGCCCAGAAAATCCGTGGTTAGTGAAATTTTGTTGAATTCTCAATGAAAAGCATAAATTTATGTCATGAAAAAAAGAAAAAAAAATCCTTTGTGAATTTTCCACTTACATTAAAGCTCGTGAGAGGTTAATTTACTTGATATTATGACACGAGAAGCTCATTGGAAACTTCATTAAAGCCTTGAACTGTTTGTGACGAGTTTCAATTTGAAACAATCATTAAAGAAAATTTGAATTAATTTTAAATGTTGCATAATCACAAAGGAAAATGAACGATTCTAATCGCACATTTCAGCCTTCAATTTCTATGTTTTCTAAGTGTCCATGTTAAAATTCATTTCCGACATCTTGTTCAGTTTTTTTAGTAACAATTTCAATCTTTGTTGATCATTTGCAACATGAATTTTTCTTGATTAAAAATAGCGACAAGTTAAGACCTACGCAATATTAATTCAAGAAAAAATAAAACAAGAAAAGAAACAACGCGATCAAAGAACGAACCGAGAATTGTTGCGAATGATTCGCAAATTAAATAAAACTCGAAGGCGAATTCTGTGTGAAAACAAAGTGAAACTTTTCCGATTTTGTTTATTTTTCTTTTCGTTTTTGAATGAAATATGAGATGAAAATAATATTTTGTCTGAATAACAATCGGTTTGATGGCTTTAAAATCTAAAGTGACTTAGTTTCAATGTTTTGAAAATGAAATTTTCGCGAAAATCTTGCAAGGTCACTTGAAAGGATACGAACGATTGTTTAAATCTTTCCGAATGATCTGAACCAATTTCACGAGTTCATTGCATACTTAGATGCTCATCTGCCTTCGTTCTATTCACACCTTCTCTATCAAACAAGATACCTAATTAGTGTTTTATATCGTGCTATTTATTGCAGGGATTTTTGAACACCGTGAACAAGTGGAAAATTCACATTAACTTACTTTTCTCTCCCTCATTTTCAAGTCAATAAGTAAGAATTAATTAATAAAAAAAAGAGAAGAAAACTTTAGTGTGGAAAATCTCTTACGGTGCTATATAAAAAATCTAAGTGGAATTGAAAAATTTCACCGTTAAATAATATATCGTGGAAAACGAGAAAAAATAATAAAAAAAATCTGAAGGTGAGTTATACTGAAATAAATTTAAATTGTATCAAGGTTTCTTCATACCATGGAAGTTACGTGACATGCACGTCAATTTCATATCTCTAAACAAGCTTCTAAAGGAAAAGTCGTGTGAAATTAAAATTTATGCTCATTTTTTCATGCTTTTTCACTCAACTCGACATTATTTTTACATTAATAGATTTATTTCATGCCAGAACATTAATGTATGCTTCATGTGCTTTAACAGATGTGGTAAATGAAAAACTTTTAAAAAGAAAAATGGAATCATCAGAAGCTGAATCTTTTGGTCGCTTTAAAGTTTCTAAAAATGTTGTGCCGCCAGAAACGTCTGTCGGTCGATTTCGTTTAATACCCCAAGGATCACCATTTCTACAACGCGGAAGATTTTCTGTCATCCCTGAGGAGGAATCAACTGGATCGCCTTCAACACAAGCAAAATTACCGGGACCGAAAATCGTTGTTCAGCCATCGCCCGAATGGGATTTTGTAAGTTGCTTGAATTATTTTTTAATTGGAGATTGATTTTGCAAAACATGTTTATTTTATAAAATTGAAACATTATTTATGTTGCCTAATACAAGGAAACCTCAAAAGTTACGTTTGAAGACTTCCGAAATGTATGAAAAGTTTTCCTTCCAAAAGGGGATAGAAAGTGAGAAATTTTAATATCTGTGAAATTCCTTAATGTCACTATTGAAATCGATACAAAAGTCTTCGAGAACAACAAATAGTTCTCATTAGTTATTCTAGTAAAATGCATTGTAAACATATATGCACAAATCTTATAAGAATTTCGACTTTGTTTATTTATTGTAACGAAAGCAGATCTTTGAACCGGTTCAATGAAGTTTTGTTTTTTCAAAGATAAAATACAACTTAAATGTTCCTCATTTATTTACAATATCGTGAAATAACTGACGACAAATTATATATATTTTGCAGTATCATAATTATAACATCATCACATTAAAGCGTTGTGTAGAAAATCGATACATTCTTTTGTTTGTTTTGTCGTTTCTTTATTGACACGGAAGTTCGAGTGAAATGTAGTCTTAATTATCTTATGTGGTCGTGTTTTTACTGTAATAATTTTAACTCCGCGCTATCAGTTTCGCGCAGAGAATCGTAGTGATCGCGATAGTTAAAGTATTAGAGAAGTGAAAAACAAGTTTTTATTTAGATACAAATTGTCTGTGTGGAACTAGAAAAAGTAACAAAATATTGAAAAAAATAACATAAAAAAATTGCTGGCTTCTGGTGGCCCAAAAAACCTCAAAAATATATTCGACAGATTTAGCAAATAATATATACGATTAGAGATACAACAAGAAGAAAATAGAAACAGGAAAAAAATTATTCAGCATTACAAATAATTCATTTGAGTTTTTAAATAAAGAAACCGTGGAATTGCTTCAATTTCAAAAAATAAAAAATATTTATTTTGGTTTTAACTTCTTGAGACGAGTTCTCAGGCAAAATTTGGGATTACTCTTATCAACACATTGAAAGTTACTTAGCTCATAGATCCGGGTGAGTTTAAAGCTAATTTAATAAAATTGAAACAAAGAATTTCTTCAATTGTCGTGATGGAAATTTTTTTTCGACTAACTTAAAATCGAGGCTAATAATCGAAATACATATTAAAATTATTATTTACAACTTGTAAATCGTGGAGAAGCTCGAAAAAAAATCAAATAGAAGTGAAATCTTTTTAGGATGATAGACCAACAATAATTTCACTTTTATTGGTTAAACACAAACTCATAATAAGCTTTGAAGTTGCTTGAATAACATGTTGACGAGCATTCTTCGGATATTTAATAGGTTCACAAATTCATAACGACAACAAATCAAACCATTATGATAATTAAATTTTATTGTGTGTACAAATTCAATTTATTCAGTTAACAATCAACCAAGAAATGTCAGTCAAGATAATATTTAGTGATGACTCCTCATTTATCGTACACATTAAATAATATCGACAACATTCGATCTTTCAAAAACTTCAATCAGCACTCTGTAACGTTATGCCAGTTAAAATATTTTCCTCTAATTGACACAGTTCCGTCATACTTAGTTCAATGAACTACTTTTAAAATTTATTCAATCAATCAGAACGACGAGTTTTCTATTTTTCCATTTTCTTCTGTGAAAATTGCGGATAAGAGTTTATGAAAATTCGATAAAAGCTCAACTGTCGTAAATATTTCTTTCTAAACTATTGACATTATCTGAAATGTCTGTTGATATCGCAATGATACGGTTGATTAGCTGACACATTATTGAGAATTTCAAGCAAGAAACAACTTATTTGGATTTTACGCTTGGATTACAAAATCGATTTTTCCCTCGATGTTTTATTCAAGTTTTTAAAAGGCATTCATTCAATTAATATGTAAAAGAAAATTTTATTTTGTCAGAAAAGCGACTAATCGCATGTAAACACATTGCCCTTGACACGATAGTTGAACTTTGAGTGTTCCTTCATATTTTTGTCAATTAATAACGATAACGATTATTATATCATATGGCAGATGACGAAAATTTAAGAATTAAAATTCCAAACAAGAATTTCATTGAGTTCACATGAATAAATTTGAAAAAAAACTTATCACGTGCTTTAGACATTCATTAGATTAGGTCTTTACAAAATATTTAGGATTTCTTTCATTTCTGAGTTATTTTATCAATCAAAACATTGCTTAAAGCCATTAACGCTAGAACAATAACAACAAAATTCTCTTTATCAGTTTATTTGTCGAATATCTAAGAATGACATTGTGTGAAAGCAAATCTGTCAGAAAAGTTATCGCAATAACAAATTTTATCGTCAGATAAAGATATTTTTTGTTAGTATTGCTCTGCTAAGCGACTGACTTTTTAAGGTTTCGGTAATCCAAATATCTAGCAGACAACTTTATGCTTGGTTTTCTGTAAATAAATGCAAAACTTAAACAACTGCCGCTTTCATTCTTCATTTTCATGAAAAATTGATTAAGGTTTCAATTGCTTTTATAAGCATTTCGTGTCAGGTTATTTACTTCGCTTGTATCCTAGACAAAGAACCTTTTGTTAAGCACGGAAAGTTCACTCGATTGAATGCGCGAAAACTTTTCTTATTTAATGCTAAACAAAAGCTTTTTTATCAGGCTTAATGGAAAGCTATGAAGAAGAAGTCATTGCGGTTGAAAGAAACCTTCACGAATATTTTTTTGATAGCAAAGTGAGTTGATGATGTTTGAACTTATTCATGCAACTCATTTCACGTCACTTAGTGAATCACCTCAAAGCCATTTCTGGTTCTGTTACGAACCTTCTGATGTCATTTCGGAAATTCTGAAGAACTTGATTAGATCATCTTTTAAAAGAAGATTTAATTGTTTAACGACTCGCTTGCCTTTTCATTCAACTTTCAAATCGATTTCAACCCGAGACAACTTCAATCGTCCAATTTTCATAAAATTGATTTGTTTATACATGAACTGATGATTTCTCGTTATTTCAATTGAATTGTGTGACAACGAAGCATGTTCTGCAGAACAAGATTGTTTTATGTCTTATAAATTGAGTTCAATTTGATGAATTGATAATTGGAGTGCGAATCAGCTGCTTGGGTAGAAGCTTTTAGATGTCGTGCTTCCGTTTAGAATCTTTTATTTGTTGACCAAAGGTCTCAACTTTATTGTCTTTCAATTATCACTAGTTATCGATTAGAAGAAACGAAAAACTAATATTGTTGCTAAAAATAAAAGCTGATTCACATTTGCGAGGTTTTCGAATAATATTTTCTGACAGTTCTGTGATAATTGCCTGGATGATCATGCCGCGTGACGTTAATTACAAGTTATTAATTTTCTTGTTGTTTGTCATCGATTTTCCTTCATTTCTCTTAAATTTTTTAGTTCACTCGTGGAGATTGAGTTGCAAACAAAACCCCTTTCACTGAAATGAGCGTCGTCGTTCATTTTGCTTTGTTATTGGACAACTAAAATTAAATACAATTGTGAAACATGTGCGAGAGACTTTTCTTGACTCATGAACACTGTTCTTTGTCAAGTCTTAATAGAGCCTTGAATGAAATGAAAACAAGCAAAAAAAAAACCCCACAAGTCATAATCAATCATTTAATTCATTGCTCTATTGGCCATGATCATGGAAAACGAAATGTGAGCTTGAAAATGTCTCCCTCATGCTGTCATTGAAATTCTATTTAGTGTCAAAAATGTTTTGTCGTTTTTTAAATGATGATTTGTAAACGTACTTGAAGTGAAAATCATTATGACGTCAATCCGGAAATTTGCTGATGGATAATGGAAAGAGTCGAATTGCATAAATTGATGGAACTACAAAAATAATTTTAATATTCATTAAATTATGATCTTTTCCACATGCGATGAATAAAGCGGACTCCAAATATCCTGCGTTGTCAAATCATTTGTTTACACTGAACTTAAAGGGACACTGACAGTGAGAACGTGACGCTTATTAATTCAGCTAATTAATGCTCACTCATAACATGATGGAGTTTCATTGTGGCAAACTGAAAGGTCAAGACAAATGTGGCAACATTGCGTGTAGCTTTCCTTTGCGTGAAATTTGAGCTTGCGAAGCAACAATGACAGGAATTGATTTTCATGAAGTAAATTTAATTAAATGAAATTTTAATCATTATAGAAGTGAATGTTTAAACATCTGAAAATTCATTAAACTTCTGTTTTACTTGATTTGAGTAATGTTTACACTGTTGCCGATACTTTTTTTTGAGATCAATAGTCACGTAAAATTTGCTTTTCGTTTACTTAGAAAGCTTTTTTCGTTTATATTTTGAAAAATGTAATGGAAAATCTCTTCCCATATTTTCTGCGATGCTATTTATAGATTTACGCTCTCGATACGATTTTTGGAGTATCTACAATATTAAAAAAGAATTCGTTTTGAACTGTGAAGATTTTTCATGTTTTTCTTTTCACGTTTCACTCCTCTCTGTTTGTAGGAGATTTATGATGATAACAAGTCTAGCAAGAAGTGATTTTATTTAAGTCCTAGGAGATTATATCATCACGTAAATAAATGTGAAAGCTTAAGAGATGATAAAGCTTTCTTTAGTGATGTCCAAAAAGAAAGAAAGAAAGCAATTAAGTAGCCAGTGTTTGGGGTGTGTAAGTTTGGGATATTAAATGATGTAATATCATGCATAAAATAAGAAACAATCCCATTTGAAGTGGTAAAAATAAAAAGATTCATGATCTGAAATGTCCCATTAAATGTTAATAACAATTTTTAATTTATTTCAAAAGAAATTTTCAATCAAATTAATTAAACTTCGCAAAACAGAAAGGCAAATATTTTTGAAAGAAGGTCAGACGTGAGTTTCATCACGTGATTTCATTTCCTAGAACGAGAAACGAAATTTAATTGACCACATTGGACACACAAACATTTATATCAGTAAATGAATAAATTGATGAGAAGAATTTCAAAAAGCGATCGGAACCACATGAATGTTAGTTTGTTTTCCTTCTGTCTGATGGATTAAAGCGAAAAGAAGATTTATTTTTTAAAAACATCAAATTTGGCAACGTTGCCAACTCAAAACTTATCTATTTGAGTGGCGTGCCGAGTTAAAAAAGTTTTATTTTTGCGACAACCTTCAACTTCTTCAAAGATTCCATTTCATTGATTACAGAAACTCCACGCAAAATATTTCAAATTTTATGTTTTTAATCTTTAATCGAATATCGATTTGATAATAATTACACATTGAAAGGAATAAAGCACTTAAGATTAAGTAACAAAAGCGATTTGATTTTAGACGCTCATTCATTTAATAATGGCCACGACTTGCTTGTAATCATTGACGTCGTTGATAATGTTTTTATGATTCTTTTTCTTCTATTTTTAAAAAGCTTGGCTTATCTTTGCAAGTACTTTGTAAGCTTAAAAAGTATTTAAATAAAGTTGATTGAAACAGAAATTTATTCCAAAATGAAAGCCTTGGAATAAAAAAAACTTAAATTATTATCGTAGGATGATCAGTGAAACGTGCATGACTGTCGATATCAATGATGACTTATTAAACTAGAGTTAAAATAAATCTTTGAGAATCTGATGAAATCTCGCAACATTGTAAAATCGAGAAAACATTTTTTGTTGAAATTCTGAAGCGAGAATTTATGCAGGAAATTGATTGATTAACTTTAAAGTTTCGCTTAGATATTTTTTCTCTAACTTCAATGACTTTCTTGAATGTTGAATGTTAACTTGTGATGAATTTATTTAATTGACCCAAACTCCATTCACTTACTATTAAAAACAGCGAAGGAGTTTGAAACAGAATTTAATATTGTGAGTGGTTGTCGTAAGCAGTCGTTAACGTGTATGGCAAACTCGACAACCAGCTGATGATATTTTTTTCTCTCTCTTTGCAGTTAAAGTTTCAAGGACAATGAAGTCATAAAAATCCCAACGTTAAACATCAGTTTGCAGTTCATTCGATAAACATCTATTAGAATAGCAATTGATAATCGATTCTTCTCATCAATGCTATTTAATTTATTGCCAGCACTTAGACAAACGAGTCGTTTGTACTTTCCGAGACATTTTCTTTAAATAATTTAATTGTTGTGTGGTCGCAAAAATAAAATGTTTATGAAGTGAATAAAAGTTAAAAAATGTTTAATGCGAAAATTCACTCACACATTCAACTCTTCACTGATGTTTATCCAACGGTTTATCATTTCTTTCTTTAATGACATGTTTGCTATCATGACGAAATCGTGAAATTTTAGGGCGAGGAAAATTCTGATAACAAGCAAAAAGAGTTGCTGCATGACTGACACTTTATCTAACCGTTGATTCATTCATACCATGAATCGGAGTCTTTTTTCAACGTGACTTAAAGCATTAATGACTTTGAAGCTTCAAGTCATTGACAAAAATTCTTTTGAATAGTGAAATGAAGCTTTCGGTCTTCAAATCAATTTGTAATGATTTGTAACAACGCTGGACATAGTCATAGACACGTTCACATACAAAAACATCTCGCAGGAAGTTAAAACCAGTTAAGAGAAAGTCAATAATCTTTTCAAAGTATTCAATTAAAATTGGCACACTTGCATAGAGTAATAAAAATCAGATGTTTTCACTGCTTGAATTACATAATCGGAAACACTGCTGGAAGTCTGAAATTTGATATGTTTTTGCATTAAAGCGTCAAGGTTTTTATTTGAAACCAGATTCCAACACTTTTATTGCAAAGTGGAACATTTTTTTATGAAAATGAAGAGAAATAAGTTTCAAGACTCGTACGACACGTCCTTGGGCTTTGTCAGAATCATAAAATCTTATTCACTGTTTTCAAGTTCAGATCTTTCAAACAACTTTTTCTTTATCGCATAATAAGTTGCAAATATTAAATAACATTAAGTCGTGACATATGCAACAAATGTTGAATGATTTTCAGCTTTTTAAGCGCATGATAAATGTCAACAAAACAGAAAACAAACTGCTGAAGACATAATCGATTCGATGATGGAGACAACGTGTCTTGGCAATGCAGGAAATTGCTAATAAAATGTTGCTGTATTTGCCAACGTCATGTTGATCTGAAAAGGTTATCGATTCGACGTAAGCATAAACATAAAAAAGAAAAGAAACAAAAAAATGTCAAATGAAAACTGCTCATAAATTCCAATTTGTTCTCGTTGTCATCGACGATGATGAAGTAAAAATGACGAGTAATTAAATTTCTCGCGCTCTCGTGACAGCAGTAAAAGAAGCTTTTGTGCATATATGCAAGGTGTGGGTGGCATGAAAAGTCGTTTGAAGAACGAAATGCAACCGTCGCTGTTAACGCTTTGAGTTAATTTAATATCGTGTTGAACAATTAATTGGGTCAATTTTAATCGCAATGTTTGATGTACGACGTTATTAAAACTGCTTCTCATACCATTAATAATGAATAAACAAAAGCGTGAATCATATTAACTACTTGGTTTCACATTTCCTAAAAATGTCCACCATTTAACGTGATCAGGAAATTATTCTCAATGATCGTATTTTTTATTTAACGTTTTGTACATTAATGAGATCATTTACAGCAGAAAATTGTCAACTAATCATTCGTGTAACTCAACACGATGCAAATTAAGATTTCATATATGCACATTTACTCGTTTTGGTTTGAAACTTGTCTGTCAACTTACTGGAAGTTGTTGAGAATTGCGTTAATAAAATTTTCTTATAAAACTTTTCATGCTTAAGCATTAGAAAATAAATTGTTTGTCAACGCTGCAAGAAAGCAAAATTAATGACACAGATAAGTAAAATTCATTTCTGAGAAGCTTACGATGGAAAAATGTAAACAAATTTCCATTGTTGCCAACAAGTTCAGTACAATGTTACGAGCTTAAACTTTTTTCTTTCTCTCTTCAAAGGTATCATTAAAGTTTATCCCAAGATCTCTAATTGTTTATACTTATATACAATAAAATAGAAAATTGAGAAAAAAACGTGACTCAAATAAACAAAGTAATAAATGAAACGAAACGAGATGGAGGTAAATAGAAAATGCAAACAGATTGCATTCGATTCCTCCACTTGGTTCAACTAACTTTTGAAGTTACTTTTCCGAGAGTGTTCACGTGGTTGCAATGACAACGTTTAGGAAATTTCTGAAAGTTTTCCATTTAAAATTGTGTGACAAAAGTGCTCATTGATGCTTTAAATTATCGCTAATGAACATTAAAATACGAAAACAAAATGTTTGCTTGGTTTGAGCTTCAAAATAAAACTCGACAGACTTTTTGTCTATAAATAATTTTCACCTATCGACTCAACAACCCTCGAATGATGACGATTTTCTCCTTACCTTTATTCTCTTGTTTGACTTTAAATAAACAAGGAATTTTCATAGCAACAGCTGATTTCAATATAGATTTGAACGTTCGCGCTTCTGGCAGAGAGTTTCGTGAATTTGTTTATTAGCATTTTTGATCATCAGCCAATATGAAAAAGACCCAAAATTATTCTTTTTTCACACTAACTACATTTGATGTAATCGACTGTGATCAAAAACAAATTCATCATCTCAAAACACGATCTATTTTGAATTTTCTGCTAAAATTGTGACAAATTATGAGTCATTGAATCGAATCGTGGGCGTGTTTGTTTTTCTTTTGGCTTTCGTGAAAGTCAGAATGTCTCCCAGATGCAATTCAACCTCGAAAAGTTATCGCGCAGTTGATTTCAAGAGAAAACAAAATTTGGAAATAGAAATATTTGTCATGCCGGCATTGATACAAAGTTGTTTATTTATGTCACGAAATCTTTTATCCTCGCATTTAATGAACGAAAAGAGAGTTGTAATTTTGTTGTTAGAAAACAAGTTAGAAGTATAATTTGCAATGCATTCTATAACTAGATATTTGACAGCAAACGATTTGAAGGAAAATTTATCATGATCGCTTTAATAACAAACTTTAAGTAAATATGTCGAGAATTCTCTCATGCGAAATTATAAGGAGAATCATTTCCTGAAAAGATAAATTGTTTGTGACTGCAAAGCCAACTAATGACAGACAACATCAAGTCAGATGCATATAATGACAGTTATTTAAATAATTTTGCGAATTTCTCACACAGTTTTTTGAATCATTAAATGCCGGCACTACTTTAACGTTGTGAAGCAAATTAACTGAAACTGAGTTGAATGAAATTCTTTGTCTCACTTTTTGATGTTTTAGATTGACAGAATGAACAATTTTTATTTACAAAATAAATAACTTTTTTAGAGGATCATCTTCTAGTGTTAATAGAAAGAATAAATCAACAAAAATTGCCTCCTAACATCAACAACTTTCCTAACCATCTCAGATAAAATGGATAAAGACAACGCATTGCTGCTTATTGAAGAGAATGGAAGAGGAAAAACAGAACAAGAAGAACAAAATTCTACGACACGACTGAAGCTTGCGATTGCCAATAAAAAGCTGAAAGATGATTTCTTTAAAGATAATGAGAACGACAAGCCGGGTGAGATTAAAATCATCAATGACGACTTTGAAAATAAGATTCATGAATCGCTGTTGGATATGGAACAAGTTGATGGAACTGTTTATGAATCTGATAGCGACGAGATGAATGAGAATGGAAGCAAACGGCAATCAAGTTCATCTTCAAATTCAAGCAATGACTCGGATGATGAAGAATATGCGGTGGCAAGTAAAAACACTCAACTCATCGAATCTTCAGTTCTTCAACGAAGGATGTTTGAAGAGTATCAACAAATTTCTTCAGTTATGCTTCCATTTTTCGAGCGGAGACGTTTATCGGAGTGTAAGGAAGAATCGGAATCAGAAGAAGATCTTCATGGGATGAAACCGCCCACAATCATCGTCACACCGACCTCGGAATCCACTGAAGTTGCTGGTCGTAAGAAGCGATTCATTGTGACAAAAACAAAACTTGAACCAGCAGCAGAGATGAAGCAACCAGTTTCAATTCTCAAGAAAACTCCTTCACCTCCATCATTTCCAAAACAATTCTTAACAAATTCACCAAAAAAGATTCGTTACGAAGCTGAAGCTTTAAGGCACATTTCAGCGAAACAAAATTCACAAACCATTCACTTTCCATGTTCATCGACAGTTGAAGATCGTGTTGCGGCTAAAACTCTCTTTTCACCACAAGGAATTCTTAAACCACATTTAGACCATCGTTATTTTGATACATCGCTTGTTGAAGTTCGAGCATCACAAACACTCACCAACAGCTCGAAATCTTTAGACGGTAGAGGAACAAGCAGTCGACAATTGGACGATAATGTGTGGATTAAAAGAATCGAATCGAAGCCAGCTGAAGATAAAATAAGCATAAGTAGTGACAGTAACAATGGAAGTAATCGTAATGTAAATGTTCTTGGTGGAAGCGTAAGTTTCATGAGCTGAACTTTTTCTCTTTTGCAAAATCAATTTCATGTCAAGAAAACAAATGTCGGATATTGAAATAAATTGAAATGTTTTTTATTTTTTATTAGGATGGCACAGATGGAAGTTCATCATCAATCCGACCACAAAGTGCGCCCGGTTCCCAGTACAAAAAATCAAAGAAACAAGATAGAGAGGCTAAACTTAAAGAAAAAGAACGATTAAAGAATGAGAAAGATGCTCTTAAGGTTAAAAAAGAAGCTGCAAAGCGAATGGAAAAAGAAGCAGCAAAACTCGAAAAGCTTTCAAAAAGTAATGAAAGACTTGGGGGAAGGTCTGGGTCGTTGGAAAGGCGAAAAAGTGGTGAAGATGGTGTAACAAATCAATTTACAATTCACGGTAAGATTTTCTTCTTTTTATTGAGTGATGAAACGAATTTTATGAATGAGTTTTCCTGAATTTGAAGAGTTTCCCTTTCTCAAAAACTTTATTGACTTTTAGGTATTGCATCACCGAACAAACGCCCAACACTCTTTGACGTCTTTCGTCGTAAGGGTTCTGATGGCAAACGTGACAAAGAACCGAAAATTGCTGCATCAGATCGTGATAGTTCATCTGGAAGTGGTGGCAGTGGAGGAATAATGAATAGTATGAAAGCTGTTATAGGTGGAAAGGCAGCAGAAGCTCCGGAACCTTCATCGAAAAAAGCTGTCAAGGACGGTTCAGCACATCCACATGCAGGAAGTGATGCAAGGGTAAACATTAATTAATAAAGTTTGATTAATTCTTCTTTTGTTGACTTAATTTTTATTTTTTCAGTATTATCATACTGTAACTGCTGTTCGACGAGCCGATGTTTCCCGATCACCTATGCTGAAGGTCATGGATCTCTTTAGACATCGCTCTAATTCAGCTGTTTCCGAGGCAGACAAGCGAAAGCAGGTGAGTTTTATTTTCTTTGCTTCAAAAGTAAAAACTTTAGAAATCAACATCAAGCGCCATCTGCTTTTGAATAACTGAAACTTTTCAAGTTTATTGTACGATAATCTTTAAACTTGAACACTAAAGTGGCTTTGACTATTCTTTTGAATGAAATACGAAAATGTGTGTGTAAAAGCAATGATCATAAACTTGTATAAGAATATGCTACAACAATCTAAACAGGCAAATCCGTAACAACCCCAAATTTTTTTCTTAATAACTCTTTAAGGAAGCACTTTTTAAATAGAATGTTTTTAACAAAAATATACATGTCCGCCGCCTCTATCGATCGTCTCAAGACATTCTTTTGAAGAACAAGTTTAGATCCCAAAAATCAACTCGAACTCAACTAACACCATGAAAATTTAACATGGGGAAATTAGTAACATGTGATTAGATTAGGTGGATGTTTTTGCAGTAGATTTACAGCTTGTTTCTTTCTATCTAATTGTCTCTAGAATTTTGAAAGCCCAAGAGTTTTATTAAAAACTCCAAAATTTATTAGTTGAATAAAAACATTGAAGAATAATTTCTCAAAGTGTTCATATAAATTTATTCTTCTAAGAAACCATAACTTAGAAATGGTGAAAGAAGCGTATCATTGCTTTGACGATTATTTAATAATATTTTAACAATATGAAACACAAAGAAAAAGAAGAAGTGAGAAATAAATAAAGTGTGGAAGCCAAAGAGAAGCTCTCAAAATCTGACTTTGAGCATTTACGAGCATGAGCCGATATCGGTGGTTTTATTTTTCAAGTATTTTTTCCTCACTTTTGTTTACATCGTAAGATTGCGATTGGAGAAGAAAAAGACTTAACACAAATGTTGTAAACAAATGAAGACAAAAAATTCCATGAATGAGATGTGAATTAAAAGCAATCATCGCTGTTCCATGATTCAAATATTTTTGATGAGGATTGTTTGGCTGATTGAAATGTTTACAATGCTTTAGTGGATATCGAATTTTTCAAAGGAAAATTGCTCATCTTATTTACATAAATAATATTTGAGTGTCATTGAGACTAGAAATAAAAAAATTTCCTGAGTTCTAACAACGAAACTTATAAGAATATCATGTGATATTTATTTTGAATGTTACCGGAATAATTAGAATATTTAGAGCGCTTCATCGAGGTCATGATTGAACCCGGCAATAAACTCAAAACTATTGAAATGATTCATACACGTAATGTAGGTTTTTCTTATCATTTCTGATTTATATCGCTAAACAAGATTCTTCATCCATTCTGAAATCCAAATTTCCATCACAGATAAAAAAAAGAGCAGAAGAAACATCAACACAGTGTTTGAGTTGAAGTTGTTATTGCCAATGAATAAATACAAACTTAAGAAAAATTCTCGCGCTCAGTCGAGACCATCGAAAACAGTAAAAAAAGCAAAACAATTCCGCACAGTTCGTTTAGTCGCTCGCTATCCGTATAGTAGACATCTCCATAATAATTTGACTCGAATTAGTGGTCGCGTTTTTTACGTTCGTAAATTGTTGATAATAATTATTTGGTGGCTGGAAAATAATCCAAAATAAAGAATTAAAATATTTGAAGTGGAAATTAGACTCTTATCGGATACAAAAGTTCATAAAAGGTTTTTATTAGCTGATTGCTGTTAATACTTGAGAACCAAAAACGTAATTTTAATTCGGTGTTATTTATTAATGATCGATGGAGTTTAAGCTTTCAAGTTGTTGTGAAAAATGAAAAAAAAAGTCCAGAATGACATTTAAGCTCGTGTTAAAATTCTGCGATAAACAGACGTAAATTAAATTCAGTCATGAAATTCATTTTTGTTAATCGTAGAATTGTTTCAAGCACTTTACGAAATTTTAAATTTTGATTAATGGAGATTTATGTAAATTGATAATTGCTGTGATTCACCTGATTGAATTTCATGATTAAGAAAATGATTTCATTTTCTATAAGTCGTCGTGTGACGTTATTAAACGAGCCTCCGTAAAGCTTGAACGCCATCGATTTAGGCTGAAAACATATTCAAATGGAAATCATATGCAAATTTCGATTTTTGATTCACATTTTATTGGCGTGTTGAATTTGAGAAAAAAAAATAACGACAAACAAAAATATGTCGCAACTTCGATAATCAACAAGAATAAAAAGGAAAAATAAAGAATTTTTACTTCATTCGTGGAAGATTCTATTTTTAAGTCTTCGGTATTAATGATCCATTAACAGAACAAAACTCAAGGCGAACAAGAAGAAAATGTGCTTTTGGATGCTTTGCCATTTGATTGGTCAGATTTTTTGTTTTGTGTTTTTTTTTATTTCAATTTTTTGCGTCATTATCGAAACTGGAAAAAAATGTGGTCTTGACGTCTTTATGAATTTAAGTTTCAAGTTTCAATGAATACAATACCGAAAGCTGTAGTGTGACATAAATTCTTCAATCATTTTCGTTTATTAAAATGGAAAACTTCCTTTAAGTTACCTAATCGTTGTAGGCAATATTTAAGTAGCTGATTGAAGTTCTTTTTTTTTGTTCATCGTCTTCACATCTTTTCAAGTGACTCTAAGCAGAGATATCTCTGTATGAATTTCATATAATGTAGAAAAAAAAAGATTTTTTTTGCGTAATTAAACTTTAGTTATTAAAGGCCGATAGGTCTTCGTTAATTACGCTTCATGTTGTTGATGCTATCACGCGAGGAACATATCAGAAGATAAAAAAATACGACTTGTTAAAAAGTAAACAAGAATCATGTGGTTTGTGATTGCGTATCATTGGCAATCAGTTAGTTATCAGGGCTGAATTTGTTTTCAAGTGAGAAAACATCATTTTTTTTTTGTTGTAACTTCACAAGTGCTCCAGCTCGATAATAAACTTTGATAATTAGAGAGAACGACTACATACTTTTTTTTTTGGAAGTAAACAAGCTTCTCTCTCTTGTTCTTGCCTTTCGGTTACTCTTCAAGGACATTTTGTTTCTTCAAGGTTAAGATTGTTAACTTTAATAAGTAAATGAATGAAAATAAAAAGCAATCTCTAGATACAATAAAAACATTTAGCAGCTGATTCCATACGTATGTCGCGCTTTTTATTTGATACTATGTTTTGTGTTTATCTTGATAACAATCAAAGATGTGCACTGAAAATTAAACAAATGATTAATTAATTAATAATGCTCGGGAAATACTTTTTGTTTTTATCAGTAAATTTACTGATCAGGTGCTTTGTAGTTTAATCTTGAATCTGAAACGGGGTTTCCACAATGGTTAATTTGATCAGAAATTTTATTTCTTTGTTGTTTTATCACCTGACCTCGATTTACGTTATTTTCTCCTTATCATTCGTTGTTTCTCTCGTGAGCGGACTGCGCCACTTATGAGGAAGGAAATTCTCAATTCTAGCCAATTTAAAGTGAAGGAAAATTGCATAGTTTTTTCCATGATCTCGATGTTTTGCTTGTTCTATAAATTATTCTGTTATTGTTTCTACACTGATTAACAGAGACAAGTGTGAGAGAAAATCTCAATGTTTATATCATAATATTGTGTATGGAATTCCAGAGAGGAACAAAACATTCAAGCAGTGAACTAAGAACTTCTTCATAAAGTGAGAAAAGTAAATAAAAAGAACAAATTTGTTCTATCGACTAAAGTAATTAACCAAAAAGAACAAAACCAATTAGTCAAATCCACAATGTCATATTTTACAAAACTAATAAGAGTTCCCAGTCATAATTTCGATGTGCCAAGGGAAAAGCAGAGAAGCAGATCGCTTGATGTTGAAGCTCTTGAGCGTACAGGCATTAAGATGCTGAGAGTTGTAATGATTAAATAAATTGTGAAGTATTTGCAGTAATCTCCATTGACCTTTCTTATTCATTTTAGAGGGCAGCTCAACAACATCAGCAACAGCTCGCAGCACAGAGTGAGTACATTGTCTTTTCATTTCTTTAGAATTAAAAAACTCAAAGATTATTGTTGCAAGGACGTTTTAAGTCTTTCGATAATTTTTAAAATTGAATTCACAAAAAATCTTCTTATTAACTTGCTGCGCCACCTATCAACGAAATCCCATAATTTTCGTTGTGGATTACGCTGATTCTCTCTTGCGGATTTGAATTGTTTATCATTTTAAGTTAAAAAATGGAACCAGATATTATCATCGACAATTAGGCGTCTCGTATTTCAGTAAACAATTAATTTAAACTTTGAAATATGTAAACAAATCATAATTACTAAAATCCATTCAGTTTGCTCTCGATTCTACGAAAATTATTGATTATTTACTCGAATGTAATTGAATAGGAACACATTGGATTGTTTTCCTATTCGAGTTAGGGAATGACATAACTTACGAATACTTGCTGAAACATGTTTACTATTCGTCTCTCCTTGTTTTTTTCCATTCCACATTCATTCATGTGTAAGCAGTCACACAACAAACAACAATTGTTAAATTTTCTACAGTGAAACGTTGACAATCCCTCAAATAAGTCAATTTTTGGTGTCAATTACGCTAATTAATGTGTGGTGATGCTTAGTGCATTTGAGTGAATAGAAAACAATTAATAGAAGGGATTAAAACTTAATAGAAACTTGAAAATTTTCTGTCTACGTGATACTTCTCATTAATTCATTTTATTTCTTCATTTAAACTAATGAAACTTAAAAGCAAATTAAATAAGTGTTTGTGAGTGGTATACAACACGAGAGAGAGTGTTGTTAATTTGATTAATCCAAGATTCAAAACGCTAAGATTTTGAATCTTTCTGACTACGCATTTTGAATAATATCAAGGAGGGGTAAGAACGAGCGGTGTTGCCGTTCTTGTTACGAAAATGAATAACATAAAGAAACTGCAACAATGTGAATCGCTTCCATCATCAAAACTTAATTTTTGTTGTTTTTGGTGTTCGAATATTGTAGATGTAAAAATAATTGTGAAAATTTACAGTCGCAAAGAGGCGACGTTGCAGTTATTTATTTTTACACATTTTCAACCCAACAAAGTCACAAGAGAACCGTTTGATTAATTGTTGTCACAAGTTTACTGTTTTTAAGCATCATTGTTTGGCCTTCGAGACTTGATGTCAAGCAATGTACAAAAACAAAAATTCAATTACTTTAGCGATCTGTAAACACATTCTTGCGATCAGTAAACTTACCAAGGCCTTAGGGAGAAATACGTGAGAAATATAAGATAAATGTTGAAGTTCTCGAAGTCCCACAAAGGGCCTTGTTTACAAACGAAACGACTTCCTTAATATGACACGGAATATATCAATCCAAACAATCACATCTATTGTGTGAAATTCGCTTTACTTGTTGTGAAAATACATTAAAGAAAGATTATCAGTCTCAATGAACTGAATTGTTTCAGTTTGATAATCCTAACAATTCTCAAGTTGGCGCACTTTACTCCTCGAAGCTCATCTCACAGTTAATGTCATGCGAAAAAATATAAAAATTGAGAGCTCGCTGATAACCTTCGGCTTTATTTTGCATCTTTTATGTTTGTTGTTATGCAACAAAGTTTTTTTTTGTGCTTAGATGAAACATAAGAAAAGGAGGAAGCAATGCTAAAATAAACTTTGAATAAGAAGATAAAACAAGTTTCTACATCCATCCCGATGATTTCCGAAACAATCGAAGGAGATAAAAGAGAAATAAGAAGATTCAATGTCGTCAGGTGACTTTCCGGTTTATTGCGCAATTTTTCTTCTCCTGCAACCTTCAGAGCTTTTACAGACATTATTTGTTCATTTGTTTTATTATGACGGCGATAAGACAATCAAAATACGTAATTATTTTTGGAATATACTGATTTCATTCTTATCAACTCTTTTAAACAATTTGAAATGTTTTTCTTGTTCTTTTTGTTTACGAATACGGTTTTGTTGGAGGTAGAAGAACCTTTAGAAGATATCCCACGTCAAGACGATTTGAATATTCTTTGAATCCCGCATAAATTAATTATAATCTAATATTTATTAAATGGCGGCATTCCTTTTTAAGAGATTGTCCCCTACTTCGAGAAAGATTGTGATAAGATATCAACTCGTTACTTCAATTATGTTTTAATCTCATTTGACTGAGCAATTTGTAATCTTTGTCCGATAACAAGTGAACTTTTGTTATCACACCCGTCCAGAGAAATAATGAGAAGAGGGAAAAGTGATCGAATATAAGTGTGTGCCAAACCGGTTTGAACAAGTTCAATATTTATTTCTCTTTTTTCAAAATTGTGGTCTGTGATGCCACAAAATATTTTTCTACAAGTCTAATGTGGTATCATAAAATTTAGAATATCATTTCGATGTCGTGCGTCCAACTGATTGACGTTACATCTAAGCGAGATGTCACCGAATTACGAAAACGATTCTTTCTTCATTTCCATCTTTGAAAAATAAAAATAAGTTTCTGGGTGTGCGAGAATTCAAAAGATAAAAAATGAATTAGGACATGAAACTGATAAGACTGTCAGGCTTTTATTTGAGTAACTAAATGTTGTTATTTAAAAACATTCTATTGCTTTACACATTAAACAATTTTTTCCCTGTTCACGTGACGAGAGTAATAAATTTTTCAAGCTGTGATATTCGCAATACTTGTTCATCATATGCCAAGTATCGGATAAATACAAATGTTCACATGTCCCACATATTTATTTGCGAGACGTCTAAAGTCGTCTGTGTAAAAAGCCTTGGTGAAATTTTCAATTCACTTCTTTAACACACAACCAGCATTACGAAACCTTCAAAAGTCGCTGCTGCTGAGTTGAATGAACGTTTGACTTTCAAGAAATTTAAAACCACACATAAATGTACTAAATGCAAATTTTTTCTTACTTATGTTAAGCATGTACACATCATGTGAAAAGTTTTATATTTTTAATGAGTCATTTAAAGATACCAACAAATTATTATTTTTTTCGATATCTTCTGGTGTGAAATTCAAGACAGAAAAGTCAGCAAATAGTTCGACATTGAATATTTTAATCGAGGCGTGTTCTGTTGAACAGTAAAGTGCTTAAGTGTTTGAGTAAATTTCTAAACAAGATTTTAATTCTAGTTGAAGTATGCATTTGAAAAGTAAATCAACACATGACTTCACCTGCGTTCATTGCCTTAATCTTTAATTTATATAAATGAAATGTTATTAAAATTCTTTGTTCTTAAAAACTTGTGTGAATGTAAATAAGAAATTTTCGCTTTTCTTCCATCTTTTCTTAACTTGTCATGTTTTTCGATCCTTCATCACTCAATCTTCTAGTCAAGAAGAATGTCAAATACTTTATCATTGATGAATAAACAGACCAATGTGTTGAATTGAAATGAAATGTTTAAATGTCAGAAAAAAAATGTTTGATTAATTTCACGTGTTGGATGAAATGATAAAAAGATAAAAAAACAGAACTTTTGAGTTGTGAAATTGCGCATTTAGATTATGATGAAGTATCTGAAAACAGAACAAGACTTTTTTGTTACTTGAGACGTCATTTGTTTACGGAACACAATTTTGTGAAGTTAAACTGACCAATCAAGACAAGAAGGCTCGCTTTTAAGTCATGCGATATTCTTGTGATGGCTGCGTAATTGAAATTTATTTTTAACGTTCACTCAAATGAAAATAAGCAAAAATTAGGAAATGTGAGAATAATTCAAGTGGCAAAAGTTTGTCATCGTAAATTTAGTTTAATGAAATGTTATGCTTGAGTTACTTGTTCATGTTTATTAAATATTTATTACGAGATTGAAATATTTGAGGCAGCGTTAATGAATCTCGTGCAATTCATTAAGAATTTACAAACTTAGTACTCAGCAGACCTTGGTTGATGAATCAATTAAGGTTTCATCTTTCAATTGAATTCTTAATTTTTGCTATCAATCTGTAGATACATAAAAAAATTAATGAATGTCGATAACATTAACATTTGATATGTCAACAGTATCGAAAATGATTCCCAGCTTGATTCCCATGCTGGGTAGTTTATCTAAGATATATTTAATTAACTTCCGTATCATTCAAGGGCCTGATAAATATTTTTCCATCCTTTACTCATTGTAAAAGTAAATGAACTTTCCCTCTCTATTGTTATGCATTTTTGAATTGCAAAACAAAAACATTTTCATTGTAAACGAGTAATCTCTGTGTTATTTTTAGCGCAAAACGAGATTAGACTATGAGTGTTTCTTTTTTCATTCCTGACAATTGAGTAACGATGCATTTCATTTAAATAAATTTACATACTACGCTGCTGCACTTCTAGCTTGTTCTCCCCGATATATTTAGTCAAAACTGGGACGCTGAGTCATTTGTTTTTCTGACCGAAACGTTCATTTTAATTTCTGCCTTCGTAGTGCAACAACAAAAACAATGAAAATGACTTGAAAGTGCAATTAAGCTATTTGTACCTACGTGTCCGGATGAGAATATTAAATGATTGGAACTTTTAATTATCATTGGGAAATAAAATGTTGAAACTCATTTCATATAGCATAGCAACAAAGTATTCGATCAAAAGCTTTTCTCAAATGTTTTACCAACAGGGATTAAATTTACATTTATTCAAGGCCTTTGATCTCGAGATTCTTTTTTCTCTTCTAACTCTATCGTTTTTGTAGACATCACGTTTGTTCTTTTAATCGATTTTTTTCTTCTTCTTCTTTTTCTTGTTTCGTCTCTCCACATTGCATGAATGTAAATTTTTTGTTAGAGAATGTTTGATGCTCAGCATCTTTCATCTTCTAAATCTACAGATGACCATGAACATGTACTACGTCGTAGAATTTTTATTGCATAACAATAAAAAAAGTGAAATTCTTCTTTGCCGGTTATTCGTGTTTCAATATGGCGATGTTTATAAGGAGAAAATGAAAAGCAAAACATAAATGGCGAAAATTTCAAGGTCGGAATCGCTTCGTCGCTTTTTATAGAAAAAGAAAGAAAATGGAACAACAGGGAAAGTGAAATTGCGTCGTAGGGAAAACATAATTTGAAGGATTGTAACGATTTGTTTCACGCAAAAGAACTCCACGCACACATGTTGTTGTGTAACAAAGATAAATGACTAAACATGGCATGTAATACGTTGAAGGAATAAAATAAAAAGAAATATAAAAACAACGTGGAATGGGATCAATAATAATATTACGAAAACATTGATTTTCCTTCTTCATTTTGAAAGCTAAAGCGATACAAAAATAGACCAAAATGTCTTTAAATAAAACGCAATTTAAAGGTGTGCTTAGAAGGGAGAATGAGAGAAAAGGAAGCGAGCCTTTTTTTGTTCATTCATTTGAGTCAAATTTTGTTTGTTATCAAGGTAAAGTAGATGTACTCATCCTAAATATGAATCTTGTTCACTGATCTGAAAGATAATGATGATAGCAGTGAGATTGTTGGCAAGGAATGTTACAATAAGCTTTTATGATAAGCTCAAGGATTATATTTCGTTGCTTTAAGTTTACACAAAATAACTTTATTTGCGTAAACATTCTGCTCTCGTGCTCATTCAGCAAAGTTTCACTATTGGATTGAAATAGAGTAACAACTGAGTAAATGTTAAAATTTGTTTAAGACATTTTTTGCCCCCGAAAGATGTCTAAAGTTTGCTTAACGGAAGCTCTTTATTGTCATAGCCTTGAGCATTTTCATCTTGTTTTGATTGCATTGAAATAACTTTAGCAACCGAAATTCACTCAAATTGTTTACATTTACTTCCCCATCGCTATTTCTTAGAAGTTCACTTTCAAATGTCAAAGAAACCATCGGCGACGCTCTCAAATACACATTTCAAATATTTGACTGTGTTAAGAAGATTTTTTTTAGATCTGTTAGCGGGCTTTGATTGCACAAAATATTTGCTCAAGAAAATACAAAAGTCATGTGAATGCAAGAGAGAAGAAGAAAATTTTCTTGTTGAGTTTCCATGAGGTCGACGCGTGACAATAAATCATTATAAAGTGACATCATAAGAATGGTGTACATAAATAAAGAAAATAATTCAAGTGTCATAAAATATTCCAAACATTCAAATAATCCACCGCTTGTGCCACACGCCAACCATTTGAAATCGATTAATTGAAGTGAACTGGTTGCGTGACAATTCTTGTTCTCGAAATAAAAATAAGAAAAGCTGCAATTAGGGAAAGCCTTATTTGCAACCAGTTGTTACTTTTATGTCATCTAAAAATATCTCAACTGAATGGAATTATGAAGAAAAAGAACAAAACTTTCAATGGGAAAACCTGAGCTTACGTGAGAAATTTTTCCTTTTCAAATTTATATTTCTTGAGATATTTTTTCTCATAGAGATTAAGTTTCATCATTACTTTCACTTTTTTCTTGTTTTGACATATGTAGAACATTGTTGTGCATGTTTCAGATAAAGTTGACAGAAAAGTTTTTAATCTGAATTTGTTCTGCATTCGCTTTCATGTAATGAAAAATTCATTTAGATTAAAATAAAGAGAAAGGCTACATTTGTCACCTGTGACATTTCTCGTTTTCCGTCTTTCGTATAATTTATGTCGAAGCTTTTCCGACAGAAGACCGGAAGAGAAAATTTTCATTTCAAAACTTGTTCATCTGAAATGGAAAATGATGGAAAATTGAATGAAATTTCTGTCTGAGATTCTTATAAATATTTATTTCGATATCCACTTTGAAGTCATAACGCGGGGACGCTTTTTCATAAGAATTGAAAAAGAAAATCTCAACTTTCAGGAAAATTTCGTTTTTATTAGTCTCTTTATGGTTGTTAACCCATCCACTAAATTACATCAAATAAATTTATCTGAAACGAACAGAACAAATTCAGTTACTAACGAATTGAATCAACAATAGAGTTTCACAATTTCATCTTTATTTAAAAAAAGATAAAAAAAATTAAACGAGATTTCAGCATCCGAAATCATTTCGTAGCTTCAAAACGAAACAAAACGAAAATACTTTCATGTGATTTAAAATTTTTAAATACTTATTTTGTAAACAGCAATGCTTTTAGTCAGAGTGTTTTCATTGTGCCAGTGGCATTGAAAAGCGTCAACAAAGCAATCGGTAGCATCATGTAGAATAAAAAAGATTGTACGAGAGTCTCGATTTTCATTTGTGGTTGTAATCATGGAAAATTCACGTACGCTTTTCATATCATCACGATCGGAATTTTCGCCTTTCGCGCATACGCAAGCACACGAGACTCACCCACACTAGTGCTGACATTCTAAAACGATACAAACATAGTTGTACGACACATCCAACAATGAAAAGAAACGCTGCAAGATTTTCCAGTCGCGTTTTGTTACTCACACGATGCAGATAGAAAATTCAAAGTGATTTTAACGAAAAAGATAAAAAAGAATAGCCTAGTGATTAAATGAGGGCAAATGATATCAAATCATTTAAGTAAACATAAGAAAAAGTTGCGATGAGGAAATATTTAAAATAAAACAAGAAGAAAAACTTAAAAGTTTTTGTGAAGTGAAAATTTATTTTCAATTATTAAGATAGTGAGAAAAATATTCGCTTGAATATCTTCTGTGGGAAAATTTATAAAGAAAATTTAAAGAAAAGTGTAAAGCCTGGTAAATGATGACCTACATTGTGGGATGAATGCACTCACAATATGAAAAACTAATTCCATGGTCAATGAACGTTTGAAACTATAAAATTTATATCACAATGAAAATTTTCCGGCTGCGTTTTCCATTGTATGCATTTTTAAATCTTTCATATTACGTAACGGAGATTTCATTCAATAAAAAATGATCCCAAAATATCACGAAATCTTTAAATAATTCAATGAATGAAATTCTTAGGACTTGGATAAAAGTTTTCAAGGTTTTCTCATTTCCTTTTATTCGTGAAAAACTTTTTCCTTTCTCATTGTGCTATTGTTAATATTTTTTTCGCTGATTGGTATGCGACATGTTCACTCTCGTGTTTGAATGAAGTAGAATGAAAGAAAGCTTCGAGATTAAATATTTAATGTACTTTCATATCATTCTTAGATGTTGTAATAACTCTGAAGTTGTTTTTTCAATTGAATTTCCGCAAACAAGAAGAAAACACTTCAAGTCGAAAGAAAAGCTTTGAAATTTTCCTCATAAAACAAACGTTTACAGTTTTAATGACTTAAGTTAAGCTTGTATGATGATTCAATCTGCTGTCAAAACGTGAAATAATATCATCAATCTAATGGCTAATTGATAGCGTGAGATTTTATTTCTCGTAACGAAATCAGTGAAGGTTATTAATAATTGCTTTTTACGCCATAAAATCTCGGTTTAATGTTTCGTGCTGCTGTTTACATTTCATTTCTTCAATTAATGTTTCGAAGCTTCACAACACAAAAACAATGTTTTCTCACTTAACCAGTAACCACAAAAGAAGAAACTTTCCTCGTTTGATCTGCTTAAACATTTTTGGTTTCTTTACTTTCTTCAAGAAAGGCATAGGACAAGAAAAGCTTCAAGCGAAAACGTTTTCGGCGAATGAAAATGTTCGATGAAAGTAAAATTAATTTTCCCTTCACATCCAACTTGGAAATAAGCAACATAAATCCTCGCATAAATTGTTTCTTTTATGTGACCTTCGAGCTGTTAAAAAGCAGATGTTCGGTTCGAGTTTCCTTAACTAAGTTTCAATATTGGACAAAGTTATATTTTACTCTTAAAATATTGAGTGCTTTGTACACGTCCATTAAATGTGAGCTTTTTTCGTTCTTTTTGTTCCTTAAATGTCAGAGTGCTAGATAGATGATAAATAAGCGAAGCATCAAAAGCTTTGTTCAGAAAAGCTTTACACAACATGTCGTTAAAAATAATAAACGATTGTTGGTGATTCCTATTTCAAGTATCATGTTTTTGATAGCTGCTTATGCTAAATCAACATTAAAACCAACAAATGTGATGTAATAATAATGAAGCTAACATTAAGAGAAAGTTTTAATATTTCTGCAATAATGGTTTATTTGTATCCTTAATTAAATGCTGAAGGGTTTGATTGTTTAGGCATGAAAATTTATTGCGTAATATAAGACATTTGAAGTATAAGTTAAGGTTGATTTATTCATGTACGTTAAGATGGAAATTGTTTCGAAGAATATTCATTTAATTTTAAAAGAAAGATGTTTTCCTTCCTCGCTAAGAGGAAAACGTTGAACGGAATCCATTTGCATATTCAAGTGCTTCGGAAGTTTTTTGATTTTCATGCACCTCATTTTGTGCTTTCGCTGACAACAAATCGACTTCAAAATGGGATGTTTAACAGTATTTGACAATTCTAGGAAAATCTTCTTACAAACGACTGAATAAAATGAAAGGAACGATGAACTCAAGTAGACCTTTGACATTTTGTCATCGAAATATGATGAGAAGCTTAGGAAAACCCTTCAAAAAATGTAACGATTTGAATCTCTCAATTGCCTGAAGTTTGTTTTTCAACACTTCATTCATTGATTAAAAGCTTGACGAGTTGAGTAACCATTGAATGAACTTCTCGGTTAGGGTTGCGGAAAAAATTAATAAGAAAAGAGGACAAACGACTTCTTGTTAAGAAACGCGTAAATTATAAATTGCGGATTAAAAAGTGATGTTAATTCATGTTGAATTTTTAATGAGCATATTTTCAAACAAAATTCTAATAAATAATTTAAATAGCTTCGTTAATTGAATTTATCTCACGTTTAACTTGAACTTTCTAACCTTTGTTGTTTTAGAAGGAAAAGTTTAGCTTCAAAAAGCGAAAACTTTCCAAGATTTTATAAAAATATTGTAAATATGCTACAGCACGAAGACTTGTCGATCTAATGTAAAGAGACTCACTGAAAAATTGACAAAGAAATTGTGTAAATATTTAAAGAAAATGTATCAACTAAGAAAGCCAATTATAAAGTCAACTTATGCTTAAGTTAAACGTGATTTAAAAAGCATAAATAGCATCGTCAATTTCTTCAGACTCGTTCTTTAAAAACAAGTTTATTATCTTAAAGTGAGTAAAAGTCACAGTTGCCGATTCTCAATTTTCAATTTATATAGACGTCTATAAATGACAAAACCAGTTTTGTCTTGCGAAATTAATTGGAATTAAATACAATTTCAGAGCAATTTAAGAGATATTAAGACATAAAAGATGCTTTTGCGCGATGCCATCAATCATTGTCAGCAGAAATTAAAAAATTTAATTTTCATTTCCGAGACTTTTCTTTGTTTTAATTCTTTATCTTAAATTGCAGTTTAAAGTGAGTTGAGCAAGTACTTGAGATCGGTTGTTGATCGATGTAAACCTTCATTTGTTTGTTGAAAATATTTAAATTTGTAATCAGTTGAAACAAACGTAAACAATGAGTCTGCTTTTGCTATCGCTGATGTCTCAATGTCACTTTCATTATGATGAATATAATCCCATCTGGCATAGTAAACATCGAGAGTAGTTTCATTAATTGACTTTATACGGTCATTAACGATAGCAGAAATAAAATTAAATGTGAATCTTTTCTAAACTTTATTAGATATCTAAATTGAAGCGTTTGTGAATGAACATGCAAGAGCACAATCATGTGATTAACTTTATTGCGGTCAAGTGAAAAAACTTCCAAGTATCCTTTAGAAGTTTCATCTTTGTCTGACTTCTTTTGTCAATTCATTTAAAGTTAAGTGGAATTGTCTGATCTTTATCTCTTTTCTTGAAGATTTAAATCTTTAGGTCAACCTTTTCAATAGAACATTATTCTGTGGTTGCCTTTTCACTAAGGAAACGTCAATGCCTGTGAGCTTTTATCGCAATAAATTGTCCCCAACCAACAAACACGAAAGTGTGAAAGGTTCATTAAATGTTTTCTTTCTCGGTAAATTTTCATTACTTTTCCTTTAACTCACTGGGGAAATATCCGTATTGGTTGAATAATAAACAATATGTGTTGAATTACGGTAAACATTTAGATCAATTAACGCTATGATGAGCTCTTTTTGTTTATTTTTCAAATGTGGAGAGAATGAGAATCTAATTTCATGAGATCGCATCAATCATACAATTGGCGCATGATAAAATGAATAAAGCGATTGTCAATGTAAATAAAAGTCTTTTCGAACATTATTGTGATATTAAGTATTAGAAGACATTTGAAGATGATGGAGATTTGTTGTCAAGGTTATTCCACGAATTGAAATGAAGATTCGTGGAATAAATTATGAAATTATTAATTTAAGGTTGGAGCTTTTGAAATGTAAATATAATCAAGAAGCGGTAGACTCAGATTTGTAGGCGGAAGGTTCCTGTGATGGGAATTATAAACACGTGTCCCTAACTGAAACCCTTCAACAAAAAAGAACTTTCTCGAATTTGTCAGTCTCACCAAGAAATAAAAATCTGAAATGCCTTCAACATGAAAAAAGAAACATCATCAACAATATATCAAAAATGGAAGCCTGGGAAATTTCTGTTATCATGAAGAAGTCAGAAAGAAGTGTTTTGGTTGGGTGAATTTGATGTACGAATCGTACACGTGCTGATGAAAATTCTTTAATTCTTAAAGAAATTGTTGTTGTTCACGCAATCATCAAAATTCTATTTTAAGACTGCACCAGATGGTAAACCGAAAATCAACAACAGACAGAAACAAAAAGAGTTAAAACTGTAAACATGCGAATTCATTTATCCAAGCAATCATTTGTGAAATGAAATATTCAGATCCGAAGATTTAGTTTTCATGTCATTTTCAAATCCAAAATTCCCAAAATATTTCATTACAAGAAAATTTTAAGTGACTGAAGATACATTCCATCCCTTTCCTTTATCAACATCAGCAAAATGTCATCAGCATCATTTCAATGTATTGAAGACCCATTTCATGTTTTACCAACAAAACCGAATAAATGTTGTCCACGACCGTCAAAATGTGATCCTTGCGGTGGGTCTTGCATGCCAATTTGTGGAACTTTAAATCCAAATTTAACATGTCGACCAGGTGGAAGAGCTTGGGGACGTGCTTGTGGGCCTGTTTGTCTTGAGAATAATCAGTGGAAACAACCAACGTTGAAATTAAAGAACTGTAAACCGATAAAAATTCGAGGACGAAAATCTTGTTCACTTCCATACGGATTTGGATTGTATGCTCGGAAATTGTATCCATACGGGATTCCTTGCAAAGGAACTTTCTGTCTTCCGATGCCATCTTGTGACCAATGCTTTTATCCAAGTCTACCAACAAAACCGGCGAAAGTTTACAGCACTTACACATTTAACGTTCGTGGGCCACCCTACACTTGTCCTCGACCTTGCATTTCATGTTAAAAATGTCCAAATAAATTGATTATTTTATGGGGTTTCACATCCCACCTTAACAACATCAATCTTGTCTTAGTTTCGATTGTGTCAGAATGATTCAAACAATCTTCATTTATCTTCGTTCTCAACCGGCTTCTCCTTCAACATTAAACCTAATGGCGTCGTTTGTAAAATCTTTTCTATGAAATTCTATCGGAGAAATGTCGCTGGAGGGAAGGAGAAAATTTTTGTCATATTTCTTCATCAAGGCCACAAAAATATTTATATAATTTGACACTTTAATCTGTTCAATCATCCATAAAGCTCAGACCTTTACTATTTAAAGCTTCGTATTCAACGAGGATTCGTCTATTGTTGCGCACACAGTAAGACGTTGATAATAAATTGATTGGAATGGTTCGGTTAATTGAAATTACTTTTCTGACATCTATTGAACGAGGGACAAGCCAATCCCTTAGGATAATTAGCAATTATGACATGAAATGAAAAGGACCTTGAAAGAAATGATGATTAAATTGACATCGAATACTTTCTAACCATTAAAACGTTACTAAAGCTGAAAATATTTAATCAACAAACATTCCGAAACTGAATAAAAATGTCAGTTGCCGTGTGAAAATGAACTCATGAACTCTCATTTTCCCTTAGGGACATGCGTGGGCGTATGTGTAATCGAGTTTTCTCCTCGATTGATCTTCCGTGCGAAACTCTTTTCCAACCTTTCTCTTCTGGTTGAAATCATATTTAGTTATTGAAGTAAAAATGTATTCAAATAGATGGAAAAGAAATTTCGCATGAATAAATTGGCTTCTGATCGAAAATAGAAGTAAACGTGAGGGAAATTGCTTGATTGAAGTTTGTTGAGTGATAAGATAAGACTAAGAGTTTGTTAGCCAACATATTTGTCATTTTGGTATTAAAAATCGATTGGGTTCAAGTATCTTGCGAGGAAAACCCTTTTGAAATGTCAAGTGAATATCATTCTTGCGTTTTCAAGATATTTTCTCACATCAATGAACGTTGTCTGTAAAGAAGCTTGTGTTGGTTTCATATCTAAAAAGTAGTTTAATTAACATCGAACGAGATGTTGTTTGTGACTTGTGGGCAGCAATAGCAAAACTAACTCAACATTACGTTGCCGTTCAAAAAATTTCACGTTTCATACTCACAATCTGCTTCACCATCAATTTTCCTTAAAATTTCCGCTGCCATTAAGTCGCTCTAAATATAAAAACTGTTGTGATCTTACTTGCGAGAAACGAACAGCAAACGATGAGCGAAAAAGAGAAGCGACATGGAAACATTTTTTCCGTCATCGTCAACCGGCTTTTCACTGCTTATTCGTTCTCTGCTCGTTGTTACCTTCGGACGATAAAATTTTCTCTTTTCTCTATGATAACTTCAAGGAATTTGTTTTCATTGTGACTTAAATTCAAAATTATTACATACGACATTCGGTTCGCTTGTGATTTTGTGATAATAAAAAGAAAAAAATTTGTGACGAAAGTTGTGAAGTCAAGGCTAATTAAGAAAATTATCTTTCAGAAACAAAACGAAGAACTTTCATAGAAAGACAAATTGTGAAATTGAGAATGCAAAAGCTTCTAAAGAAGCTTCTAATTGAACATAAAAATTGAATTGAAAAAAACTCTTGCATTGCATCGCATTGCAAAATAAAATCATAAAAAAATCTTGTGAAGATTTCGTTCTAAAATAGCATAAGAATGCATGGCATTCAGCATATTTTCCGTCAACAAGCTGTTGATAAACAAACAAGTAATGATAGTTGGCATTCGGCAAATCAATCATTCAACGGACGACCGATCAGCAGTAATTCTGGAAATGATTTAAAGCCACCAGCTTGGAATCAAGGTGAGAGTGAGATTAAAATTTCAAAACGAGTTCCTGAAAATAAATTAAAATATGATGTGCATAAATATCTAGACCGTGTTCTCGATGAACTACATGAATCATCATTGTCGTCAAGTCCACAACCGGTTCCAAGTTCATCCAAAAATCCATCTCAAGAATTCAGTAGCTTCGGCAGCAGCTCATCGTCGAATCGATGGAAGCGAAGTTCACCTGATCCCACTAAAATGATGTTAGGCCGAAGTCCAAATATTCTCGATAACAATGCCAAACGAATTTTGTCAACAACACCAGCGAGACGTGGTAGTCATCAAGTTGAACGTGTGGGAAGTCCGTCGTTGTCAGGCTATCCCGTAAGATTATTAAAATATAATCTCGCGATCGTCTTGTCAACTTCTCACTTTTATTTTTCATAATATTTTAGGGTGTTCGGCGGGGATCGTTAGACGGCCATTCGTCACCAGTCAACAACGGCTTTTTTCCTCACGATCTCAATGACATCTACGAATATAAAACGGATCATCAATATTTCACTTACACGGGTGCTAGTAATAACTGCCATGATAAATTTTTAATCACCTCGGATGCCCACAGAAATGCATTGTTTCGTAATCATCAAATGGTTCATTCAGTTGATGAATATGGATCGAATGACTTTCGTTATGTTCCGAAGAGTCGTTTCGATAATTCGAGTTTCATTCGTCAACTTAATTCAAGCATTTCACAATCAAGCGTTGATAGTGGCAACAATACTGGTGGTTCCAACTCTTCGAATAATTCAAAAGAAAAACTTTCATCTAAAAGTCATCATCATCATTCAATTCAAGAGATGATTAAGCATTTTGGAAAGAAAGTTCATATTTGGCCAAGGAATCGTCACGATTCGATCAATGAGAATGATAATGCAAAAGAACGAACGCCTGAACCTGGTCCCGAGACATTTAGATCTCGTTCGAAAAGCTTGGACGTTACTTTAACTCGTAGAAAAGTTCTTGATGATTGCGAATCAACTTACAAGATTTACAATAAAATTTTGAAAGAAGGTAAAGAAAAGTCATCAAAAAAGATGATGACGGAAATTTTTTTGTTTGGATTATTCAACCGGATTTTGAATATCTCAGAAAAGTTGGAAAAATATTAAAACCAACAATGTAAACAAATTTTAAAAGAGTTTCAAATCAAGAATTTAATAACTTGTTTATGATAATAAACAATCGTTGATATAATGGCACAACAAACAGGACGTGCCCCCAGAAGTTTTGAAGGAAAAAAAGCCTTTTAGGTGCATGGAAAGTCACTTTACGGTCGTGTCATTTAGTGACGCTGGATAATATTTTTTGCGATGTAAAATAGAACAGCAAATCACGTTTTGCTTGTAACGCTTTTTAAATCGTTAAGAATTTCATTTACGTTTGTCACGGCGAATTTATTGATACTTAATTTGCGAGAATTCGGAACGAAAAGCTCAATTATCTTTTTATTTTGACTTTTCCAACACGTTTTCGTGTATTTTTTTACTCATCTTTTCTTTTTCATTTCTCGAGACACATCCAACATCCCACTCGTTGTTTATTTTAAACATTGACTTTCTCAAAATATTTATTAAAGAAATATGAGAAATTGTGACCTAATTGTGGAGTTGATAATTGTCAGAAACTTCACCCCGATGTTATTGTCAATTAAAATTGAGAATTTCTCGTTTATTGTTCAAACATTTTGATTCAATTACTCAATTCATTGCGAAACAATGATGATTAAGTGCACAAATGTGCTATGTCTAAAGTCAATAAAACAGAATTATTATCTCAATATCTGTTCCTTGTACTTTGACTTTTATTGCTTTAAAATCTCGTGTTGAAACTTCCCTTCAATAGAATTCTACAATCATAACAAGAAGAAGATTTTTTATGTGAATTCGATCGATTAAAACAATATTTTCATGCAAAATAAATCGAAATATACAAAGCGGCACAGCAAGAAATAAAAATAATCATGAAAATCAACTTTACGAATAGAAAGTTGGTAATTCAATTCTCGTTCGTTTCAACTGTCTGCAATGTTGGATAATTTATTATCAAACTTTCTTTACATCTTATTTACTGATGATTTTATTTTCGTTGTAATATTTTAGGTGCTCATATGAGACGAGCGTCTGCCGAGCTTGCAGAACGACGACGAGCATCGTTTGGTAGTCGAGGTAAGTTAAAAACTCTCATCAATCATCTTCCATCAATATTCTCAAATACTTTCTTCTCAGTTGGTTTACGTGCTGACGGTACCTTAGATCCACATCACGCTGCAATTCTCTTCAGAGATTCTCGAGGGGTGAGTTTCATCTTTTCAAAAACAGATGGCGTTCGACGCTACAGAATTTTCACATTGAATATTTATTAAGCGAATTTTCATGTGCACGGTAAAGTTTGCAAAATCGAAATGTAGATATGGTGGTTGATTTTAATGTATTATTAATGGGAAAAGCGATTGATAAATTCTTGCTTTTTATTTATGGGCGTGAACGAATTACGCCTAAAATTACAAATTTAATCAAAATTACTACATCGATAGAAATTATTAAAGAAAAAAAGAAAATTTTCTCATTTCATTTCAAATATTTTGAGCAAAGAAAAAATTCTAAATGATCACTTGCTAAATTTAGACTTCAATTAGCGATTCCAGCATGTCTTTAGCTACACACTCCATCACTTTTTTTATATTCGCATCGCTCGTGACCTTCAAATGGTTTTCAATTTAAATTTCTTCAAGAAAAAAATTCTTCTTACACATTTTTTACTTCTTCTCTTTGTTTTTGGAAACAACAACAAAACATAAACGTGCAGATAACAAGAATAATCAAAAATCGAACCAAGCCCTTGTTGACCAATTTGTTATTTCTTTTTCTGTTGTTTTCCTTTATTCGTTTCATGCACGAAGTGGTTAAACCTGTTGCGTTGTATGGTTGCGATTGATAAATGTTTAAAAATAAACTCGATCGTAGAAGAAGAAAATAAAAAGTTGCGCGGAAGGAATTCACGAATGCAATTGGTTGGAGCAGGGAATGGACAACAACAATCTGATGTGTCTTTAGTTTCATCGTAAGATTACTTTAGTGGAATATCTTCGTTCGTCGATTGTGTCGCAAGTTATCTAAATACATGAAAAAAAACTGTTAAAAATGGCAAATATTTGCATAAATATTAACAATTTTTATCTCTAAATATGTGTCATCATTATAGATGTGTTGAGTATAAAATGGAACATTAATTTGCAGTTATTTGCTTGAAAGCCCTGGAAACGAAACACTCAGAAAAATTGAGAGAGTCTTTGAAAATCAATTCGATTTAAAGAAAAGTTGAGCGGGAGAATCGAGCAAAAAAATTGCCTTTAATTCATTTTTAAATTGTGCTTTTATCAATGACGGGTTGGTTGTGTTATTTTTTTACTCAGTGCGTTGCGTTAGACTGTGCGGTGCTATGCTCTACATCTCTGATCTGAACATTCCAAAGCTTACAATACAAATTAACAAAATGATAAAAAGTTGATCCAAGTGTTGGATAAGAAAAAAAAATTAAATAGAGAAGAAATGAAGTCAATATTAGAAGTGTACAACAAATATTTCAAATCCTAAAGTGACAACGATGTACATGAAAACAGAAAGCAACAACAACTGAAGTGTTTACAGCATACAATTTGAGATCATTTATTTCAATTGACCTTACGTTGTTTGGTTTAAGTCGCGTTAGAATTATTCTAAGCTTTTCCTGACACCTCAAACTGTTTATTAATTGTAATTAACATTCACACACACACACACACGCATTGTGCTTCTCTTTTCAAACTTCTTCTTACTTTTACGTTGCTTTTATCGTGACTTTGTCATTCTCATTCTTGATGTGGTCGCGGAAATTCATTTTTTTTTGTGATACTCAGCAAAACAGCTTTTGTCAGAATAAAGAAGTCATTGGAAGAAGACCTTCGTGCTAATAATTAAAAAAAGTTTAAATATTTGCATAGTTGAGTGTTACATTTAATGCAATTGTTGAACGATCCAAATTCTTCATCAAATGAAGTGTTAAAAAAAGAAAAATTTCAAATATTGTGCAAATTCGTGTTAAGTCAACTTGTATTGAAATGAAATTTAAATAATTAGACCTTGAAAAGGAATAAAAGAAAGAACTTTCAATTAAGGTTTAAAGTGTAGAAAATAGAACGCAACAATGAGAATGATCAATTAAGATGAATTGTTTTGTTGACAACACTTTGTAATAATTCAAATTGAAGCCCTTTCAAAGCATTAAAGCAATAAATTAATTTAGAACCAGGAATACAAATCTAATGTTAAACATTCAGTTCAGATTGTTTTTCCTTGCACCTGAAATATCACACTGAAAACGACTTAAATATCTATCTACTTACTTATGTAGATTAAATTTTATTTTGCGTGTTTATAAAAAGCAAACTCAACCTTCACATTGTCTCAGTCCCGTCTCGAGTTATAATTAAAGCATATTTACGTCATTTTTTGGATATAAATATTCGTTTCATAATAGTTCCTTGTTGTTCAAACAAATTGCTTAATGTTAACATATGAAAAGTTATCTGTTGTGCAAATTTGCAAATTGATAACAAAAACTTGTTCAAGCTGTAAAAAAATCTCAACTTTTATTTTATTTCTCAATAAAAATTGTTTTTTTCGGTATTGTTGAATGATTTGGTTAGACCAAACGAACACACAACGCTTGAAGTTTCATTAAGAAGCGCTAAAAGAATCTGCATTGAAGCGAAGCTAGAATATTTATGTGAATCACGTAAGATATTAAATGAATCTCCTGAGATACTTCTGAAATAGATCATTTGTTGCTTCTGTGGGAATTTTTCAAGAAATTGTAAGTCGTTCGTAATCTTCGTGTAAATACCACCACGTGACACGGCGACAGTTTTCATTTTTAATAAAACCGGTTTAAATAATTGTCGTGAAAGGTTTCGTCAATAAATATTTGAGATTCCCATCAGGGGATGTGAGAAATATAATAAGACGAATTTATGTTATCAATCTTCGTATTCGTCTCATTTCTCACTTCTCAATCAAACGCACAATTGCCGGTTTCGAGTTCATTTAAACCTTAACTAAACATGACAACATAAAAAACAATCGAATTTAATTTCAATTTAAAATTCCATTTTGTGTTTACACTTTTCGACTGACCTTCAACTTGAGCTTGCTTTTAGTTTCGTTTCGTGTCTGAGTCACTTCAGTAGCAACACTTTTCTTCAAAGTTTTTTCTCTTCATTTTTTTGATAGATATTTTAAATATTTTCGTCGTGAAAATTAACACTTGAGAGTGATTTAAAAGTTTACAAAGATTGATTGTTGAAAAGGTTCAAGTTTGTCAACAAAAAATAAATTCTTTAAAAAAGAAAAAACTTAAAGTGATATCAAATAATTGATGATAAGAATTTGAAGACAATGTTTCGACGTTTCTCACTCTTCGATTCATCACCGCCATCAGCGAAAGTTTCTGTAAATCCACCACGACAAAGCGGTAAAATCAGCAGAAAGTCATCATTCAAAGATGCTTTTATAAGCACTTTCAATCGGCAAAGTTTTTCGCCACCGCCATTCATCACATCATCAAAAAAAGATCATCCAAAGCGATCAAAATCTTTGGAGCATTCGTCAGTTGCAATCGCGCCATTAGAGCCACCAAATGATGGCGTAAAAAAACGATCTAAGTCAACAACACTTCCACCAGTAATTAATCGAACTTTACCCCATGGATCAACTACCAGTAACCGCTGGTTTAATCGACTTGGAAACCCCATTCACAGACCACCACGACCATTATCATTCCAATATCATGTAAACTAAAACTCGTTCCATCTGGCTACTCGAAAAGAATTTTTATGACTCTCTTTCACTTTTTCCCTCTCCTTCACTTTGATTTAAAGGAAAACATGTAAAATTTATGGGATGGCAAGAGAATTTTCTTTACGATAATCTATTAAACACTTTTCTCAAACGAGATTTACTGTTTAAGCGATTAAATTGTAGGCACATTGCCAAGTGCTTCGAATCTTTTCTATTTTTCTTGGAAATAATATGAATTGAAGATTATTCTTTTATTTTTGAACATGAAAATTCGCTTAAATACACTTGTTTAACAAATAAGAAACCAATCAATATTGTGATGACAGGAAAGCAATTTAAAGTGTTGAAATGTTTTATCTTTTTCATTCTTTAGTTACCTGTTGCTGATCCCTTCTTAGAGAAAGTTAATTTATCAGATTTAGGTAAGTGAATTCAATCTAACAATAGATAAATTATTGAAAGCTTTTTTGTTTTTGGAAAGCATTTCATAAACAAACATTCGTGCCAACAAACATAACCGTGGAAAATTGTTTTTCTTTTTCGATTTGTATTGTGGAAATTCTTCATGTATACAAAAGAGAAGAAAATTATTTTGTTTTTCTCTTTTTTATGTAGAAAAAAGCAGAAACTTTACGATTGTATTGTGTGCAGATTTTTCTAATTGAGTAAAGTTTTTCTGTGTGAACACATTCAGTGTCACAATCACACTCTTCTTCATTTTCCTGTGAAATATTTCTTACTCTCAGTGCTTGTTTAGTCTGTTCGTGAAAACTGAATTGATGAAAAGTCGATCGGGAAAGGAAATAAAGTTTAAAAGTTGACAAACTTTAGAATTTTGTGTGTTTACCAGAGAATATGAAAAATCTTTGAAATTATAAAAATTAAAGTTATTGAAGTAAACTCTAAAGATCAAATAAATTAAAATCATTTATTTTGACGCTTCTTAAACTGAGAAAACTGAAAAAAAAGTTTTGGGCGTTTGATTGTTAGTCTCGTTCTGTAATTTGACTAATTTTTCGTGGTAATTGAGCGGCGTCGAAATCCTATTTACAAGCTCATCACTCATTGATATTCATACAGTTCAACTGATTCCAACAAAATTTCAGTATCTACAACTCATAATGAAAATAATTTAGTAAAAAGTCCAAGTTCTATTTTTAAGCAACTCAAACATTTTTGCCTCTTTTCTTCCCTCTCTCGTTGCGACGGTTTTTCATCGCAGGAAAAGAAAATTTTCCTTCTCAAATGTATTTCTAATTAAAAAACAGCTGTTCAGTGAATTAATATCAAGACTGTTGACTTTTAATCACATCGTGATTAACTTTTGACAGACGAATTCAAAACTTAATCAATGTAATGAAAGAAAAACACAAAGGAATGTCAAACATTAAAGCTCTGAAATGTGACACAAGAAACTGCGACTTTTCGGTTTCTTTTTCCTCGATCAATTTCAGATTTCTGCTCAACTAAAATACGGCGAGATTTCTTCCTTTGTTTGAATCAACAAACAAAGATTTAAAGTCGATGAATCTTTTTATCATTTGTCTGTTTGCCTTCTGATCTATTTCGATAATGGCGCAATCTAATAAATCAACGTTGTTTTTACTTTCTGCTGAAATAAAAGAAAAGTTTTTGAGTTTTTGCGAGATTTATTAATGATGCGGAAGGTTTTTGTTTATTTACAATCGTTTGTTAGCTTTATTACGTTAACACTAAAATTTGTTTCTGTGTAACTTTAATGGGACATTGATAAGCCGGAAAAGTTACTTTGTTGCTTCTCTTTAACTGCCGCTTGACTAATTATTATAAAATATTTCCCAATTATTTCCATTTGCAACACATAAGTGTCAAAGTTAACGTAAAACGATCAAAATTGATTGCTTCTGTCTTCAAATTTGTTTGTTTGCAAACAAAACCGAACGAGAGAGAAAGAGAAGACATTTTTGGCAAACAAAGCAACGAGGAAATTGAAAGTCTTCCTTCTAAATGTAAACATACATGAGATGATAAAATTTTATGTTTACAATGTTTGATTTCCAAGAAATCTTTTTCATAAAATTAAAGCAAACAAAATTTACTTCGAATTTAGATAAAAATTTAAAATCAAAAATCAATAAACTTCCGATCGTCATCGGGGCAACATTTGAAAAGCAATATTAAAGATTGATCCGTTAAAAGCATCATTGCAACGTTATCCATTGAGAAGACGAGATGCTGAGCAGCAAATGCAACTTGTCTTCTACTCAAATTATGCTGGTCGATTGGTTTTGGGTGGTGAACAATCGAGTTCTTGGAACAGTGAAGTTTATCCATTAGCAAGCATTAAAGAATTTGAGATTATTTCAATAGAATGGCAGAGACTGTTGGCACGATTGTTACAAAAAGGTTCAATTTAGTTGAAGAAAAAATAAGCTTGAAAGATTTTCTTTCACTTAAATATTAAATCCGATAACATTTTTTCTCCATTTTCTTCATTTAATAATTCACAGAAGAAGATGAGTCGCAAATTTTCGTCAAATTCTTCCGCTTCCACAAATGTTACGATCTGGTACCCACATCGGCAAAACTTGTCGTATTTGATACTCAATTATTAGTCAAGAAAGCATTTTATGCTTTAGTCTATAATGGTGTTCGTGCAGCACCACTTTGGGACTCAGAACAACAGAAGTTTGTCGGCATGTTGACCATCACAGATTTTATAAAAATATTGAAAATGTACTACACATCACCGAATAGCTCAATGGATCAATTGGAAGAGCACAAGCTTGTCACATGGCGAAGTAAGATGACATGAAATTATTTATCATTGAAATTCTTTAATTATTTTAATTCTTTTCTCAGATGCTCTCAACGATTATGTGAATTTAGTTAGTATTAGTCCAGACGCATCACTTTATGATGCTATCAAAACATTGATTCATAGTCGCATTCATCGATTGCCGGTGATTGATCCATTGACTGGAAATGTCTTGTATATATTGACCCACAAACGAATACTTAGGTTCCTGTTTTTATATGTAAGTTCAACATGTTTAACAATGAAATGAATGAAAATTATTGAAATTCTTTTAAAGATTAATGAGCTACCGAAGCCAACATACATGCACAAGACGCTTCGTGAATTGAAAATTGGCACGTATGATAATATTGAGACGGCAACGGAAGACACAACTATTATTACTGCTTTGCATAAGTTTGTTGAACGTCGTGTGTCAGCTTTACCAATGGTTGATAGTGAAGGTCGACTTGTGGATATTTATGCCAAATTTGATGTGATTGTAAGTTGCTTTCTTCATTCAATTAAATTTGATTTAACAATATGCTTGAAACTTTAGAATCTTGCTGCTGAAAAGACTTACAACGACTTGAATGTGTCACTGAAGAAAGCAAACGAGCACAGAAATGCTTGGTTTGAAGGCGTTCAAAAGTGCAACTTGGATGAGTCGCTGTTCACTGTGATGGAAAAAATTGTTCGCGCTGAAGTTCACCGACTTGTGGTGGTCGACGAGGATGAGAAAGTGATTGGAATTATTTCCTTGTCGGACATTCTACTATATTTAGTGCTTCGACCAAGCGGCGATGGTCTTGGCGAATCTGAATCACTGCGAGCAAGCGATCCAGTCCTTCATTGTCGTGAACGAACCGATAGCATCACTGGAAGTCAATTGTTGTATAATAACAGCAATGAAAGTATCGAAGAAGAGACGCATCACGAACTTGTGGAAGCTGAGAAAGATGGCGACACGAATAACAACAGCGTTGAAGAGGCAGAAGTTGCTGATGAGGCGCTTCCATCGACAGATGAAAAGACTGATGACGATACAATTGATAATGAGAACAACAATGTTGAGTCACCACCAACATCACCAACAAAGAATGATGAAGTGATTCATATTGATGAGGACGATGAAGATGGCGTTGAATTATCCCCAATAAACAACAATGGCAGCAATAACTTAAGTAGCACACTTAAAATGCAACGCGAAGTCGCGATGGTTAGCGAGTAAAAGAAATTCAAGCGAAACCATGTGAAATTCTGTGGCCTATAAATTGTTATTGTAAAATGAATTTCTTTTCACGAAGAAACTCTCATTTCGATGTCAAAGTTTTTCTTTTTTCCTTTTAATTGTCATATTAATTAAAATTTTAAATTGTGAACCAAAAAACAGAGAAGGAGAAAAGGAAAAACTTTTTGATGAAACAAAAAGGAAAACAACGATGAAAAAAATATTTTTGTCGTTTTCAAAGCTTGATTCAAATTTATGTTGTCGTTTAATCGAAGTTAATTTTTCGTTTAGCGATTTTGATTCATTTTATAAAAGAAAATAATCTTAATAACAGCTCTTTGTAAATCTTTCATTTTTTACACATTAATTAGTTTGTGATAGTTTTTCTATTCCTTACTGTCACGTTTTTAAAACTACAACAAGATGCAGAACCATGTAAATAAATCAATAAACAAAGAAAGAAAGAAATTCAAGACAAAACAAATCAAATCAAGCTTTAAGTTTTCAATTCTCTTCGGTAGAGATTTAATTGGAAATTATTTTTTGATTATCCAAAGTTGTCGAACTAAAGTGACCGAAATTGAAGAAGAGTTTCACGCGGAAAATTATTTAATTTTCCATCTCACAAAACACGTTTGCATCTTCAAATTGTCTGCTTAAAAAATGCTTAGAGAATAATAATCTTTGACTAAAGCTTGTGAAGATATAAAAAAATCTTTCAAAACCATTTTAATGGAGAATAAATAATAATTTATTTAATTTCATTTAGGATCATGAGAGAATACAAATAATAAAAAAAAATGGAAACGTTTCTTAGATTAAGACTCGTAGATTGTTTTTAATTACCTTTAATTTCGCAAGATTAATACATTGCTTCCAGTTCATGGACTTTGCGGAGATGTAACAAGCGAATGATGATTTTTAAAACCAACATTACGATAAAAAGAAATATTTAGAAAATTAATTGAAAAAGAAAAACTGATCTAGAAACAAAAACAACAATTAAGAAAAAAAAAGAATTAACAAAATGCGAAAATAATGTTGAGCTAAAAAATATCAAATAATAAAATGAAATGAAAAAAAGTTCTAAAATTAAAAATTAAAATGTTTTATTTTGATTCTGATAAACATTAATTCTATTACAGACATATTTGACAGCTTTTAATGTTCAAAAGCTTTAAAACTCTATCGAATGACCTTCAAATATTTGAAAGCTATCACGAAAGCTTCTAAAAATTAAATTTTCATATCTAAAACTTGATAAAGTTTTTATTATCAATACAAATATAATCTAAAACTAATTTATCTTATCGATGAATTAGTGAAGTCTTCTTCAATTATAATTAAATCTCTTCCTACTTTAAATTCTGTTTATAAGAAATCTTCACCATGTTAAATTATTGTTTGAGTCAGCAAAAGTTTTGCTGTTTTCAGAGTAAAATTGTCCAAACCAATTTCTGAATAATTTGATTGGTTTTTCTTCCTTGGCAATTAAAGGATTGCTGACATATTGTTTATGATTCCATACCATAACATCTCTCGCAACCTGAAATTCGTTATCAATAATTATTCTTTAATTAAATTATCAAAAGACTCACGTTAATAGTTTCACAAATGAGAGAGAATTTAATGAACCACGCCAAGTATCGGGGACCGTAAAAATAATGAGAAAGTCTTTGCACCAAAGGTTCAACTGGTGTCACAGTTTGTAAAGCAACCAAAGGTCCAAATGACGATTGTAAGAACAACAAAACATATCCAGGTCCAACTTGCTTCACTGTCACATTAACTTTCACAAACTCATACTTCCAAAACTTAACCGAATGTGTCATCGCAATTGATGCGACGTGTTTGTTTTCTTCTCCTGAACTCCATCTGAGATTTATTCGAATAACAATCAGATGTAAATCACAAAGTTTATTTAAATTTCAAACTTACTTTGCCTCCCAAATGTGTTGTCCAAGTGACAACCAGCTGGATCGCGTGTAACGGATGTCAGTTCCAGTCAATACTGATGGACCATGAACTGTTGCTAAATGAGCTTCAAAATTTAATATTAATTGAGTTCGTTGATCTTTAACATGACGATAATTCTCTTACCAACGTCAGCACCATTCTCAGGAATATCTTGGATGTGAGAGTTCACCATAAACTCATTCTTTCCATGAAAGACCCATTCATTGTTGTCTATTTCGTGGATCACTGGTATTTCCCATGGTTCTTCCCCTTCTGCGTGATGCCAAACGAAAATCAAACCATTCACTTCTCGAGACTTCCACTTTTTTATTCTCGCTGATTTCTCGACTGAAAATTATTTAAATCGGTGCGTAATTCCAAGAATCATTTGCTTTTAACAATTCTCACTTACTCTCAGATAAACTGTCGCTGTAAGGGATATTGACGCACGCTCCATCAGAGCCTCTAAACTTCCATTGATGGAATGGACATTCAATGCAATCTCCATCGACCATCCCACCAACTCCAAGATTAGCACCCATGTGTGGACAGTAAGCGTCAAGCACAAACACTTCTTTAGACTTTAACGAGCGAAAAACAACAAAATTTTCACCAAGACAATTCACATTATTCGCTGTTCCTGGTTGAATCTGATTTGATTCAATGATTGAGAACCATCCATTCGGAAACGGTGGTGGAATTTTATTACCAACTTTTCTTAGTCTCCTAGCTCTGTTAATTGCAGAACGTTTACCTTCAAATCCAATATCATGTAAATCCTTCAAGTGAAAATATTTTGATAAGAAACACATGTCAAATGAGTCATTAAATTTACGTTACTCTTATCCAGTAGATTGGCACGTAAAATATGAAAATGATCACTGATAAGATCAAAAGAGTCACTGAAATCTCGCAAATCGGAATCTTATCGAGTGTGATAAAAGTATTTAACCACAAATTATGCAATGATAACATCGTGACCTAACAACTTCAGAATTTCGAACTGCTCCCAACGAAATCTAAAAACGGACTGACACATATTCTTGATGTCGAAAATTCATTGAAAATTTATTGAGTGTGTATGTTTTTTGATTTCAGTATCTACAGGAAGAACGAACGTGAGAATTGTCATACGGGAGGCTAACTAAGGATTTAAAATTTAAATCAAGTTTCCAAGCTGATCATTTTATGATAGTTTGTATTCCACCATTATCTGAAATAAGTTTAGCATTTTTATTTACCTTAGATTGTGGTATGACTCTCTGAAAGACATTGTTAATTATCCATAAAAAGATGTATCGATAAAATGTCTTCAGTTAAGATTATCAAAGACATTTAATTAAACGAATATGTCTAATAAGAAGAAAAACTTTTTTATGCAGAAGTTATAAATAAATTGTGGACATAAATTGACAACTCTGAACCTTTTTTCAAGAGAATTGTTTAAAATTGTAATTTATTTTTTATATTCGATTTCTGACGTATTAACAGGAAAGCAAACAAGATGTTGGCGATTAAATTTACATTGCAGCTTCAGATTCATCTCATGAATTATTTTTAAATGCATAAATCTAACTTCAAGTATCTTCTTCATATTCTGAAAGTGATAACTAAGTTGAATAAATTCAAATCAATCTGAAATCTAAATAATCATTTGCACCAAATGAAGCATAAAAATAACAACAACAACAACAATTGAAATTCTAATAAAAAATTAATTCACATTTTATTATTTCTACTTTCCTAAATACCAGAGATTTGTTGTGGCTTGTGGTCAATTTATTATCTAGAAACTATCTAAGTTTATGTCTCCTTACTTTAAATTTAGATAAGTAAATATTTAGTTTATTTATGATGGATCGATTTAATGCGAATTTCCAAAGCGATCGACAAACTATCTTCGTCTTATTCTTCTTTTTTGTTACTTCTTACTTTTATCACATAACACAAACATAACAAAAAAATATTTTTTAATCAAGTCTATCTACACAATCTAAAGTTATCAATCACCCACCAGTTAGATGCGATTTCAATTTTATTTTTCTTTCAGCACCAAAAAAGAAATCAAAAGTAAAACATTTAAGCGGGCGATCGACAAAATGGGATGGAATGGATCAAAATACTTTTAACATCGTCGAATTTAGCTTGTTATTATAAATTCCGACTCTGATGGATTTTGTGATGATTGCGGTCTGTGAAAATGGGAAAAATTGGGAAGAAAATTATTTAGGGAACGGTTTTGAGTTGAAGGTTTTCAAGTTTATTTAATCAGAAGATGAAGTGTGGGATGATCAATGTGTGTGATTTTTGTGTATATTTTTTTTCTTAAAACATTTTTGCATAAATAATGATGATAAATGCTTTTTCGAGTCTCTTATGTTGTTGTTTGTAAGATGCAAATGTTACTTAATCGAATCATTTACAATTCGTCGATAATCTTACGTTCTTTCGTGATTTCATCTTCGTTGTCTTCATTTGTCGCATCATTATGTGGAATGAATGTGACTTCATGTGTATCGGATTTTGCAGTGTCGCGCTTGGTGCGTTTGTGAGTGGATACGGCTGATGGATCGGGTGATGTGAGTGTAATTCGTGAGCCATAAGCAGGTCTTCAATTGTGTGATTTGAATAAAAAGTTTTTTGTGTTTGATAATTGCAATGTTTTCTTTTGATTGGGAAATTTGTGTACTTACCTCGCATCTTTCGCTTGAAAATCGGCACCAACTGTAATACTTCGTGGTTTTCTAAAATCGCATTCAACTTGGAATGCAGCATCTCCCGTCGTCACAAGCTCTGGGTCATGTTGCACAACAATCACGTTTGAGAATACATCGCCATCTTGAAGTGTCTGACATTGACCAAGTGGGAATTTCATTGTGAGAGATCGTGCACCTCTGCCTTCCATGAAGCATGGCGCTTTGTGTTTATAGAAGCTGCCTCTCGTGTACATTACTCCGGTGAAATCATCCTTTGTTTGAAGTTCAATTTGCATCGAATCAGCTCCACATTTCAACTGAACTTTTTGTAAACCTTCTGTCGATGCATCAATGTTAAATGCATTCGAGAGATTTTGTTCCCACACATCTAAATATACAAGGAGTGTGAGATTATTAATCGATTGAAGGTCGTATTGACAATCATAAAATAAAAAAAAGATTTAATATGACGTTGATAGCCCTTCTGGTTCATTAACATTCAAACGTTGATCAAAACTTCAACTCACATTCAAGATCACAAACATTGTAAGCAAATGTTAGTTCTTCACATGTTCCATAATCACAAAAATACTTCCGAGTTTCCCTCGAAGCTTTTCTCTCAATAATAAAATAAAAATCTTGCACAACATGTAACTAAAAAGATCAAATTAAACACATAAAAGCTCTAACATGCTGCAACATGCAATTTGCGATCATCAGCGCTTGAACATTTTTATTTTTTGCTTCATTTTATAATTTCATTATAAATAAACATTCATCGAGTGAAAGGATTGCATAAGCAAACAAGCACATCACGAATCTGTTGAACTGGAGCAAGTTTTGATTTAATTGATTTCGTAATAAATAAATCAAGGGAGGCAAACATAACAACAGAAGAAGAAAAACATTACGTCGAGTCATGATAAAAAAGTTCACGTAAAAATTTCTCTGAAATTCCCAATCAACAATTTTTTGTCAAGTTCAACGGCCATGAACTCATTTATTGACAGTTAAACTTTCTTATTGCGGATTAACTTTCCACCCACAATTCATTTTTAAAAATAACTTCATCTGACGTCATAAACATAAACTCGTCTTGAGAACTTTTCTCTCTTTCTTCTCTTTTACAATCTCTCAAATAATTTATAATTTTTCTTCTTAAACTGGTTAGTGAACTTAAGAACAACCGCATTGAAGAAGCGTTGAGAAGCACAAGGTAAAGCACTTTTCATCTCGTTTCTCCATGTCATCACTTTTGTGTTTGAATTCCAGTCACTCTCGACGGCTTATAAATATCGCGCTGAGAAATGGCAAAGCCGAAAAATTAAGATAAAACACAGACACTGGATGACCTTTTACTCAAATATCACAGTTTGTTCATACAATGGTTGTTTCTCGTTTCATCTTTAGCATAATTGGCAAAAATCTGTCTGCGTTTAAATGAAACTCCTTTTTATTTTTACATCACACAGTAAATGAGAAACACTTCGACTAACCTTCACGTTTGTCATTAGCGTAACTGACATGATACATAAGATTTAGCACGACAATTACAGCACTCAACCACTTCATGATGACAACTCCTCAAAAGATTTAAATACTTAAAAAGATATAAAAACAGGCTACGACTGAACACAACGATTGTTGAACACAAACTGACCAATGTTTCATCGTCAGCAATGGATTTTATACAACGAAGTAGAGAACGTAAGAATCTTTGTGCTTCCACCAAAAGCACATCGATGTTGAATGTTTTTTTCTGATGCCGTTGAACTGTTCGCTCTTTCTAAGTTTTGTTTTCTTCTCTGTCTTTCGCTCAATAAAATTGAATTTCCACCTGTTTCAATCATTTTTCGCTGCTTTTGGATTTTGTTTAACATTTCTTCTTTTGTCTCTCAAATAACATTTCAACACGTGTGAAGTTTTCGCGTAAAAATATTTTTTGAAAGGATTTTTTAATTGTTTTTATCTTTTTATTGTTTTTGTAATACAATAATTTTAATTAAATCTTATTTTCTTTATGATCACAGCATTATAAAAATTGATAAAATACCATAATTAGCTCAACACTAAGATCATGATGAAATGCGATGCAAGAAAATATCCGGAAGGAAATTTATATTGCAATTGCATAAATTACGCAATGATCTCTACTAACCAAGTTGCACTACTGACAACATAAATATTTGATTATTTTTTCTTACTTTCTTTGCGCCACTTCCCCATTTTTTGCTGATGGTTATTATCCAATAGATCTCCTTAATGTGTGATTTGCTGTCTTATGATAAACACGGTAGACTTGTTCACAAGTAAATTGTGTTAATGTTAAACAAGTATTCTTCTTACTATTTAAGATTGATCGGAACTGTGAAGTTGTAATGTTCAGATTTGCATATTTAATTTGTTTTTCCGCCAATCAATGAGATAATAGAAATATCCGCAACATTATGACAAATGAAGTTATCCGATAAATTGAAGTTGTTATTATTAAAGTATGCATGTATTTCGGTTTCATGCACTTTACATTGTATTTATCATGCTTAGTCATTAAGTGAAAGTGTTTTCAATATGTGATGGATCGGTCAAGGGTAAAAGTTGTAAATAAATACATAAAACATAAAATGCCATCTTGAAATATTTCACCAATTAAAAAACTCAAAAACCATCTGGCTTGACTATTGTTAAGCTCCAAACTGATCAGAAATTTTATACGCTTAAAGATCAAAATAACGCAGGTGCAAAAGAAACGTTGAAAAGAAGAAGCATAAAGAATGAAAAAATATTGAAATAAAATTTAACGGATTTTAAATTTTCAAAAATATTGTTAGGCGTTGTTGGGCGAATCCCCAGTGGTGAAACGTTCGTTTCTCATAGCATTTCAAATCAGTGTTTGATTGCAAAGGACAAAACTTTAATTTCTCCCCTTATTAACACCCAATTTTCACCAAAGTACGCTCATTTGAGGGGCGTTTTTCTCATCAAAACATTTCAAACGACTCAACAGTCAAAACGTAAAACGCTTCGTTCCGAGAAAAAAAAAAAAGTGAATTGATTTAAAATCGACACCAAAATGAGTTCTACAGAGTTTAATATTGGATTAGTTGACAATCGCGCATCATCTCGTGTAACTCGTCCACCGGTAAGTTACAAATTTTCATGTGAAAAAAGTAAAAAGTGAAAAATGCCACAATTCTGAGAAAATCGATAACGAGAAAAAAAGAAAAAAGAAAATTTTGTGCGACTGATGATCTAATTTCACTCGATTCGCGTGTCTACAACTTTTCGCATTTCACTTTAATGTTTCTATTACGTCCATTTAGGGTGGCGCTTCGTCAAACATCTTTGCTCCAGCTGAGGAAGTCAAACCTCATGTTCGTCCAAAGTACGACCAACAAAACAGCTCGAATCTCAATTTCTGCATGAACACAGTTGATCCAAATTTGAAAGTTCAACAGCAATTTGCACCACCAAATGAAGACAATGAAGCTTCACCAGCTCCAGAAGTTCATCATGAACAACAAGCTTCAGATGATGTTGATCAAAAGATGAACGGAAATGTTCAGGCAGAACCAGCACAGCCATCTGCTGCCTTGCCTACTTATCATCATCATCGCTCAACCGCTCTTTGGTAATTTCTTCATCATGCAAACCGCACGAGGACCAAAAACGCTTTTTGATACTCGACCACTTCTCATTCTTCTACTTTATCGATCAATAAAAGAAATATTAAATCAGTTTAAGTGAAAGTATCGCAAGAATATAAGAAGAGAAACTGCCAGAAACCAACCAACCACATACATCCGTTGCTCGATAGTTCATCAATTAAGAACTGTTCTTATACTATTTATAGAAATGTAAAGTAGTTTCTACAACAGAAGTTAGTTTCGGGCTTCTAACAACTTATTTATAACTCCTAAAATCGTTTCTCTTCCCGCTAAGCGATCCGCTCAACTTCCCGCCCAAAATCCCATTTACCAACTTATTATTATCACATCTCGTCAATCTTTTTTTTATAAGTATTAAATTGTGGTGTTAACATCACGAATTTCTTTGTCAATAATTTCTCCTTACGTTAGTTTCGAACTCGGGAATTTTGTTTTTTTTTGTTGATTCTTTTTTAAAATACTTTTTTACCAAAGACGAATTGTTTGCTTCCATTGTAGTATTTTTTTTTGTAGACAACGGTAAACATTGATTTCTTATTATTCATTTGAAACTATTTTTATCTTTCTCTCTTTCTCGCTAATATGTGAACATAAAATAAATGTCAAGTCTTACATGACAATTGCTTAGCCGACCCAAACTTAAACTTAAAAACCTAGAAAATAAAATATTTGTCTGGGAAATGAATGATAAAAATGCTTAAAATATTTGAAGATTTTTATATGTTATGTCACGCTCAAATGCACCTACGCATTCAATAGTAATCTCCATAAAAGTAAACAAAAGGTTTTTTAAATTCATTCGATGAGTTGTTTGTTGATTGGAATATTTAGATTTTTATCGTTTGATAGTAAATTTAATTTGGAAACCGAAAGTGAAGAAGAATTATTTGTATTTTCTTCTTTTGTTAAGCAAACAGAGAATTCTTGTTAAATAGTAGATGTGATCATCATTTCTGTTTATTCAATTTCTCATCAATGAATTGATCGTTTCTAGACGTAACGAATTCTCTGATGCAATAAAACCAACACTTCTATTGATAGTGACTTCAATTGAATAAATAATTTGATGTTCTTCCTCTCGCCCTCATTTAACAGCAAGCAACACATTTAACGCAACTTTATTAATTCTCTATAGCCAATTTAATCGTTGAAAATCGTCAGTTTGTTGTTGCTTTAGCTTTCGGTGAGACTATTTGACTCCACATATGGAAGAAAGTTTCTTTTCAGTAGCATTTTGTAAAATTGCTTCCATTTAATCAATCCGTGACTGTGCATTTTTTCTCAATTTATTTCGCTATTAACCAATATTTATTTCTACATAACTAACTAAATAACCACCGTTCCTTGTAAAGGTTCATTATGAGTTAGTCTAACTCCAATAACTTACTTAAAGTCTGTAAAACAAATTTTAAATGTAATTTAATAATTTGAAGAATAATGAAGAAAAACAAGAACAAAACGGAAATAAAGACAAAAACATTTTTTTTATGCTATTTAATGTAAAACACCAGAAACGAAACTGTTATGAATTTGATAGACATCTTGAAAAGGTTTTTCAAATTTTATGCTCAACTCCCGCGCCCATTGTTTTTTTTCAGCGTCCATAATGAATGAAAGTGCTCATAATTAAACATAAAATAACTGTAAGCATGAAGAACGTTTCTTTTATTTCACAGCTCGACAAACAAATAAAACAAAAAAATATATTTAACAAATATTCTTAAGAATCATCATATTGTTCGTAGGTAATGTTTCGTGGTTTTTTCCATCGTGTAATGATCATCAATCAATGATTCACATTGCATACAATCGACTTTAAAGAATGGTTTTTTAAAACAGATTTACAGAAAAGAAATTATTGATAAGATTTTTTCTACTTTTTAAGGTGGAAATGTTGATATAACGACATCGTTAACTGATAACAAGCTTTGTGTCTTGTCATCATTTATTATAAGATATTAAGATAAGTTTTTTTTCCACCCACTATAATATCGAGTTTCATTTAATCAACTAATTTAAGTAATGTTTCAATGAAATTTCTTATCAGTATTCGGAACTCAATAACCGAGTCATTTCGTTCAATAATCAATTATTTAGTCTTAGTACACAAAAGGGACTTTCTTGGATTATATTTACATTGATTTCATTTAAAGTCGTCGAGTTTAATTTGCAGGCGTCACTTCGGGAACACCAGCAATCGCTTCCACACTTTTTTTGAATGTAAAAGCACGATAAAGTTGGACGAATTGTGTTAGTGCGACAAAAACGTTTACTGAGAACAATCCGTAGTTCTTTGGGATAATGACGAGTGAATAGCGAGACCAGATAACGCCAGTTGCTGCAAGTGAAGCTGACTGACCCACAGACAATGTGTCAGCTGGCCGACGAAGATCATTTAAACCAGCTAAAACCAGACCCTTAAATAAATAAAAGAAGGAAATCAAATTGTAACAATCATTAGTCATCAGTATGTAAACAAAAATTAAATGAGAGAATGCACTTCGATGTGTCGCCATGAACTTCAAATTCTTTTTCTTCACTCAATCGTCGCATTCTGTGATCAAAATCTCGCAATAGAGAACAAATTCTCATTTCATTTTTACACGAGGAACTTAAGTTTTCACTTTAAGGCCAAGGCTGAGGAAATGAAGCTAATTCGACGTGAAAATCAGGTTACACAATCAGGAAGACCTTGAAAAAATATATTTTTTACTTTTTTCTTCTCGTCTCTTTGCTTACCCATTTGAATACTAAAATATCAAAGAATTCCATTAAGTTAAACCAGTTTAATTGAGTTGTTTATGAATATTTACCTGGTGCCCAGAAAAATACTGTTTTTGGTCCAGCTGGATGATTCCAAAGTGGTGTAAGTCTGGCTGGTACCATCGGAGTCGCCGCCGAAATCATTGCTGCGTATAATCTTGAGGCCATTCTCGTCTCTTTTTTCTCTCAAAAAATATAAGGTCTATCGTATGATTCTTTAAAATAACTAATCCAAACAGTGTCAGCAGTGAAATTTTATTTAAACTGCGACAATTTGCAAAAATAAATAATAAAATTTTCAGCTGAAATTGAAAATCGTAAACTTGCTTCCTCTCTCACAAGAGAAAAATGAGAGAGCTTGAGAGAGCAAACATAGCAGAAAATCGTACGTTAGTGTTGCCCGATGAAAACATAACAAATCGATGGAACTTAATGCATTCAATGATTTTGTAATGCAAAATTACAAGAAAACTTCATGTCATGTACATTTTCATAGGTTGAATCCATCTACGATATGAAAACAGTCATTTTTGTTTATTTATTCACATCAAAGTGCTATAACCCCAACACTTTGTAAACAGAGAACATTCCTCTCATTTTACGTCACGTGATGACGTCATAATGTCTCTTTTCATCGTAATCCTCTCATGCCTCGTATAGTAAAATTTATGAATTAAAACCGAAAATGATTTCTTGGAACGATGCTTTTTAATGAAATGTCAAGATATGAAAGGTTTTTTTGACATTTCTTTCATTTCTTGATTTATTTAAAATGAAATGAAGACATAAAAAGTCGTTAATTAAATTCAAGTTTCTAAGAACGTTTAGCATATGAGTCAATGAACTGAACTTTCATAATAGAATTAATCTTCACAAATGCCAGGAATCCTGAAAATTCCATTGTTTGTCTTATCTTCTACCTTCCACTATAAATCTATCACATTCTGCAAACAATTCTAAAACATAATTGATAAATGCAAATCGATAGCGTTGCAGGTGTTCTGTTCAGCATTTCATTGTTAAATCGTTGTGCTTTCATTCTTGCTTGCTCTTTTATACTTATGTACATAAAATTTTGTATAATGCACGAAAAGGAAGTGAAAATCAGATTGAATTACTAAAGTTCCCCAACATAAATAATAGCAAGGAAATTCGAATGGAAATTTGATTTGATATTTTTCGCTATTTTTTCATTGATGGAAAGTGAAAAGATAAACAGAACAATAGAGTGGGAGAGGAAGAGAAATAGAAGGAAAATGAAAAGTTTGTGGCAGGGGTCGGAAGCGGAAGCTTATGATTAAAAGCTTCCAAGCAGTTTTTCCCTAAACTTTGAAAGATTTTCTGCAAGTGAATATCTCATGACAAGCTTGACCATAACACCTATTTATATTAGTAATTTCAGCCAGATTCGATGATTGGTGTGGGCTATAATGACTATAGTGAGCTTCTAAGTCATTATAGCCCACACCAATCATCGAATCTGGCTGAAATTACTAATATAAATAGGTGTTATGGTCAAGCTTGTCATGAGATATTCACTTGCAGAAAATCTTTCAAAGTTTAGGGAAAAACTGCTTGGAAGCTATTAATCATAAGCTTCCGCTTCCGACCCCTGGTTTGTGGAGTTATCCAAACAAACCGAAATTTCAACGCTTAAGGTTTTTATATGAGGGGAAGCATCAGAAGACTTCTCGAGGCATTTTTTTCTCTTATTTTATTTTAGATTAAAATCCAATCATGGATGATGAGCTTCTCTTACTCATCTTAAAGTTGATAAGAAAAGTTCTTTTTCTTCTCTATTTCAATTCTAGATTATTTACTTTATGTTCTCTCGAATCATTAATTAGTTTAATTTCGTTGTTAATAAGCATCGCACGTCTTCTGCATCTTTAAACTTTTCACGATTTCTTTTAATTTGATTCACGTTAATTGAACGATAACAAACTATGCTTTTAAGGTGAGTTTATTTTCTAAATAAAATAACATTCGTTCAAGTTGTAATTACTTTTCCTGTCACAATTTGTACTTTATAGATTTCTTGCCGCTATCATTTGTTTGTGTTCCATTTCTTGTGTCCAGTTCAAGGTTATTGCTGAGAAGAAGTCGGATGCCAGTTCTTACATCACATTGAAATGTAATGAAACTGAAATGACTGTCGATAATTCTCAAGAATATTGTGCACTTAAATCAACTCGTTGCGTTCTCAGCGGATATAAAATTGATAACAAATATGAAGCTTCTCATCCGAAAGAAGCTTATTACATTTCGTGTCTCATTTTTGATAAGACAACAGTTCATGTGAGTATAAATATTTAATGCTGAGAATGAGTGGGAGAAGACAGAAGATTCTCGCTTATTTTTAATATTAGATCAGCTTTTAGCTTGTGATTGATGAGTCATTGTTTAAATTTAAATGCATAAAAAGAGAAATTTAATTTATTATTTCAGATGATTCCGACGAAATTCTTTGGCACATACGTCGCCGTCAAATACATTGACCTTAGTCATTCAAAAATCCATAAAATAGCAGATTTAGCTTTTGAACTTCCACTTCTTACTGAAATTGATTTGAGCGCCAATGAACTCATTTCTTTGACTGCTGACATATTCGCAGGAGCGAATCATTTAGAAACAATAAATTTAAGCTACAACAAGATTTCAATTCTCGATCCGCAAACTTTCGTCAAATTGAGATCTTTGAGTGATTTGAACTTATCTCATAATAATTTGTTCAACAACAGTTTTGGACGTGATGGAATTGATTGGACGGATGGGATGGAAAGTTTAAAAACTTTAGACTTATCATTCAATCATCTAACGTACCAGCATGTCCTTCCATTACAAGCATTTTCCGGACTCTCAAACCTCATAAATTTAAATTTGCGATCGAATCAAATCGTCATCGACTACGGCGCATTTTCTTCAAATCAAAATTTACAAACTTTGGATTTGTCGTACAATAAAATGACATATTTTGATTTAGATTATTTGTTATCGTTGGAAAGTCTTCGCAATCTTTATCTTCATGGTAACGGAATCTCCTACGCTGATCAAATCAACCTCGACGATGTGAAAACAATTTTCCCTGAACTTGAATCTATCGGACTTTCTGAAAATTCATTTTCCTGCGAAGTCTTAAGTGTCATTATAAAGAAAATGGCGAAGGCGTCAATTCATCTCGTTGTAGAGGACGGAATGTTTGTTAATAACAAAAGAAATCTTCGAGGCGTTGTTTGCATCTAAATTGAAAAAGATCAAAAAGCTTTTTATTGTTATTTCTCTTCTTAGAAAAAATAATTTTATTTTTTTATCACTTATTGTTTGTTATCTTCTTCATCTTTTAAAATGTAATGTTGGAGAATTTTCATAATCATAATACTCTTTAGTAGATTGCTTATTATCTTGCATATTATTATCAAATTTTTACGTTAAAAGTTAGAATAAAATTGTCAAGAGTTTTGTGAATAAAAGGAAGCTTTTAAAATGTTGAAAAGCTCACTGAAAGCTCAAATTGCTTACGAAGCAAAATCATTTTTTCTACTTAATTTCATGGAATTAGCTTCTGTAGAGAAAATTAAAGCAACTTTGTTTTGGCCACTCAAATACTTAATGAATAAAAGTAAAATTCGTGTCGGCGTATCATGAACAGGTTATGAAAACGCCACCGAGTCCCTCCTTTGTTCAGCCTTATCAAAGCACGCAAAGTGAAAGAACTTTTCACCTTTTCCGAATTCCTCGCCCTCTTGTAAAGTAAGTGGAGTTTTCCTGAATTCAAGAAAAAAATTATTTATCATTGTTTGCCTTAAATACTTCAAATCGTTTGCGTGGTTGACCAACAATAAGATTAATTACTTACCGATTAAGTGTCTCTGGTAAAAAAAGACAACAAAGGGCCCCCGCAAAACTCAAAACACCGAGAATAAGTGATGGCATTGCTTTGAAAAAGGTCGCCTGAAATGTTAATGAATGACAGAATGTAAATTGACATAATTTTTAGCTATTTTCAATGCAACGAACCGTGTAAAGAATGTAAGTGCTGAAGAAAGTCAAAGCATAACCGGCAACATGAGCTGCGGCAACACCTTGACCTCGAACGCACGTTGGTATTAGTTCAGCAGCGTATTGTGCTCCAGAATTATATGCAACAGTCACGCCAAACCGACCAATTATACTAAGTACAGCGAGTAGAATTGGATCTGCGAAGCCTTTCTGATAAGCGAGAATAATTCCGGTGCCTGCGGTAAAGAAACCACTAACTAATAATGATGATGATGCCATTGCTTTTCTTCCTATTCGATCTTGTAATGCTAAGAGAACTAAGCAAGCAGGGAGAATCGCAGATGCACTCAACGAGAAAAGTATAAAAGGTGACATGCCCAATCCCTCCACGTTCTTTGATATGGCATCGTATCCTAGCGTGATAATCATTCTGAGAAGAGAAAGTAAATGGAAATGAGATATCAGAATCCCTTGGATTGAAAAAACGAGAAGGCAACATTTTATAAGTTATTAGAAGCTTTCTGAAGCTCATTGAGAGCTTTTATTATAATTGATGGGGAAGATTCTTAAATCAAGTCACATCTACGTATCAAAATATTCATCGAGTGAATTTATTGTGACATAAATTTTCATTTTTCCCTGTCAAAATAAGAAGAAGAAGTCATTTACTTTTCCTGTCACTGCACTTACGATTTAAAGAATAGGATTAGTGTTAATCTTCTCAATCTCGGTGTCTTAAAGAGGGCAATGATGCTAGGATTGATATCTTCAGCCGCTTTTTTAACGTTGATATCAGCAACAACAGTTTTGAAGTCAGTGATGAAGTTATCGTCCAATGTTTTTCGGTTGAACTTTGCAATCTTTTGATAGCAAACGAGAGCTTTTTCAACTTTGTTCTTTGAGATGAGCCATTGTGCAGATTCGGGAATGATGAAATAGAACGTGGGAACAATGAGTGCTGGTAAGATTGTGGCGATTAAGTAAAGCTTCCAATTACCAAGCCACACCGCAAGCCATGGTGTGATGACAGATCCAAGACAGTAAAAGATTCCAATGCATAAATTTAATCCAACAGTTCGCATTTTCGGGGCAATGTACTCCATGACGAGAATGTACATCATGACGAAATTGTTATCTGTAGCGATGCCGGAAATGAAACGACAGATCGCAAAGCTAATTTCATCCGTAGCAAATATTGTCAAGCCATTCCCTATGATTCCAGCTAGATGTGCTGCGATTAGCACGGGAAGTCGACCGATGATATCAGCAAGAATACCTAGCACAAGTGTACCGACAACAGAGCCGATGAAGTATGTCGATTGTCCCATGACGGACTTCCAAGTATTTTGGCACACCCAGTTCAATTCGCTTGTCATGCTTCGATAACCGAAAAGGAAATCATAATCGTAGATCCATTGATTGCAGGGACTTAATATCTCGACGGAAGTGTCTCGCTTTAAACGACTTTCAAAACTCTTGGGATCTTGATCCCATCTCGTATCATACGAGAAATCTTGATACTTAGCATTGACAATCCCGTCGATTTTCGTACACGAAGGATTTGCCTGCCTTGAATAGAAATTCCTGATTTCATCAATTGACGCATTTTTTAAATTCTCTGAGTAACACCTGCAAGTTAAAGTGAGAAGAATTTCAATGATTTAAATATTTGCAAACTTTTTCAAACTCGACAGCTTCAGTGGAATTTTCCTGTCAATAATTTCAATGTTATCTAAAGTTTGTTTATTAAAATCAATTGGCCCCAAATGTCTACCGCTTTGAAATATTCTAAAGCACAAAATGTTGCTTACAAATGATTGGTATCACCTGTTGCTTTAATTAATTTTAAAAAGCGGAAGTCACGGAATAAAAACAAACAAACAAGATTTTCCAGGTAAGATTAAGTGAAAAATTTGATGGCATTTTCTTGTGATGAGAAATGAAAGAAAATTTTGTTTTCATAATTTTTTAAATTATAATTTTTGGGAAATTTAATAAACAAGCTTAATGGAATTTTAAAGTTTTCCATTGATCAAAACTCAACATTGGAACTCATTAAAGAATGAAAATTCAATGGCTGAATAAATTTCGTAATTTTATTAAAGTACAGTGAAATGCTCTACAAAATCATTTACAGAAACTTCTCTGTGTTTGTTTAATCATCTCATTTAATTGAAAATTCTTCAATGTCACATTTTCTCTCAAATTATAATTGAATTTTAAATAGTTTTCTACTTTTTATTTACTTACCAATGCTCGGGAACAAAGCTGATGATTGTCTGCGAATAATAATGCATCGAAGCAAGAACATTTATAAGACAAAAGCATCCAAGCAACATATATTGGTATCGATTAAAATCTCCACATTTTCCCAAAATCTGATCAATATTTGTCGCTCTTCCCATGATTTCAAATTCGTCTCACTTTGAAATGTCAACTCTCCGTCACGATCACAATTTTAATTGCAGCTCAATTGAATTTTATTAGAAATTTACTGCAATTAATAATTTTGCTTATCGAAATAACACAATCACTTCTCCAATTATTATTATTTGTTCTCATTCACAATTATAAATGACCAGAAGCTGAAGCCACTTTTCCTTATCAATTGAAAATAAATTGAAATTAAATATTACATAATTATGACCGCAGACATCATTGTCGTTGGTGTTGTTGTTTATAATTGAATTTCTCTCGCTCTCTACACTTCTTTATCTACTGAAAGTTTCCTTTAATTTAATTTTCCGTTGATTTACACAAAAGCTAAAAGCTTCAAATAACATAAAGACAACAAATCTTCTTTTGTATCTCTCGTGTGTCTACCTAAGCTTTATTTAGAAGTCCTTATCGGTCTAGAATGTCATTAAATGGTCAAATGTCAACTCTTGTATGTCTTCAAATGTTTGATTTGAACTACTTCTAGATTCACAATACAACAAACTTCTACCCTTAGCACATTTTAGAATTCGAATGAAAATATTTTACGATCTCGATTGACTTTTATACACTTTTTTGTATTTATTTTTCGCGGAAAAATCTAACCAAACGTGACAATCGTTTAACATTTGAAATTGCTCTGAGTACATTTTATGTGATTTCGCAATAATTATAATTGACTGCTGCTCATATGTAGATTTACTTATGGCGTGGGTGTGTCTCGCGAGTGATAAATAAATGAGCATAAATTCATATTCTGTGACGACACAATAGTCAATTAAATATTTTCTAACCAGGATGGGTCATTGTCTTGTTTTCACTTTCTTTCAAAATGAATTATTAGAGCACAACTTGGATTCAATTGAACCATGAAATCTGCTCTGCAGCTGCTTTTGTCATTAGCATTATCCCGTCATATCGACGACAAATTTGTTCTTATAATTAAGTTGAAAGCTTTTTCCGATCAATGTTTTCTCCATTTTTTATTAGTTTAAACATAATGAATGAAAATGGAGAAATGTGATTCTCACTCGAGCACAGAAAATTGCAATTCAGAATGCAATGAAAAGTGCAACACATGTTTCGATTTAATGTCACTTAAAAACGTTCAAAAAAAAATGCTGACGAAGAAAATTGAAAAGTTTTTTGTCACTAAGACTGAAAAATTTATAACTTAAATAAATTTATATAAACTAAAATTTTTCCAGACAAATTTATGTTTAATTGATAAAAAAAAATGATGATAGCGATCATTTCCTGAATTAATTATATACCTAAACACAGCTGACGAGCTTATTCTAAACACGACTTGCACTCCCAATGATTGAACTTGACAATGATAGTTACGTTTCAGTCGACAACCGGCCTACAAAACTTCGCGTGTTTTTATCAATTTGCTGACTGCAAACTTACTTAAACCAGCAATTGCCGAAAGTAATAAAAAAGTTCCTAATTATTTGTTCTCACAAATGCTTTATTCAAATTTAGTTTTGGAATTGTTTATTATCTTTCATGATGTATAAATATAAATATTTGCTTGCGAAAAAAAGTTATAACAGAAACTTTTTATTTGTATCTGAAATAAATAGTTAGTCATAGCTAATGAAAACTTTCTTAATCCAGATTAATCATCAAACATTCATTCCTATACGTTTGTAAGGTATTCTTAACCAGCACGGAAAGGTTTCATAGTTAACTCAACTTGTTGAAAGACACAACAAAATGATGCTTGTAGAAATTGTTGTAACTAAAACTTTTTTAATCAGTGATTTTCTTTTTAATCATCAATGTTACTTCGTCGATTAATCCTTATCTGAACGAGAGTCATCCAAACAAGCGTTAAGTTGATTTTATGGTTCTTTCATAAATTACGACTTTTCTATTTAATCGTTTAGCAAATTTTTTAGTGAACGTCTAATAAAACTTAAGATTAAATGATGTGATGAAAAATTTTCAGTTTATTGCTTGAAAAGAAAATTGTTGTCAACATTCGAAACTTTTTTGTTTTCAGAAAAACTTAAACGAGAACAACAATTAAGATTTTTTGTTGTTATAATTCGAGTTGAAGTTTCTTAAATTGTTTTAAAGCATTCATTGCAATTTTCCACAAAATAAAAAATCATTCTTTTGATATGAAAATCTTCTGACATGTGATTCAATGCTTTGTTCTTATTCAAACACATTAAACGTTGGTAAAAGACAAACTTTTCTCATAAATTCAATTACAGTAAAAAAGGAACTTTTCACGTCACATATTTGCAAAGATAATGTGTAAAGTTTCTTAATTATTCTTCTTCATAGTCTTTTATTGACCGACCACTATCACTTTAGAATAAAAACTGAAACGTTAGTAGAGATCTGACAGTCTTCTTATGTTCTTAACTCATCTCGGAATCTTAATGTATGAACAAGTACAACAGATGACAAGCATGTGTGTGGAAGATGAAGACAAAGATATTATAAAAATTTCTTTCCCTTAAGATGAAATTGGTTTATCGAATACAGAACATTATCTTTTATTATTTGTTTAAATGTTATCACCATTCACAGTTGAAATGATTAATTCATTGAATAAAATCCCAAGATAAAGTGCTTTGAAAGGTAGTAAAATTATATAAAGTGATTTTTCTTTTGTTCTAGTTTCAATTCAAATGAAAAGGAAAAACGACTAGCACTTCATTGTGAAAGAAAAGCAGTTGAATCACTGAATTTTATTAAATTGCGATTCTCTCTTCTCTCATTCCGAAAGTACCCTGCAGTTTTATGTGCATAGTGCACTTTTAAATGGAACAAACTATAAACGTTTTGAGACAAAGTCAATGTCGGTATGTCACTTTATTATTGTAGAAAACTTTAAAAAGTAAACAAACAAAAAACGGTGCAAATTTTTTTTTTTCGAGTAGTTATAAACAATGACTACGTAGACAGTGAGACGACAAAATAATTACTGATATAAATCATGATATTCGAATTTTCAGGAAAATTAAATTAAATGAGAGAAGGAAATTGGAAATTTTTTCATTTTTTCACGATTAAAAAATATCAGACAAATTGTTATGACAAAGTATGAAGCAATTTATTAGATTGGATGTCATCATTCGAATGTAACTCAATTATTGTATGAATTGGAAATCATAATTAATGTCAAGTAATTTAAGGCTTGTTGTATGTTAATATGATAAAGAGAATTTCTGATCTTTGTTAGACTAAATGTCTTTAAAATAATGTAAACTGAGACATGTTAAAAAGCTGATTTTTGAACATACAAAAGCAAATGAAATGACGCAATCGCGATTCTCGAGTGATAGAAATTTCTTCATAAAATGTTGCTTACACAAGGAGAAATTCGAAGAATGAATGTCTTCATTCATTTTAAGTCTAAGCAGCTAACAAAATAATATTTGAACACGCAGTTTTCTTTATATTGCGAAATGCTTTCGATTCACCAAGAGAAATTATGCATATGGTTTTAATTAAATTTCACTTCCATGATATGTTCTGTGTGATTTATCGTTATGCTTCTTCATGCTTAGAAGAATGTCTTCACATTCTTCAATTTCTCGAATTGCGCAGAGAAATAAAATAATTTCGAAATTAAAATTTTGTCGTATTGGTTTAGTGAAAGCAGCATGGAAACCAAAAATTAATCTTTCGGAATAATTCTGCTCGGAGCAGTTTCGGATTTATGATTTTACTTAAAAACTTCTTCTTGTTCTTTATATTTCTTTCTCGGAAGATAATAATCTTCATAGCTTTGAAGCTAACTCTTAATTACTTTTTAGTCGGTTTCAATATACCTTGTGATAATCTCATGAAGCGTGAGTGTTAAGATTAAGAATTATCGATCATGACTTTGAAAATGTTTAGCATCTGAAAACGGAAATATCGATTTAAATCTGAAATAATTTAAATTCGCAAGATTAAATACATTCTGAGAATGATGATAAAATATCGATAAAAATATTCTAATAAACGAGAAGAATTAATCATCAAAATCTGTTTCACGGGTTGCGTCACCCCAGGCGAAAAAGTTCTGAAAAAAGAAAAAATCTTAAATAATTTTCATGCAGTGCTAATGTCGTTGTACATTCCAAATTTTCCATTGATCTACAGCTACAGCACAAAAAATGATTAATGACCGTATCATCAATGAGATCAATCGTCTCTATATAAAGTCTTATCATTGGATTACATTTTTTATAGAAAATTGATTGCTTTTGATTGTGGGATAAATTATCAGAAAAAGTCGGCGATTTTACGAGTATCTAAGTAATATCTTTGTGAATTCATCAAAAAATTTATCCTCCCAGATAAATAATAGAAGACATTTTTCTTCCTTGACCATGAAAAATTTCTATGAATTTTCCTTCCTTTATCATGATTGTTGGAAATTAAGTTTTTCCCGTTGGAAAAAAAAGCGAAAGAACATTCAAAGATTATTAATCTTCTGTAAATATCCAATTGAAATCTACTAGAAAATGTTATTAAAAATATTATCCTTTAATCAATATATCTATCAGTTATTCTCAGCTGTACAAACACTTGTCGCTATCTTAAAAAAATGTTTTGCTTCTAGCCTTGCAAATTGCTTCTCACTCTAAGCTCCTTGTTTTCAACGTTACGACAATGCTTGATAATATTTTCCTGCTCAAAATCTATTACAAAAATTCTCTCCAGCTCTATTGTTAGTCATAAATCTCCAATTTTATTTATACATGAACTGATTTCCTTATTCATGTCTGCAAGAATAAAGCTCGTGATGTTTTCCCACAGATTTTTCGGTCTCCATTGAATCAGAGTTCTTAGTATTTGTTTAACATTATAAATATCTCCTCAAGCATTTTATTCTCGATGTTATGGTGATATTTGTATGCGTATGATCATATTAAATATTTTTTAAGCCACAAGTCTTCCTGCATAATTGTATGGAAACAAACTCAAATAATAATAAAAACTTTATTCAATTCAAGCCATGAAATTATCATCAGAAATCTTTTAACGCAAATCTCCATCATCTAATGGATATCAAAGTGCATAAATATTTGCTATTTAAATCATTTTATTCATTCGAATTATATCTGTACACGTCAATCAAAATTCAACAACAAAAAATAAAAAACCATCGCATCAACAAAATCTTTTGTAGCTCAAAACAAGTTAAGAGCCAATTACGAATTAAACAATCTCGTTTGAGTATTCATCATTAAGAGTACCTGCAGTAGGATTTTTTGCTGTTGTTCTTGTCTTCAGTTATGAAATTTTTGTGTCAAGTTCTTATTGTTCATCGTCATCGTTTTTAAGTTGTGGCAAGACTGGTGGCAAATATCCGTTTGGTAATTCATTGTCAATTGGTTGAATGGGAATCTCTTCTCCGAAATTAAGTGTTTCACTGTTAGTCGAGGTCGATGATATTGATGAAGAGATTTCTTTCCTGGGAGATTCATTAACTGATTCAAGGATTTCGTCAGATCCAAAATCAGATCTTTCATCGCTGTCTGATGGTTTTAAAAGGGGAAATTGATCATCCTTCAACGATAAATTATCGTCAACACTTTCCAATTCGTCAGTTGCCAAGTCAAGGGTAAGTTCATCTTTTGAAGGTATTTCATCTGGTTTAAAATCCACTTGTCCCGTTAATTCCTGAACTGTACCACCGGAACTGTCATCATTAAAGTCGGTATTGAAGTCATCTTCATCAGCAGAACTGCTTGGTGATGATGTAGTGCTTTGAAGCTGTAACGAAACTTCCGTAAATATGTTAATCAACCATGAAGGATTTTCAATCTTACGCCAAGTTTTTGCTGAACAATCTGGACGAAAAAATTAAGTAAATTGTTTTTATCGAAGCCCGATGACACAGTTGTCGGTCTTGGAGTTGTCGTCGGTCTGTTCAAAATTTGGACTTGTCTCTGAAAATGTTTAATTGCGTAGTAATTCAAAATACTTTAGAATTTTAAACTGTGCAAAAATATTTAAACAACTCACGCCAATCTGCTGGAAGAGATTTAATGCTTTAGAGACGACAGCTGAAAAGATTTGATTTTGGATTTGATCAGTTGGATAACGAGTTGGCAAATCTTGAGTCATTTCCTTGTTAAACATTGGAGTACTCATCATTGGAGTTTTAGGATATCGTAAAGTCTCAATGTTCTTCGTAATAATAATGAACGAACTTCCAAAACTAGTTGAAAGGAATAAAAGTAAAAACGAACGGAATAAATCCATGTTAATGCTTGCAATAAAAGAATTGAACACTGACTGAGAGCTTAGAATTCAGACAGACAACTTACTCAGTCCACATACAATCCCTCTTACTCGTCGCTCTGTTGCTTTGGTTGAAAAGTTGTTTTTGTTAAGGTCATTTGGTTTTTTTTATGTTTTCTGTACAATCTCATTGCACGAATCACGCAACTCTCTCACGTAGCCGAAATATTGTTGACAAATAAAGAAATTTTGAAGTTCAATGTCAAGTAATGTGAAATAGTTCGGTGAACTTTAACTTGATAGCAGGAAGTGCTGAATCTAATTTTAGGAAATCTTAATTTATTACGAGGATTGTCTTTAATTAATTCTAATCAAGGCTTAAAGTGATGTATGGCAGAGAATGATAAAAGTAATTTAATTACTTTAAGCTCGTGTTTCAAACTCCTTCAACAGTAAAAGCTTCTTCAGAAACGTAATGAGACATGAAAATTCGCTTTCGCATTCATAAACTTTATAAAATGTTTTAACATTTCAAACAAATTCTTGAAGATTATGAGGAACTTTTATTTTTTATACAATTTTGTGATTTAATGTTAACGCATGTGAATTTATCTGAAACATAAAAAGAATTTTTGTTAGGAAATTAAATTAATTCTGTCAATTGAGCAGATGGGTAATTATTTTTAAATTGTTGGTTGATGTCTGTTAAATGAAACAGAAAACCAAGGAGAAAGAATGAATTCAAACAATTTCCCTTCTTTACAACTCTTTAAATCTTTAAAATGCTTGGAAAATTCGCATTCATTTCCAACTCTTTCCTTTCTTTAATTAAACTGAATTCTGAATTCAATTAAGCTCTTGATTATTCTTCTTGATTCCAACAGCTTCGACTCTCGAATGAATTAAATTTATATTTATTTTTTCAATTCTAAATGCAAGTTTTTCGAAAAGCTCATCTAACAACCGACATTTAAAATGTTTAACTGACCAAGCTTTAAAATTTAATGAAATTTATAGCACACAATGGTTAAATAACAATTCAGAAGTAAAATTTAGTGGAATTACGGCAGCAATGAGTAAGCGGATTCCGGTTTTATAGCAAAAAGCTCTTGTTCGCTACCTAATTTTAAAAAAGCAATAATAATAATTACAGTGGATGTTCTCTAAAATAAAAAGGTTGATTTATGTGGGTGATGTTTTGCACATTTCTGATCGGTTTTTTAGGCTAAAATAAGTTGAGTGAAGTTAAACTTTAGCAGAAGAAAATATTTTTCAAGTCCCTTAAGTCATACTCATCGAATTGCAACTGTTTTAGACACGATACAGAATTTTTTACCATAAAAGTAAGAAAATCCCACTACAGTCATATAAACAAGTATTTTGTGATGTTCACTTTCTTAAGAAAGTTCAATTCTCTCATGTGAATCAATCAAGTTTGACCTTCTTTCTTTTCTCGATTTCCTTTTACGTCATCAAAACAACGCTCCAAAGATCCTCCTACGCACATTATAATGCGATATAATGTATCGCGACATCCAAAAATGCTTCTAGTTGTTCACATTTTAACAACTAATGATTCTTCTTTCCTAGGATGATTAATAACATTAAATGAAGAAAGATTTTCGAAATGGGAAGTTAAAAGATCTGAAATCATTTCGAGGGATCTTTTTTAAACCCACATGCGTCAGCAATGAAAAGCAAGGAATATAATGGAAAAATTGACAACTCATGTAGAACATTTTTAAAATGTGTTGTAATCATAAAAAATTGGATAAGTAAATATTCTCATATGGTGAAAATTTTTGAATGGATCCAAGTAAGTAGATTCCTCAGTAATTAACTTTAGAGAAACTTCAACGGCATCAGTGTAGACATGACTTGTACTTGCAAAAACAGGCAACTTTCTAATTTAGTAATTATTTTATAATTTCACATAAAAATCAACATACGAAAGCTTTTAGCACAATTTCAAAGTGAATGACTTAATTATGCAAATTTAACGAGAAAATGTTTCATCAACTAAATAAAATCATTCTCTTCATTTGAAAACTTTCAAGTGGTGGATAAGAAATAGAAAAGTTTTAGATCAAGATTATTTATCTCAACATTCCCTTTGAGCATGAGAAAATATGTTCTCGCATCTTGTGCTTCAATGACTCATAATTAAATTTTGAAGTTAGAAACATTAAGTCAGAAACTTTCTTACTTATTATGTCAAAAATCATGATGACTTGGGAATTTGGATGAATTCAATTAACTTATCATCAGCCGCTTTTTCATTATTCTCAAGAAGCTTTTTAATGAACTTTTTTAAGAGCATACTTAATGGAGCTTTAAGAGCTTTTAAAGGTTCTTTTACGAGGTCCTTTAAGTCTTTCGCATTCTCTGAATTCTCTGACAGATCTGAGTTATGCCAATTTTTTTTGTTTCAAAGTTAAGAACTTCCATTCCCTTTCAGACAATGAAATGTTTCTACCTCCGGCTATTCTTCAAGGATACTTAAAATGTTGAAATGATTTATAAACATTTTTAATTCATCTACTCACTTAGATACATAAATTGTCGAAATGTTTACATTTAAATGAAATTTATCATCGTCTGATCTTGGATTTATTTCATGTTCAATTTATGTCAATTATCTTAGATTTTGGAATGCTTTTGAATTTTTTCTATAAATTCTATTTGAACATTGAAAATAAGAAACCATAGTAGATACAACTTTCTGACAAAACCAATGATTTCTTACTTGTTTTGGTGAAAAACAATGAGAGATTCTCTTAACTAGTAAACCAGAAGGCTAAATTTTGAAAGTGTGGTGCTTCATTTCCTGTGAATTACGTTAATGCAGATGAAACATTTAATGAACTTTTCTGAATAATGACGTTAGCCTTCAATCATCTAAGACTCTTTATTCATCACATCTAAGAAAGAAAATCACACACTTTGAAATTAAATAAGATATGGAATAATGTTAAGTTCAAACCAAGCTGGATCGAAGTTCAAATGATCGACTGGTCCCATCAAAAAAACCATTTTTCCGCTGTCTTTCAAGTATCGAAGCCCCAAACTATTTTTCTTGTAGATTTCAGTTTCTTCCATTGGATATTCAACTCTATTGCTATTGTAATATCCAAACCATGATGACTCACTTGGTACTATTGAAATATCTTTTCGATACTTTACCAAAACAATTCGATTCAGTTTCAATAAATTTGATACGTAATTCTCATTGTAATATCGCTCATTGTTTATGACGGCTAAAAACGAACTTTTTCGTCGATATCGTTGATGATTTGTATCGTGCCAGTAAGTTAGTGGAACGACGCTTTTTTGAATCCACGGTAAGTATGCAATGTGATTAATCGAACTTCGAATATGATTACAGATACTTCCAAGTGTTTGTTGACATCTTGGATAGTGATGAACACCTTGATGTGGTGTTCCAAGCGTTATTAAATTTCTCATTGGTGGGTTTGGATACATTTGTGCTAAAGCTCGCCTAATAATAAAAAAGGAGTATTGAATTAACTTAATTGATTTTTATAATTATTTAAATCACATGAATAAACCGCCTTGCGACAGGCCAATTGCATTGTAGCCATTAGCAAACTTCTTATCGTGTAGAATGACATTGTGAATGTATTTTATCTAAAAAATAAAACAAAGCCATCAATGAATATCTGTAATGAGTTTAGAATATCAAACCTGATCAAAAGGATGGATTGTTAAACTTTTAAAATTATCAATTGATGGATTATTGTCAAGACATGCTGATCTTATGTAAACATCATTTCCTAACTTTAATTTTATGAAATTTATGTAAGTATTAATTTCAGTTCCAATGCATGGCGCACCTGTAGAAAAAAAGTTATAAGAATCATCTTCAATTAATTTAAATCAACCTTGAGAATCTCACCAGCCGAATGCCACAACAAAATTGGTAAATAATTTTCAAGTCTCACAAATTCAATGAAACTGCAAATGACGATCACAAGTTGAAGAACATTTTTTAACATTTTATTACAATAAATTTCACTATTTAGAATAATTCAGAACTTCAAAAGCGACTGATATTGGCAGTAAAACTTAAATAAAACTAAAATCGTAAGTATTAACGTGCCTTCGCAGTGTCACGAAATAACCAACTGTTTGTATAAGTTGTTTGTGTATAGTTTTTAAGTAAATTTAATTCAACAATAATACACGTTGAGGTGTTTGTTAAATTCAAACGTTTTAGTATTTTAAAGAAGTTGTATAATGTAACTTGTGTATCAAAATGAATTAAAAGAATGAATTTAGCTGATTCCTTCATTGCTCTTATTCTAAATTGATCTTCTTGATAAACAATATAATTTTAAGCTGATTTGTTTTACTGGTTTCAATGGGAAAAACCAGCAACAAGAAACCCTGAAAAAAGATATCGTCAATTGCCATTCCAAATTTAACCTTCTCTTGAAACATGAGAGAATTTTCCGATGAATATTTTTCTATTTAAATATTCATTGATAATCTATCTATAACGTTAAAGAATATCGAATCATTGGCACATTGTCTTTGTGGCTCTTATTTCGCTTCTAAATTGAGAAAATTTTAGAGTCTGATTAAGTTAAACAAAGGAAACCGTTAGCGACTTAAACCAGAGATAAACAGATTCAATGTCTTCGTAGGAGTGCTCTGAGAATTCCAATGTTTTAAATACCAAATAAACTCGACAGTATAATTTGGAATTTAATTTGATGCTCTCTTTGAGACATTCCCATGATAACGTTTCGAAAAAATTCCTTTTGACACCTAAATGTTTGTAGACAAAAGTATCAAGAGAGATAAAATGAAACAATGATAACACCATGATGACGCTAATAACATCAAGAAGTATCAGATTCAAGCTTCCTTATAGCTGACTTTAAATTTTAAAGTCCTTTAATATTTAAAAGAAACAATTTCTGCTTGTCACTTTGTTTTAAGTAAATATTGTCATGACTCGATGCTGCAGCGATGGAATCTTTTAAAAATGAAGACTTCTGAAAAATGAAACGTCATACATTATCAGTTTTAATCGCATAATCTTAGTAGAAAGGCGCCTAAGTGATATGAAATGTCCTTTTTATAACTTTTAGATTTATTTGTGTCATGATGAAGAAACATTGCCACTCATAGTCTTCTATGATCAGAGATTACATGAAGCAGCAATGAATATAAATTGGTTAAGTAGAGAAATAAGAGAATCCCGAAAGAGAAAAACTACGCATAAGTTTATCATCATTCCAAAGTCTGGAAGATTTAAGACTGAAACTTTTACCCTTTCAAGTGCATACTTATGATGTGTAAGCAACCCCAACATCTTTTGTATGTTATCGCTTGGGGAATCTTCGTTGGTTATCTACGAAATTTTGTAATCTGTGAATTTATTTCAAAAGTTGAATTGCCAAATGTGACAATAAACATAGATGGGCAAAGAAGTTTTTGCGCTGCGCAGATTGTATTAAAATTCATTTGCATTTCAAACATCAAATTTTAATCTGAGGATGACGATTAAAATTTCAAATATAGAATTCATAACTCCTTAAAGTTAGACGTCAGAAAAGAGTTAAAAAGAAGTGCAATTAAAATTTAAACACTTCAAGTATAAACAACTGCAACAACATAACTTAATCTCCACCTTAAAAAATTAAAAGCACTTTAAGTTGTTTGCTGAATTTCCTTTCGAATAATTCTCTCTGATGTTTTTCTCAACTTTTCATCTTGTGGCATGAAAAGCAAACTTTTTTCTGTTTTTCTTGGCACATTGAAGGGCTTTGTAGGTTTATGAAGAGAATTGAAAATTATTTTTAACTTGAATCTCTCTGCGATTTGGGAAAAGTTTGAAATTTCCAAGTAATTTTTAACTTTTCGTGGTAAACCGAGAAGTCACTTGGGATTCAATGGTGAACCGAGGTTCACAGTTTGTGAATCACTGCATTTTAATCACATTCATAAATCATTAGATTGAAATATCTTGTTGCTCATGCAGAAATTAGTTTCCCCTTTGGAAGATGAACAACGAGAACAGCAACTTTTAGTGGGATGCTGAAATTCCTCAAGCAATCTAACTATTTAATGAAATTTATGCAATCTTTAAATATTTATCCATCATTTCAAATATTTTCCGTTGCACATAACAGCGAGAAGTTTTCTGTAAATATTAAACCGGAAAAATCTTACGACTAGCAGCAAGTAAACTCTAATAAGTACTTGTAATGCTTGGGATTCTTCTTCTTTTCATTATACATCAACCAAGTTGAAGTTTTAGTTCTTTTCATGTTCGGAGAGAGAGAAATAAATTGCAATATCTTTTATTAAAACTTTACTAATAATAAAGGAGTAAACTTCGTTCCAAGCTTCTTTATGTAAACAAGAAAAACTGACATTTATAAAATGTAAACTATTGTTGAAGATGATACTGAGAAGGAGGGAAAGAATCTTCAAGATAATTTATCACTCATTTTGATTGCCCCGTAAATAATTATGGTAAAGGAATAAAAATTAAATTGAAGCTTACTTTTTTATAGAAACCGTCAAAACCATATCTGATGGTTGTGAAGCTCAAGATGTTTCATTTTTACCATAAATTTAAAGCTCTTTTCTAAAACCATTCAATCTCATTCCTAAGCTTTCTCTTCAAATAATTTTAGTGGACATTCAGATGACAATAGAACATTTTGAATCTTATTTGGGCTCAATAGGTTTCCGGTTTGGTATCATTTCAGAAGATTTATGTATTCAAATGACACTTTAAACATCCAATAAGAGGTCACAAGAAAAAGTTTTTTGCAACAGCAAAATATCTTCCATGTCATGTCTTCCTACGCAAACATTAGAAGGTTTTTATCACACAAAGCAAAAAGACAAAAATGCTTGATATATCTTTTGATTGGCGTCAATGTGAAAAATAGCTTTTGCATTCTTTCCCTTCGGCTGCCTCTCTCTGTCATATAAAATATTGAATTTAATTTCTTTTTACTGATTTTGAAGTCTGAAAGTGACATAAAAACCATTAAAATTTTTTCTGTCGAAGATGCTGACCACATATTGCGAACATTACATATTTTATTTCCACAACCTCATATTCTCGTTTTTTATTGGATCCAAGCTGTGACGTCACTAATAAATCAACAGTTTTTTCCTAGTTTTTTATTTTATTTTAGAATGTTCTGTAATGGAATAACGTCCTGATGAATTAAAGTAAATAGCTATAAATCTTTACGATCTTTAATAAATATTTTCTTTCTAAGGACATATTCATTGCTCTCGTAGTAAATTGCATTTTAATCACTATAGGGCGAGAAAATTACTGCGCTATTTATTGCAATTGTTATATTCTAACATTTAATTTTCCTTGCTAAAGAGCGTTTGAACATAAAAAATTATTTTACGAGCTTTTTTCATGAAAATTTATTCATTCGCTTTGGCGAATGGTGATCAAGTCTAACCGCACTTTCGAGCATACGACAATCGTTGTTATTTAAGGATTTTCCTTATTGTAAATATTTATCGCTGAAATTTTTTTTGTTACGTCAGAATTACGCTAGAAAAACTCTTCCTAAGTCGTAAATTCCGGAGGGGGAAAAGTTTCTAAAGTTACGACCTGCAACTAAACTTGATGCGTAGATCGTAAACGAGAAAACTTCTCGGTTTGTTTTTCTATCATGTTGGTATCGATTTCCTTTCTAAAGACATCAATAATGATTTCATATCATAACATGATGATGTACATAGATGATGATGGTATATTTTATTAAACGAGGTTAATCTGAAGGTTTCACCTTTGCTTCCATTGTTGGTAGTTTTGTCACCTAAAAGCTTTTACGTTGAGAATTATTTAACATTTGCATCATGATGTTACTATAAGAAGTTCAAAGTAGAAGCATTAAACCTTTAATAAAGAGTATTTAAGATGAATTAAAAATTGAAATCAAGTTCCAGAGAGAAATCGGAAATGTTATTCAAACGTCTTTTTATTGACAAACTTGAACGAAAAATCTTCCAGCATTTGACAGCGATACAATACAAATAGTAATCGACCTAGATTGAATAGAACTGGAAAAAAGTTCAGATAAAATCATCAGAAATAAAGTTTTCATAATAAAATAACAGAATTTTCCATTTTTATTCTTCAAAATTCCTTTCCTAATATTTCTACTTACAATTTTTTAATCTCTTTCATTTGATTTAAGTCAAGGGATCCATTTAATTTCTTCTTTTTTATTCTGGGGAAAGAAAGCCTGAATTGATTGAATGAAAATTGTGGTAAGCGGAAATATCTTAAATCCATAACTTCCTTTCTTCCTTTCCAATGAATAAAATTCCCTAAAATTCTTCAACTTTAAAACAACTTCAAAAAGTTTTAATAATTCAGAAAAATAATTTTTCCTTTCATGTTAAATAATTTAATTTTCTTATTATTATAAGTCTCGTAATTTAATTGTTGATGCAGTCGAATGAAAAATCTTCTCGGGAACCTTTTAAAACAAAAGTACAATGCTGGAGAATTCAACTCTCAAGGGCTTTTAACAACGGTTGTCATAAAACAATATTTACAGCACATTTATGACCATCCTCTGTTCCACTTAAATTATGAAAGCTATAAAATTATTTCCTTAGGATATCTTTTAATCCTACAGGAAGGACAATGGTTCAGCTTTGTATTATTTTTTTCTCTCGATTTCATTTGAAGAACAAAAAAATTACTTTTTTTTATGTGACACCAACGATGTCTTTGGAAATAGAAAGTCGGTTGCGTGATGAGGGGAATTGTGTAAAAGAGACATGAGAAGCTAGCTGCCAACTTATTTTTTTTATCTTAGAACATATTTCTTCTCACGCTCGATGCTGTTATGGTGAACATACATAACATTTTTATGATTATAGTCCCTGTACTTCAATTTTATATTTAGACTTTCCTATCTATTGCAAATCGTCACTTTCCTTTTAGAGAAGCTAAACATCCTCGACATCTTCATGTGGGTGAGATAAAAGCTTTTTCCAACGAGTTAGTTTACACTTTATTTCACTTCTTGTTCTATGACGATTCTTACAAAAAAGAAGATAATTAAAATTTTCATTCTCCATTTAGAACAGTGACATGAAACATCATAAACGATATGATGAGTGTTGTTAAACAAGAACATTCCATCACATGATAAAGAAGAAGAAGATAAGGAAAAAAAAGTTTAACAATAAAAAAAACCATCTGTCAAATGCTATGTCGAGCATTGTTAAGAATATCAGTGAAGCAAGAAAATAAAGCATGGAACCATTAATTACAGAAAAAAATGCCGGAAGCAAATTGAATTTTAAGGGATATCTCAAAGGATTTATAGGAATTTTCTTTACAGCTTTTGATGTATGTATTATTATCATTCAGTTCGCAGTTGTTTGAACATTTAATGGAACGACAGATAGACGAATTGCTGGAATAAAAACGAGTTTCCCTTGAGTGATAAAAGCTGATATATAAATACGCTTATGTATATTTTTGTTACAACATCCGATAAGAGTGATGGCTTTGACGTCTTTCTTTGGAGGTTACAATTGCAAATTTAATTCTTATCTATATTTACTGTATGAAAATTGGAGCATTTTTCTCATTTTCTATACTCTTTGGATTATCAACTAAAGGAAAACGATTTCATCCCATTACTTTATCATTTCGAACGGCAATTCAATTTGAGAAGTAAAAGAAAATTATTCTATTACGCATGTTTCATCAATTTGTCGATAAATTCATTTATTCACAATTTATGACGATAATTTGAAAGTTAAATGTTTAGATTACAACGAATTGAACAACTTACTGATTGTTTCTTTGTGTTTTCTGCTGATTTATTGGTACGTTGACAAAATGTTTCATTTTCTTTTTTTCTTTCTAATCTATTGAATTTTCTTCGATTGTTAAATCATTGAAAGTTGAAGACTGATTTTTATACAAAACACAATCTGGATAGGACGGGAAATCTAATTTTGAGACAGACAAAAATAACCTTCAATTTCGTGATTAAAATTTGAATTGAATTTCACAGAAACTTTTCACTTCTTATTAAAAATTTTCAATAATTAATTCTAAAATTTCATATGGTTTTGTGACTGTTTCAAATGATGTCTTTTATCCTATTTAAGTCAGAGAAAAATAAAACTTTTTAAAGCTTTTTGTTATCTCATGAGTTGCATTCATTGATGTGAAGCGCCTTTCTTTACCCCAACAATAATTAAAATTATATTTCTTATCATTTTAAACTTTTAAAAATCTGGTTTGGACATCTTAATGTTGCTATTGACAATATTAAATCTTAAATTTAAGTTTTTATGTCTTCGGGAAAAGAAAAGTTTGTTAAACATCAGTTACAAGTAACTTTATGAGTTTTAAATCAGTGTTGTGAACATAAAATTGCAACTACATTATGAGTGAGTTTCGAGATTATTAAAACATGTGACAGCTTCCACTTCGCTGAGCTCAATGTTGATGTAATGAAAAGTGTAACAATTTTCTCTTAAAAGCCCGACGTCATTATGAGTGCATTTCCGTTGATGTCTTCCCGTTCCCAGTCTGCATTCATCAGAGATGTGCTGCGTGTTATTGATATTGCCGATGGTCTTGGCAACGTTTCCCGTGCTGGATAATAAACAATTGGCCCAGGTGACGGTGCTCTTTGTGTTCTTGTTATTCTATTTGTTTTTATACTCGTTCCATTCCTAGACGTACTTCGAGTCGTTCCGGATCGTTGGAATCGCCCCGAGTTACGATTACTGGCATCTCCATTGGAGAATGAACTGTCGTCGTGCACAAATCCTTCGGGAGAATCGCGACCGACTCGTCGGAATTTACAAAATAACTGAAGGAAAATTCTTTTGAACTTCTCGCCGAATATCACATAAATGATGAAATTCACACTCGAATTTATGGTCACGAGAAGATTTGACGTTTTCACCACTGGATCGTAAATTATTCCGGTAAATGCTTCAATGATATTTATCAGTAAGGCTAAAATATTACAGCAAATGAATACAATGACGACACAGAAAAGCATCGTGGCAAGTCCAATCTCTCGTTTCTCTGTCCGACTCAGTCTTTGTCGCTCGCGATTCGCTCGTCGCACTTGTCGATAGATCATCGCGTTGAAGAACGTGATACTTAGGAAGGGAATAAAATAGATGAAGATCAGATAAAGCCAATGAATGTAGATGTTGATGTAAAGCTTTTCAGCCCTCAATTTGGAAGCTGAGATGCAATACACATAACCATATTGGTAGTCGCTATATTTCATGAGTTCGACTTCAAAGAAACGAGGAATATTGTATAAGAATGAGAAAGCAATGATGACGACCACGTAGAGACGAGCACGACCATAAGTGCAGAGAGCCCGCGCACGAAGCGGATGACAGACGGCAACATAACGTTCGAGGGTCACAGTTAAAGTTAAGTAAACACTGGCGGTTTGAGCTGTCATTGCGATGGGATAGACGAACTGTGAGATCTCTGGTAGTAGTCGAAGAGAGTAATATCTCAAGTATCCTGTGTAAGGATAGATGGCGGGCACTCCGAAGAGTAACATGGACGTTAAAATTAAAATAGTATCACAGCGAGCAAGTCCAATTAGCAGATAATTTATGCTTGAACGCATCTGTGGACGAGACAGAATTATCATTGACAAGATGTTGCCAAAAATGCCAAGAACGCCGACAACATTCAGAAGAATCCCATTCGACCAAAACTCGAACAGTTCGTTATCCGAATCCGCTTCTCCACATTCTGATAAAGTTAAATTTTCTGCTGTTTGGTTAACATAAGAATTATTGGTAAAGTATTCAGTTGTTGTCGAATTGAAGTTAATTAGAGTTTCATTTGCAATATTTTCAAATATCGTCGTATCCAGAATATCGTTCATGGCTTTTGATTATTTTGTGTTCCGATTTTCTCTTTTTGTTGTTTTCGTATTTGTCACTTATCGTAGTGCGTTGTGATATTTTTGTGAGAATCTTTTCGCCTTTCCATTCACTGAATTGTTTTTGCTTTCACTCTTTCAATTTGTCGATGTAATGCGTCTAAAAATACGATGAAAATCTCTCTTGCTTGCTTGTCTCAAATGCTGGTTGCGCACAGAAGCTACACAAAAACGCTTTTCAGTATCAACCAGCAAGAATAGCGATAACAACTTCGAGAAATTGCTTCATGTCTTTAATGGTGGTTTCAAATTGTTTTTTATGATTCTACAGTTAAATGGGAAAAAATTTATTTGGTAGCACTTGTGTGCGATTTGTTTCATTTTTAATTATTTTGCATAGAAAAGCTTTTCTCGTCGCACTTTTCATTATTAATTTCACTCTTTCCCAATTGTTCACTTTCACCTTTTTGCACAATAATTATTGATTGTTAATGTTTTCATATTTTATTGACAAATTATGTCATGTGAGCGAAAACTCCTTCAATCATTCAAAGTATTGTTTAATTGAATTAACATTCATTTCATTATTCTGCATCACAAACAATAATTCATGGCTGAATCCCTTTAATTATTCACTGATTTTTTCCAAAACAAAAAATTATCCATTTGTCTTCACTGAACTGTCGTTTGCTCTTCGCCATTAATTTCCGCTTCTTTTGTTTATAATAATCGAAGATATTTTGCAACCAGAAATGTTTGCTTTGTCTTTATCATTTTCTTAATGTTCAGTCGGAAAGAAGACGACTCAAGTATTTATTGCACTTAGAGATCTTGATATCTCAACTAACATTGCTTGAAAATGTTCCAAATTAGAGTGGCTTCGATTAAGTCATGTAGAACTCTTATTAACTTCTCTGTCTTAATTTTGTCTGAAAAGAAAAATAGAAAAATCCAATAAATCTAATTAGATATCTTTTATTTCGTGTCTTTTGGATATAATAATAATAAATTAAAATAAATGTTATGATAGTCAGTAATTATTTCTGTTAAAATATTTGCTTTTCTCGTATTGAAATGTACTAACAGTGTTCTAATCAACAAGTGTCATTTAAGCGAAGCAATAACTTGACACAAAATTGTCCACTTGGGTAAAAATGTCGAAAATGCTTCTAGAAATTATTAAAATAAAAATCGCTTGGCACCGCTCTTCATCATTGAAATATTTTTTTTGTGAATAATGCTATGATATATGAGTGCTCTTGAACTCGAAACAAATTTTGTGCCGTCTTAAGTGGAATCTCGTGTATGTTAAATTGAAAGGTTCTCGTTGAGGGTCATTCGTTTGTCCGTTTTATTTTATTATCAAAAGTTTCCAAAAAGGAAATGAAGCCAAATCTTTTGTGGTCTAAATATCTGAAGCTTCGATGAATAAAATTCATTTTAAATTTACTTTGTCATCATATCCAAAGTAAAAGCTTTTTTTAAGGTTCTTTAACTCAGAAAAGAAAATCAATAAACTGATATGTGCTTCCAACTTTAAGCATTTTGTTGACAGAAATGCTTGTGGCGATAACAGATTTTCCTTTTTTTGTTTTGAAATGTCAGAGATAGCATTTCCTAACAGTCAATTATTGGATATTCACTTATCTATCGGATAGCTCTCAAAATTAACACAATTCACGAACGATAGAAAGCAAAAATTGGAGTTTTCATCCGGAAAAACTTTTTTGTGCGTAAATTTGATTTTGTTTTTTTGTGCAGATTGAAAAATATTCTTCATAACTAAAATTTCGTTCTATTTATAAACATAAATGAAAAAAAGAAATTTAATTCTATTTTATTTCATGTCTTTTTCCATCCTGTTTCTTGTTTTCGATGAATAATTGTAGTTTTAAAACGTATTTGTTTTTAACATGAAAAATTTGTATCATCAGTCATGAAGTGGAAAATATTGAATGATAAATTTCTGTGACAGTTTTTTCTTTTTCTTTTCTTTCTCTAACTGGTATACCATAGAATATAAATTGCGAATAAACCGTAGTTGATGTGGTGATGACGATGAGAAGTTATTGAGCGAAGAGATGAAAAAGTTATAATGAACTCAAGAAATTCTATTGTAAGTGAAAACATTTGAGTATAAAATGCAAGATTGATATATGTAAATATATTTAAGAGCGTAAACGTCACATGAAAAAGCTTTTGCTTTAAAGGAGATAAAAGCTTTTCACGAGTCATCATGGGAAGGAAATTGAGATTTAACCTTTAGAAAGAAATGAATTGAATAACATTGAGTTTGTTACGTTTATTGCATTGACACATTTTTGTGATGTTATTCCCAAGAGATATCTAATAGAGTCGTTTATCTTTTGTAGTGACACTTTAGAAGAGTGTCAAGCAACTGATTATTTTGTTACATGATGGTAAGTTATGAGATACAAACAGAGCTGGGCTGTTTGACGAATGTTTAAGACACAAACATTTGGAAGTAGTAAATCGTAGACATTTTAAATCACCCTTCTCTGACTTCATGTTGTTCAATTAAGAAGGAACCGTAAAACGACCTCAACTGAATACGTAAAGTAAACCTGAGAATATTGTTGAGAAAAGAGATAAAAAGCATCCGACAAATTATTGTCACTTGAATTGCGCCAAACCGATAGAAGGGTAGAATAAAAGTCACAATGATTTTCAAAATCTCTTTTGAGATGTGGACGTTAGAAGTTATTTTCCTACATTTTTAAAATTAATGATGGTTGCTTGAGAGAAAATTTTAAATCAGAAATAGATCTCAGAAAAATGTGAATGTTGAAGCACAAGTTTTGCAAAAGTTTTTCCTGAATTCTCAAAATGTTTTTGTCTCCGTATTGCACAAAAATCTTAACGTATACTTGCAGTCCTGGTAACTGTGCCAAATAATAGTTTAAGTTTAGATTTTCTTTGCTTCATGTTTTAGTGAGACGAGAAAGAATATTAAAAAGAAAATTGAAATCTCACGAAAATTCAATTTTCTGATTTTCAACTTTTATTTTTTTAAGCATGAGAACGTTTTCTTTCTGCTAGATTACACTTTTGAGATGACAGCTATGTTCATTTTTTCCTACATATTCTCACCTGTTTCAATTTAATTCCTTTCAAGAAATGCATGAAAATTGTGTCGTGCCTAAAGCAATCTTTTTTCTCAGATTACAATAGAAATTTTGATGAGAATATTTTATGTAAAATTGTTACAAACATTCCATTTAAATATTATTTTCACTTCACATAGATCATCCAATTAGTCTCCATCAAAATATTTTTTCTATATTTTCTATTCTTACACACGTGTTGATCTTTGTTATTTAAATGTAAATTCTTTTTAAATTTATCCTTGTTACTTTTTTTTATTAACGATCGCTCGTTAAATATTTAGAAAGAATTTTCCGAATGAGAGAATAAATATGTAAAAGTCACATTAATCGCGATGTTTTCCAGTAAAAGCAAATAAAATTTATGTGTGATTCAACAAGAAACATCTTGTACCTGCGAAATGTCGATATTAACTGAAACATTTTCTGTTTTCAAGCTCAAAGAACTTTTATTTCGAAGAATGTTTGAAGGAAAAATGTACAACGACGACTTGAACTGTTCAAGTTAAGAGAGAGACATTCGTTCTCTCATTTGCTATAAAATATTTTCTCGACTCTTGTGAAGCTTTATAATCAAAATTGTCAGAAAATTGCAACGAGCAACGAGCAATGAACAATTTATCATTTAGACGTAGGGAATGATCTTGTTTTGAATATTTCATAAAGTGAAGTCAGTTCATATTAATTAATTTCACAATTTCTACATCCCAGTCACCAGCTTCTCTATAATTAAGAAGATATTATAAAGTTGAATTATCCGCGTTTCATTTGATTAATTTCTTTTCTCTTTAAATTTTCATAGCCGCAAATCACATTAGAATTTATATACTGAAGAGATAACACCACTAATTGCACATGAGTATCGTTGCAGTGACAGATATCCGAGCATATTTAAAGGATGAGAATTTTATTGTTTCGACCATTAATTTCTCTGCAAAAAGTTGCGAGGCGGAAGATTAATTCGGCGTTTGTAAATAAAATACTTTAATGGTTTTAAAAAAGATTGCTGACTTTTATCATTTTTTAAATAACTTTAGAAAATTCTGAAACTTTTCTGTTTGATTGATATACATCTTTAATGTTAAATACGTGCTCAAGTGCTTCAACATTGCAAATGTTAACAATTTTAATATGAACTTCAACACCATTGAGCTATAAATTCATCATGATGAACAATTTACCAACTAATTGCAAGCACCTCTGGGTATGTAACTTTCCACACAATCGGAATGTTCACAATTTCTGTTTCATTTCAGTTGTCATTCAGTACAAAAGCAAATATTAATATAATTTAAATTTACATTGTATTAAATGCTTTTTGAATTCAAAAACGAAACATCAGCACTTCATTTTGATTCAAATTATTCTCATTTAAAGCAACATTTTAAAATATTTTTGGTTATTTGTGATTATTGGTTTTCTAAATCTAAGTCAAACGCAAATCATTCAGACATGTGCGTCTATTATTGAGTTTATGTTAATGAGTAGCAATTCAATTTTATTATTGAATTATCATTTTATTGGACAAGTTATTGGAAATATTTTTATCAAATCATAAAATTGTTTTTCATATCAAATTTTGCCAAGACAGGCTGAAGTTTTGATTATGATTCGTACTTATCATTCGGCATTACACACCAACGTTTTCATTGAAGTTTAAGATTGTGAACCTACGCCCAGGCATATTTTTGTTTCAAACAAACATTTAATACAAAGTAAATAAATATTTCTTGTCGTGTGTTTTGCCTGAGGTTGTTATAAAAACGCAATGTTTCATTTAAAATTCTTAAGATGAATTCTTTTGAGTTAAAATTAGCAATAAACTTTATGAAAAGAACAAAAAAGCTTTTAGGAAGGAAGAAATTTGTTATTTTTCTTTTGTCCATGATCTTGTTAAACAAGAAATTTAAGCCATGAAAGCTGGTACAAAAATCCTTGTAAACTTCTTAAAAATTAAGACGTTTTCCTTCCAATTAATAGTGTTAGAAAGAAGGAAATTAAAGCTCATTAATGGAAGCAATTTTTGTAATTGTCAATCATTTTTGATTGATTTTAATTGATTTTGTTTTTCTCCTTTTCAATCAAAATTTTTTAGATAAATCGAAAAGCTTAAATTTCAATTCCTTTTGCTAAAATAAATACGATACCTTTTCAAATGTTTGAAATCATTAAATAAATATATACGAAACATCCATTTCCATAAATAGACAATCGAAGATATCAACGGAAGACGCAGCGGAACCAATGCTTGAACTTTAGCAGAGCATTTAATTCAGGAGTTGTCGTTTCTTTATATTTCTTTCTTATTTCTTAAAGTTAAAAGCATTGAAGTATCTTGATAGAAATTTATAAACTTTATTTTTAAGATGTTTCATGGATTTATTTTTGGAAAATGTATGAGAAGTAAATGGAATTTTACTTCATTGAACTGTTTATTCAAAAATAAAATTTCCAATTGATAAATGCGTCATAGATAGGAAGGAAGAGGACTTTCTGTTCAACAAAATACAATTTTAGCGACTAGATATGTAACTTGAATGTCAAATTTCATACGTGAGTCAATTACTAACAGCTTCAGCATACATAAATGTAATCATTTAACTCTGTCAACTTGAAATTGCTTAAATAGTTCAAGGTTTGCATGAACGAGATAATTTGTACATCCAATAATGTCTGAATGTTTATTCATGCAAGAATAACGATTTGCTTAAACAAATATTAAAGCCAAAGGAAAGATAATATTTAATCTTGTGGGAAACAATGAATGATGTAATTCAATTCCAAATAAATTTATGAAAAATTATAAGGAAGTCTCAAAAACGAATAAATTTTCAGTAAAGTTAAACATTGACGTAATTTTCCTGTTTCTTGGTTTCATAAAAGTCGCTTATCAATATATTCTTTTTGTTATGATAGCATTTTACAATAATTTATGGAAATTCTATATAAGCTTCAGTGACACTTCAGTGCATGTCATCATTTGCTTTGACGTACACAATTTCGTATCATTTTTCAAAAATTTAACGTTTCTTTTCATCCCATAATATGCTTTTGTTACTTATGAGGCGTAAAAATGGTACGCTTAATAAAGAAAATGATGTGACGTCAAACTTTCTGAGGAATATAAAAAAATTCCTTAACACCTCACATAATCCTTTTTTACCTTAACAAATTTGATCTCATAAGAAAATAAGATAAATTCGAAGAAGAAGCACTGAAAGTTATTAAAATTAATTTTCCCTTGCCACCAAAGACATTTCAGTCAGACAATTAAAATCATAACGATTAGAAGGCTCCATTAAACTTTATTTGCTGAATCGAAACTCTTTATCTTCATAAAAAAAGAAGAAGCTCAATTCAATCAACTTCAACAAAAGCGAGTCCTAAACATTAAATAAAAGATTATCAAGAAACGCTAATAAAACGCGCATTTCGAATTTCTGCACGTTTGAGATTTATCTAAGCGAGAGAGAAATGAATGGAAAGGAAATGTTGTTCAGTACAACAAAGCCTCTTAAATTAACATTCCTTAAATGATTTTAATATTGTGAAAGCAAACAAATGATAAAGTTCAAGGTTCTTGTTATTACAAAGATTGCGATTGGACTTTGACTTGCTGAAATATCAAAAGTCTTGTCATTTAACTAACAACCCTAATACAGTTTTGCTAAACAAGAATTGACCTGTCAGCATTGATTATGATAATCTTTTGATTAAAGTTAATCTTTGCTTTCCTTTCCAATACAGTATTGATGGCAGTTCGATAGGAAGTAATTGGAAAAGAAAAACTAGACTCAGACAATGTTTAAGTTTATATCATTTGAGGCACGTTCAATAAGACAAAAAAAGTTCCACGCTTCACTTGTTAATTAGGTATATTATTTGTTCATTTCAACAACTTTTGTAATTTGATTCTCGACAGCTTCTTTTTGAAGGTCAAGCTGACAAGATTGGAGTAATTAGTCAATATTAGCTGAGAACATTTAAGAACAATTGAAACGTTAATTTGATGCACGTTTCGTTAATTTCGGCATTCTTTTTTTGTAGAACTTTAACTAGTTTTCATTTAAATGTTAGCCTAATATGTTTTTAATCCAGTCATGTGAAGTGTTTGTAAAACTTTCTTTTCATATTTTGAGAATAAGTTGAAAGTTTTCAAGTAAGTCAAAATCTAAAAACTTACAATTCTATAACTCCGTAAAAACATCCACTAAGTGATGAATTTTAATATTCAATTAAACAATAATTAAACAAGTTTTCTTACAGAGAAGAATGAAAAACTTTTGCTATAAAGACGTCATCACCCCTATAAACTTTGACACTCTCGTCTTTTTTTGTTTGTAGAAATGTGAGAAAAAAATGTTAATGAGAGAAACTTAACATCTTAATTACATGTGAATAGCCGAGTGAATAGTCAAGAAGAAGTTTAATGAACTCAGATACTTCGTGCTAAAAATACAATCACTCATTAAGATGAAAAATATTTGAAATTTTGTAACTCTTTTGAATAGAAAATTATTAATTTTAAGTCAATTTATATATACAAAATACAAATTCGAACAAAAATGTCATGAGTGAATAAACCCAGTTCAGAGTTTTTACTTAAATTCAATTTAGATAAGAAAAATGTCCTTTCTTTCCTTTTTGGAAGGAAAAGTTGAAGTTTCCTTGAATATTTATGGTTTGACTTTTACGCTGAATAAAAAGTACGGTTGAAAAATCTCTTTCATGAGTATGCTTCAACTTCAACTTCAACTCTACAATGTATATAAAATGTGTTTGAAGTTTTAAAAAAGTTCTGCCTTTAATCTACTGAAATTACTTGAATTTATAGGAATGTCTTCAAAGCAGAACATTTAACGAGTTGAACATGATTCAGTCTCAATTTTCATTTGCTCACGTACAAAACAGTTTAACAGAAAAGGATAAATTTCTAAACAATTATTTCTCATTTCAGAATTTTTGATACTCTAAATAAATTTTCTGTGGAAAAATCTGAAACAAAAATTTAATAAATTTTATAATTTCTACAAATTGAAAATAAGGAAGCACAAACAAGCAAAAACAGATGAAAGCTTCCAAATTTAATCAGCAAAGAATTCCAAAAAAATTATTAAACCCTTTTTCGGTTGATTTAATTGCTGGAATTAAACTGAAACCCATAAAGAAAATTTGGAAACGCTAATAAGTTAAGCTGTTTAAATTATCTGTTTGATGATGGTATTGATTTCATTAAATGAGTATAAATTATTTAGACATCTAATGTAATTACAAATTATTGGAGATAAAAGAGATGAAAGCAACAAAATTAAAAATGTTGTCAATAACAAGAAAATTCTTCGTATGCAATTATAAACAAGTGGTTGTGAACACATGAAAGCTTTGAGAAGTATCAAAAAGTTTCATCAAACTCAATATATTGGGAAAAAAATTCAAAGGTTTCATTTTCATGGTAAAAGTAATTTGATGCTTTTAACAAATTGTATCCTGGGGATGAATTTCTTTGAAAAAGAAATTTAATTGATTGTCAAAAAGAGAATTTCGAAATTAAATCATTCAAAGTTCAATGAGAGTTCACTGTACTTATTAAACACAAAAATAATTTTGTAGCAATGAACATCAATAATGAAATGGGATGACAAAAACAGAAAGGCGGTTTAACGCAGACTGAAATCCAACCATCTTGTTATCATCAGCAATAACTTTTGGAGCTCTGTCATTCTTCATTCACACCCTTCAAACTCTCATTTATATCTCTTGTCATTAAAACCTCTTCGAATGCTATAATGATCCGTGATGTCATTATCTTTGATCTTGGAAAAGCTCTGCTGGGCTTTCCGTGAAAGCTCTGAGAATATTTCTTCAAACAAACAAAAATGTTCAGGAAGTTAATATTACTGTAATCAGTACTTTTATTATGTTTCTGATGTTTAAAATGTTTCCTGTCACACTCAATCTGAAGATCATAAAAACACGTCATAAATTAACTCCTCGAGTGATATTAAATCGTGACATTTCATTTCAAAAGGAAAGTAAATAAATTAAATTTCTCGGAACTGAGAGAATCCAGAACATATTCAAAAGATTTTCAAGAGTAGGAAAAGCGAATGTTGAGCAAAACTTCTCATACCATTCACAATTTATTCATTTGATTGAAATTGGGAATTAAATAACTTAAGGCTACATTGCTACAACGTCTTTAAACGATATTTAATTACAGAACTTCAGAATTAATAATGGATAAGTTATCATTGGAAAATGGAATGGAACAATTTTGATTATTGATAAGATTTTATTTTTAGACATTCAATTAAATCAAATCGCTGGAACTGTTTAAAATGTTAATTACACAAGCTTTCAAGTAATAAAAATAATTTTATTAATTTCAATGTGATGCTGAATGAAAGGTAATCGTGGATTTATAATCTCAATTGATTTTTTTTTTTGCTCTTTATTGCTTGTTGCTTGCAAATGGACTCAAAACTTTTGATTCATTGATAAGTATTTATGTTTTTCATGCAGTGAGTTTTAGCAATTTCTTTTAAAACAAAACAATATTATTTGAAAAAGTTTAACATGAACACCAAATTCCACAGCTTCTTTCAGGAGTGAAGGTCAATAAACAATTTTATGACTTGAAGCTTCCATAAAAAATAGCAATTTAACTGTTTCATGCTTTTTTGTGCCGATAAATTTCAATTTTGAACTTCCGCGATTCAAACATTTTCAAATCCAAGTCTGAAAAAAAGGGAAAAGGCTGCAAAGTGATTCACAATTGAGTGTTGTTAAAATGATTTTGGCACTCAGATAAAGCTCTTAAATTCTCAAAAAATAGCCTAATCATGTCTTTTATCGAATAAACTTTTATTTTCTAGCAATGATTTTTATGTGATTGCAATTTTTTCCGTGTTTGAATGGCAATAAAATAGATCATCCAATGGAAGATTGAATCAACGAATCATTATTTGTACATCTCTAAATTTAGCTCTGAATTAAACTTACTTATTTCAACAATTAACATGAATAATCGAGTAAAATGTTTGTTCAAAACTCATCTAATGTTTACGTGTTCATTAGTTTTCCAATATTGTTAAACCAACTTTGATTCCATTCATTGATGCAATTGAGTAATCCATAAAATTAATGCAAGCATTTAATGTTCAATTCATGGATGATAAATTTAGTTACTATTTAAACAATTATTTCCACAAATGTTATATAATTAGGATGATTCCTGGATAGTCTAACTTTCATTAAAAATACAACATTTTCAGTTGTGTTCAAGCATTTTATTGATTTTCAACAAAAGATATTTCAATTATTTTATCTCATGACTCTTGAAATCTTTCAACTCTTTCCCTTCCTCGACAAACTCTTAAACAATATTTCTTAAAACGTTTTGTGTCACTTAAATAAAGAATTATGTCGAATTTTAAAAGAAATCGTTATTTAATAGACCACGCAATCAAGAACCAGAAGTTATTTAGTAAAGTATTAAGCTGTTCCAAGAGTTGTTCAGGAGCTTTTCAAACTGAAGAGAGCGAGAGGAAAATGTTGAGAATTATAGCAAGTTTTTGTCTCTCTCCATATTCTCAGTTTCTTCAAATACCAAAGACTTTTTGTAAAAATGTTGCAAACGGAAAATATTTCAGTGAATATCTATGTTTCGTCAACGAAAGATATCTTTAAAGTTTCTGACATAGGATCTGATATCAGTTTAATATGACTGGCGATTGAAACAATTAATAATTGTCAAAACTAAATATTTCCATCAATCAAATGATCGTGCGAATGAATTTAGAAAGAAAAGAATTCATTTAAAAATATTTAAAGCAAATTAAAGTAGTGTCAAAGGTCAACAGAGAATTCAAAAAGAAACAAAAAAATATTAAGAAGAGAACTTTATTATAATTAAAATTAATTGTATGATCTATAATTAGTGCGAATGAAAATTAGTGAAAACATTTTCTGTTGGCAAAAGAAGACGAATTAATTTTAATGTTCATTGAAATTTATGCAGTTTTGGATTAATGGCCCCGGAGAGGATTTCTAGGCCTTCGTCTCTGGGGTCTTCAGTGACTTACTGAATGAAAAACAAAGGATTACAATAAAATTTATGCTTCAACGACAAAAAAGAAAGTGAGGTGAGAAAAAGAAGTGAATACACTTAAATTCATAAAAGAATGTTGCGGAATATGTTAAATGTGTAATCTCAGAGGTCTAATCCATGTATCTAAAATTCTTCTTGTCTCCACTAAAACTTAAACAAGAACTTCTTGATGCGAAGGCGAAATGTTTAAATTTTATTTGTGTCTAAAAATAGTCTCATGAATACTTATGAATGTTTATGAAAATCAAGTTAAAATACCTAATTGGCGAATCTCAAGAGAGAATTCTGCATTTGCCAAACAAAAAAGCATTTGAGAAAAGCGATAGTGGAATTTTCATATCAAACTTTAATTTTGTGGTGAGGAAATGTGAACGTGGATAATAATTATTAGATTGCATGATTTTTTTTATTGGAAATATCCATTCTAATTAATAGATTGGTTTTAGATATTAAGCAGGAATTCTCGAGTTCACCTACATTTCACCTCTGACGTGTTTAGTCAAGCAAGTTTAAGTTGAAACATCCGAACAAGAAATTTGGGAAAAAATGTTCATTGAATGAAATTAGTGTTCTTGACGCCTGAGTCGCGACGCCTTGTGAAGGTCACAATCTCATGTAAAAAAAAGATTAAAATTCGATGTTTAATGATCTTCTCTTTGATTCAAAATAAAATTTGAAATTTATTTTTGTTAATTCGAAAAAGAATACAAACAGAACATCAGCACAACATATTTTTCTGTGTCACATCTATTTTTAATATCTTGGTTTATATTAATACTGGCTAACTATTAGCAGAGTCATAAATAAATACGAAAGATAAAAACTCACAAATCCACGTTTTGAATTGAATTCTTGAAATGATTGTGACTTTAATATACTTTTTTGCTCTGTTCTCTACCTCACGCTCTAGATTTTCGAAGCATTTGGAATGACAGTGATTTGTTGAATGTTTTTTTACATCTCGCATACGACAGATGATTATATTGTCTCTTTCAAAACAAGAATTTGATGGTTTTTTCTTGCTTGATCACTGATACATATCCATGAGTGAGAAGAACCACGCGTTGTAATTAAAAAACTTTTAACATTGACGTGAATTACGATAGATTGCTTTTTAATTGAATTTAATTTAATAAATGATTGGTTAACATTGTCACACAATCTAATAATTCCAGGCTTTAGATTACTGGTTGATTGTTTAAAGTCACTGCGTTGTTCTTTAATAATCTTGGTTTCTTATTTCACTCCACAATGTTTTGACATCATCTTATCTGTTGAGGAAAATAATTTACAAGAAAACCCAGAAAAACCGCAATTAAAGCCAGAAATTAAATTTCAGATCATTTTAGAAGAATGAATTATAAATTTATCTTCCTAGTCATAATTACGGTTCCTTGCTCTAATTTTCTCAAAAAAAAATTCTTCAGCCTTTCTTACCACGAGATTTAAATAGCATTTTTGGGAAATCCTTAGAAATCTAACATAAATCCGCACGCTTTTGAGCGCTCTCATCAAAATTAATCGCAGCAACATTTCATCTACTAAATTATTTTAAAGATCCTTTTCGGCAGAATTTTTGCGGAATGTTCGTCTTAAAGATTCATTATTTTTTATTGCTAGTGATCCTTGCGTATAAACTGAAACATAAATAATTTATGATGCGTCCTTTATTCTTTGGAAGCTTGTCTAGTCCAAATTCACTTTTTCACCATATTTTGATATTCACTTTGCCACGTTTTTTTTTCATCTGCTTAGGTAGACAGGGAAACAAGTTTCTCGTTTAGAATAAGAAGAACTAAAATATTATATACAAAAATTCATTAGGAAGATGTTTATTTTGTTGTTTAGCCGTCTCAGTTTACTAAATACACCTGAGAACATTTCAGTGTCATCTATTTTTGTTCGTCTCTTTACTTGCAATTTTCATTCAAATTTCGTCAGATGAAAATTGAAAATTGAAGAAAAATGTCATGCAAATCTATCAACATGTTTCACATCTGACGATTGATGATGACAAAATCCATCATGTTCTAAGCCTTACTTTTGTGGCCGAAAAGATTATTTGAATTCTCAAGAGGTTAAATGTAAATAAAAGGGAAGACATTTTCAATGGGATCCTTTATATTGAATAAAAATGATGCCTAACGTGAATTTAGTTGTTTTTTAAACAAGACATATCACAAGATGGTACAACTTTCTTATCTCTTAAATTTTACAAAAGGAGTTTAAGACGCAATAAAACAAGGAAAAATGTTATGTAAGTTGGCTGTTGCCTTACTTTATTCTGCTTTTCAAGTACATATGTTACTTATTTAATATCTTTAAAACTTTTATGTCGTTATCAATAAAACTTTGCGATCACAAACATTAAATTCTGAGATAAAATCACTCAAAATTTTATTCCAAAATGATGATTGGAAAAACGTCATTAAAATGCTTTGAGCAATCAACGATTGTTTGATTCATGAATTGGATTTTAATAAAAATAAAATTTCTATTCAGATGAAATGAATCTTTTCTTTTATTTGGGACAAAAATCCGCATAAATTAGTATTTTAATATTTTAATTTATTGCGAAAAGGATATTGGTTTAGATCACTTGTTAAAACCCTTGAAACTTCTTCAGGCTTTGGTTACTTAATAACTCATTAATGGGAGTGTACCAAAAATGAAATTTAATATTTATCAAGTTCAAGGACTCTCTTTTCTCAAGGATTAATAATTAGTAATCTCAAACATTAGAACATTTAGGAACAGATTTCTGGCAGGTAACGGAAGTGGTAAACTTATTTGATTATTTCACGGTGAGATCATAAAAGGTCTTCCGCTAAAAATTATGCCCCGAGGGACAAACTTTGGCAATCAAAATTATTTTCACTCGCTGCTTTTATTCATGTAGCGGGCAGGTAGACAATGTCATCAAACTTCAAAGTTTAGAAACTTTTCTAGTAAAAATACTTTGGAAACATTTTTATGACATTCCATTGTCCTAAAGAATCCTTCATTAAAAATTTCCTTTTGGGTTGAAAAACATCCAGAAAGAAAACATTATGCAAAACGAAAGGCAGTTTTATTTATTGGTTTTTTCACTCTTCTTTATTTCTAGGAGACTGTGGACAAGGAAAATAATTTTCGTTTTTCAACCGTCGTTAAGTCTGGTTAAACAAAACCATCGCAGTTCTTATCAAAGGCCGCTTTCATGTGTACATAATGTAGTAGGTTATCAAGATAGCGCTAAGTGCAATAAATAAATGCTAGAGTCACCCTTTTTGTTGTCTACGGGAGGAGTAATAAAGCAAGAAGCATAAAAACACTAAGACTAACATTTGTCTTTGCTGAGAGATGCGGAAAATGAGGTTGGCGGAAAATTGAAGACAACGAATAAAGTGAAATAAAAGTTGAAGAGACAAAAGTCTAAAGAATGTGTGAATAGATAAATTGATTCTACAATTTAATATTTATTAAATGAGTGTTTAATAGAAAAGCTTGGATGGCATAATTTGTCAATAAAATATGAAAACATTAACAATCAATAATTATTGTGCAAAAAGGTGAAAGTGAACAATTGGGAAAGAGTGAAATTAATAATGAAAAGTGCGACGAGAAAAGCTTTTCTATGCAAAATAATTAAAAATGAAACAAATCGCACACAAGTGCTACCAAATAAATTTTTTCCCATTTAACTGTAGAATCATAAAAAACAATTTGAAACCACCATTAAAGACATGAAGCAATTTCTCGAAGTTGTTATCGCTATTCTTGCTGGTTGATACTGAAAAGCGTTTTTGTGTAGCTTCTGTGCGCAACCAGCATTTGAGACAAGCAAGCAAGAGAGATTTTCATCGTATTTTTAGACGCATTACATCGACAAATTGAAAGAGTGAAAGCAAAAACAATTCAGTGAATGGAAAGACGAAAAGATTCTCACAAAAATATCACAACGCACTACGATAAGTGACAAATACGAAAACAACAAAAAGAGAAAATCGGAACACAAAATAATCAAAAGCCATGAACGATATTCTGGATACGACGATATTTGAAAATATTGCAAATGAAACTCTAATTAACTTCAATTCGACCACAACTGAATATTTTACCAATAATTCTTATGTTAACCAAACAGCAGAAAATTTAACTTTATCAGAATGTGGAGAAGCGGATTCGGATAACGAACTGTTCGAGTTTTGGTCGAATGGGATTCTTCTGAATGTTGTCGGCGTTCTTGGCATTTTTGGCAACATCTTGTCAATGATAATTCTGTCTCGTCCACAGATGCGTTCAAGCATAAATTATCTGCTAATTGGACTTGCTCGCTGTGATACTATTTTAATTTTAACGTCCATGTTACTCTTCGGAGTGCCCGCCATCTATCCTTACACAGGATACTTGAGATATTACTCTCTTCGACTACTACCAGAGATCTCACAGTTCGTCTATCCCATCGCAATGACAGCTCAAACCGCCAGTGTTTACTTAACTTTAACTGTGACCCTCGAACGTTATGTTGCCGTCTGTCATCCGCTTCGTGCGCGGGCTCTCTGCACTTATGGTCGTGCTCGTCTCTACGTAGTCGTCATCATTGCTTTCTCATTCTTATACAATATTCCTCGTTTCTTTGAAGTCGAACTCATGAAATATAGCGACTACCAATATGGTTATGTGTATTGCATCTCAGCTTCCAAATTGAGGGCTGAAAAGCTTTACATCAACATCTACATTCATTGGCTTTATCTGATCTTCATCTATTTTATTCCCTTCCTAAGTATCACGTTCTTCAACGCGATGATCTATCGACAAGTGCGACGAGCGAATCGCGAGCGACAAAGACTGAGTCGGACAGAGAAACGAGAGATTGGACTTGCCACGATGCTTTTCTGTGTCGTCATTGTATTCATTTGCTGTAATATTTTAGCCTTACTGATAAATATCATTGAAGCATTTACCGGAATAATTTACGATCCAGTGGTGAAAACGTCAAATCTTCTCGTGACCATAAATTCGAGTGTGAATTTCATCATTTATGTGATATTCGGCGAGAAGTTCAAAAGAATTTTCCTTCAGTTATTTTGTAAATTCCGACGAGTCGGTCGCGATTCTCCCGAAGGATTTGTGCACGACGACAGTTCATTCTCCAATGGAGATGCCAGTAATCGTAACTCGGGGCGATTCCAACGATCCGGAACGACTCGAAGTACGTCTAGGAATGGAACGAGTATAAAAACAAATAGAATAACAAGAACACAAAGAGCACCGTCACCTGGGCCAATTGTTTATTATCCAGCACGGGAAACGTTGCCAAGACCATCGGCAATATCAATAACACGCAGCACATCTCTGATGAATGCAGACTGGGAACGGGAAGACATCAACGGAAATGCACTCATAATGACGTCGGGCTTCTAAAAAGCTTAAAAATAATCATAAATAAAATTTTATTTAAATGACTGCAATTGTGATGTGAAGTAATTGATGACAGTTGCACATCATCTGAATACAGCTGTTGGCTTTGAATAAATTTTAATGTGAAGTTTATCTTTATTGTGATTCTTTAGCTGTGATCACCTCAATGTCGTTAAAGTTAAAATTAAATTTTAAATTAAAAGTGTCATAAAACGGAGAAGTAGAATTAAGTTTATGATTAAATTGTTTAAAGTTATTTGATGAATTCAAAATAGTTTGGTCACTCACAACATCAGCCTTTTGTTATTAATCTCTTTGTTAATGTAATTTATAATTGCAAAACCATAAGTCAATTTGTTAATTGAACATTACTCCAATACCTTTGTTCCACATTTTTTATGTTCACCTCATTTTGTGATCATTTAAAATTTATCAAATTAATTAAAATAATGTAATTTATAATCACAAGAACATCACATTTGAATACTGCAGCATTGCCAAATTTGTATGTTGGGTAAATGTGTTTAATGAAAACGTAAGAATTACAGAAGCAAATGAGTTCTTAAAGCACAATGTTGTAAACAGCAGAAAGTTGTTTCTATTTTTGTTCCTTTTATTTAACGAGACTGCCCAAGAATGTTAATAATCTTGTATATAAGAAAAGAAAATTGTTAATAATCTTGTACATAAGAAAAGAAAATGTGTAGATATGGGCGGGTAGTTTAGATCTTAGCAGAATTATTTTATTTAACAAATAATAAGCATACTTTATAACATCTTGCGTCATCAAAGAAAAAAATTATTTACAAAAATTCCATTCTAAGATTCTAATTTAACAGCATCAATGAAAGAATGAGAATGAAGATTTCAAATATTTTCTAATTGTTATTAAATGAATAAAAATTTATTACATAATGAAAACCGTGAAATGAATTTGTGTTTTACTCTACAAAGAGCTTGAGTCATGTGAATTCTTGGATTGGTCGGAGGTTTTCAGTTCTTTTCATGTTTCACTGCTGGGTTAAAAATTTCTATTGTTTCCGATGTCAATTTTTCAATAACATTTCTTGAATGAAACTGGGTAAGGAAAAATCTATAAAACGAATTTTATTCCGGTTTATTCTTAAACTTCCGTTCCTAAACCCTGCATGAATGTCTTAAGCATTCTTTTAAAAAACTAAAGAAATGGTTTCAGTTTTCTTCCATTTAGTCTTCTGTTGCAATTTACTGCACCATTTACTATTGCAACGTTGGAAGCATTATGAATTTGAAATATTTTGTCGTAGTATGTGGTTCAGAATTTTTATTCATCCGGAAAAGGAACAATAAATTCTCCATTTAAATTGAAATTACATTTTTTGTAGTTATTCATGAGATTTTTTTCAATTTCATAAAAAGTTGAGAGGAAATATGATGAAGATAGTAAATAAAAAATGCATGTTTTGTTGAGTTTATTTATCAATTTACCTGGCTTTTGCTGCAAAAGTGAAAGAAAGTTTTTTAACCACATGAAAAGTTTGGAAAACTGAGTGAAATATGGAAATGGCAGAGAACATTTCTCTTAAAAAATATTATTAACAAACTACTTTGTTCGCCATGTGGAGAATGATAATAAATTCAACATAAAATATAACAGAAAAAAAATTGCACGAACAGGAATTGCGAATTGTTCTCAGAAATTTTTTATGTTATAAAAACCTTTCACTTAAACATTTAAAAGATTGCTTGGTCGTGATTTCCAAATAAACTTTCTTTCAGGTGTAAGGAATAAGGAATTAAATCTGTCTAGACATGAGTTGATTTATATGAATTTATTCAACATCAAAGTACAAGCAGTGTGTTAATATATTTCTATTAACCTTCATCATCATCGCCATCATCATTTATGAAGAAGAATTTTTATATTTCCTGAGAAGCCGAAGCTGGATTTTTATGATTCAATTTTCCATCCTCCTAACTGATGATAACTTTCTCTAACGTCTGGTGAAAATCTTTTGCTTCTCTCCTATTAATTCATTCCTCGTTAAAATGAAATGCCTTCAAATAATATTTACGGACAGAAAAGGTGAAAAACTACGGTATTAGAATAATTTGCTTTTTCGATTATTTTGTTTGTGTTTTCAAATAAGCTTTAAGTATCAACATTCTCGGCGTTAGAAACGTGAAATAATGAAATAAAAAACAAATTCATTCGACTTAAGATTTATGCTTGAACTGAAAAATATTGTAATTAAAATATATTTTGTTTTCTCTCACTCTCCCTGACATTTTATTCATTTTGAAATACTGCCAAATGGGTTTGAAATTGTACGAATATGAAAGGAAAAAAACTTAAACACACAGAAAGAATGAAAGGAAATTTCTCAAAATTTTCCGATTGAATATTTCGTGTGTAATGGCTATTAAAACGTTTATTACGATAAGAAGTGAAAGCGTCAGAAATTTCTTTTTTTAGAGAACTTAATAGCACGTTCTACAACTTCAAGTTTATTTTTTAAACAAGAACATTTCGTTAACAAATTTTTTTTCAAAACTTTTCCCGTCATAACAACAAAAACTCATCAACAACAGATGAGTTTACCAATTAAATTAATTATTCGTATCTTCAATGGATAACTCAACTTAATTGTTTTCATATAACGAAGCGATTGCCAAAAAATCATTTGTACTCATTGTGCTGTTGCGTTGAATTTAGATAACTGCTCCCGAACATTCTCAAAGGCGGATAATTATTTGATTAGCTTTTCATGTATTTTCGACACGTTTTTCCGAATCGAATTTATTATAATACATTCAGATTTATTCTAATTGAAAATTTTCTTTTAAATTCTTCTTCTTATTTTGTTTAAGTTTACTTCGTATTGAACTTCAATGTTTATGCGAAAGATACTTTCCATGACAGAGGTCAATTTAAACAAATTCAAGAGTTCTTAAATGACTCAGCAGATGTCTGATCTAAGAGTTTTCATAAAAAAAATGCAAGCATCATAGTAAAATCACATTAATATTCGAGTATCAACCAAGATTTACTTTTGAGAAGAAAAAAGAGAAGATTATTGTGACAAAAAGCAATATTTGACAACAGACGAGAACAAAACCAAAACAGAGAGAAAAAAAATTCAAATTTTGTAACAATGAATATTTCAAGAGTTGCTGACTTGGAGATGAATTTCATTTTTGATGATTTATGACACCTCATGGAGATCCTAACATAAAAAATTTTATTACAAAATTATTGTGTTGCTGAGTGTGGAATTCCCTCTTATTAGATACAAAAGAACTTGAAAGATGAATTTTTTCACCTTTTTACACGACACACGTCGTGCCGCAGTTGATGCCACTAAAAAATGATAGTGGCGAATGAAAAAGTTCAAGTTCATCATCAGTTAACCAGAGTAAATTTGAAGTAACATGTCGAGTTCATGACAGTTGACATTGAATTCAATTCCCTTTAATAGTCGCCTTGATGTTTGAAGTAACTCATAATAATTTTAGTGGAAAGATTAATTTTGTTACAGTTTTCAACGACGTCATTAACTTATGTCATTTCCTTGGGTGATTTTCGATCAATCAATAACAAGGTGTTTCACTCCGAGAAGATTTCTTTTGGCAACTTTCCAAAACATTTTCGTGGAGCAACTGGGTAAAGAATCAGTGAGTCTGGTAAACTTGTTGAAGATATTGTCAGAGAATTGAAGGTATCAGTGAAAAGATTTCGTAATTTTAAAAGTAAATCTTAAGAACGTAAATTTAAAATAAATAAACGTTCCTGTTACAAATCTTTTCGTCCCGTAACATAAATCCAATGTCACACTTTGTGTTAGGACTTTTCCTATCCGCTATCTTATTTACTAAATTTAGAAATTGAAAAGGAAAGAGTAAATTATGTCGGAAACTTTTTATTTATGATATTTGTTTTCTTCTTAATATTTTCTACACGAAATCCACGAGTGCGTCACGTCTTGTATTTCTCTAAATTACGCGTTCAAAGTATTTTTATCTAGATGTTCAATTTATTTATAGGATCATCATGTTTTTGTAGATGAAGAAAAATCAAAGACAACAATTTGAAAGATTTATAAAAGAATTTGTAGGAACATTTGTTGCGTGGATTGCTTTGAACTTTTGGACACATGTACGAGATGTAAGATTGAGATAATAATTTCATAGGAGAAAAATCGGCCAGCCTTCTAAAAAGTCATTGTTTAGTCAGAAGCTTGTCTTCAACAGATGCGGCTTAAGAAATCAAACCTTCATGAAAATTGATTAAAAATCTTTCCATTTAATAACTTTTTGTTTGCCATTCTAAGAAAAGAAAATTTGACATTGAAGCTAAGTTTTGTTGGTATCAAAATACGAAAAGTTTAAACAAACTTTAAATATTTGCTAAGTCAGCCTGAGTTCAAGAAACTTTCAGTTGAAAAAGCTTTCAAGAACTGTCAGTGAGATGAAATGTTTTTTCGAATCTATTAGAATTTCCTAACACAGAATATATTTTGTGGAATGTAAAGAATGTAAGAAGAATAAATTGAATTGGTTGTTTAATGTTTAGTTTTGTAGAACATAAGACATGCGGAAAGATCTCTAAACGAGGTTTAACAAACTTCAACTATCTTTTCAGATTTCACTGTTTATTCAACATTGAGGAGCAATTCTAATCCTACGCCACTCTAATAAAATCTCACACATAACTTTGGCATTCAAGACCTTCCAAAATCCGATTTCCTTTTACGGAGAACTTTTTCTATTCTCTGTCTAATGAATATCCGGTTTCTGTTGATTTAGACCAAAGTCATTTGTAGGGAAGAAATAAAATGTTTATCCCATTCATTATTAATCCAAAACCCTAACTGAAAAGTGATAATTATGCTTCTTACTGAACTGTGGTTAAGAAGTGAGAAATGACCTAATTTATTACACTCAGTCACTTCCAAGGCTCGGTTAACCTTCATATGAGAGGAGACATAATTATTTCCGGCCCCTTCCACATCTCTCAGCTTTGACGAATAAGAAGAAATTATTTGAAACCGAGAAGAAAATTTATTCATGATGTTGAAAACAATTTCATTAAAAACCAGAATGCGACTTTTTTCCCTTTTATAAGCCTTATTGAAAAAGATGCCGTAAGATGGAAGAAAATAAGAAAAGCTTTTGTTCGAGTGCACGAAATTCATTTCTAGAGAACTTCCTAGAATATAAATTTAAAAATAGTCAACACAAATGTTGAAAGTTTGTTGTTATGAAATGTTAACCACCTTATCAACGACGTGATAATTGCTTACATTTCTAACTTTCACAACAGTACAAATGTTGTTCAGATCTAAATTTAAGCAACATTACACGAGAGAATCACCCACATGAAATAAAATTCGTGATAAATTCCTACGCACTGCTACTTAAACCAAAAGAATGCTGGTTTCAAGTGGAAGAAAAAAAATTTATAATTTCAAGTTTCAGTTAGAATAAATAAAAGAATTGAGTGGAATTTCATATCAACTTTCTAATTTGAAATAAACATTTTTCAGCTGAAATTTCATGCTCCTCAAAGCGGATACCCACGAAATGTCAAAAGCAGAAAACAAAGCCTGAGATTTTCATCAAAAGTTTACGATTCCGTGACATGAATTTGATACTTTACGTGCTATACTTGCGTCGTTTATAAATATCACTGAATTGACCTTTTTCACCATTGAATTTAGTTTCATGGTACGAAATCAAATAAAAGAAGGTTTATTGTTTCACAGGGATTAAGCTCATAAATATATTTGTTATGTGCAACACTTGTCAAAGATTAGGATCAGTCATTCCCAGTCGGAAAGTGTCACTCGATGTTGTTCATCATCGTTAAAGGTGAATTATTATAGACAAATAAATCTTTCTCCTGCTTGTCTTGTTTACTTCCATTTGATTTATTCAAATCACTATCTAATGGAATCACTTTAAGAAAAAGTTCATCTTTTCAAATACTTGTCAGGAATGAATAAATTTAAATTTTTAGCAAAGACTGTTAAAGCTTCTCGTTTATTTTAAATTGAATTGACATTGTTTTTGTAACGAAATATCAAATGTGAATGTCAGGTAAGTGGATTATTTAAGTAAAAGCACGATTTTAATTTTATGCTCCCACCACAATCAAAATGTTTTCGGAAACAGCAGCGAAGATAGGAAGAAAGGAAATGAAGGTCTTAAACAAGGTGAACATCATGGATTGTTATCAAATATAATATTCATAACTTCTCTTAAAATGAAAACAAAGCCAGCACATACATTAAAAGTTTGATGGCATGGAAATAATTCGTTCTATAATTAAAAGAAAAGTTTCATAGCTTGACGTACACGCGATTTGAGATATGTAAGGAAATAAGTACGTTGTTAGAATTATTTGGTGTCTATTATGGAAATCTTGATGAAAATAAACAAGCATCGCTCTAATTTGACTCTGTTTAAGTATCAAAGCTTAGGTGGAATATATTAGATGTAAGTTCTGTATTTAAAATTCAGGACGCATTGCTAAATTTCAGCTGGTTGAATATAAATAATCAATCTCAATGATTCAATCAAAATGGGTCTCAAAAACAGAAAGTTTTCACCATAGAAGTATTGCGACATCTGCTGCCTGTCGTTATGATTTGTATCTTATCACATCTCAATTTTTAGCTTAAAACTTTTCAAGTGTAAATAGATTTTTAAGTTAAGAAGGTTTTGAGAATATGTCGTGGCAGTTGTGGAAGTTTATAAAGTGAATTTTGCTGTATGAATAAGTTGCCTAAAAGTTTCATCAGAGAATAAAATTGAAACGTGATGTTGAGCTTTCCAAGAATGATCATAATGCCCTTCAATAGCGATATGAAGTGTAACAAGAAAAGCACTTTAGCTTTTCGTCTTTATTACAGCTGTTAAGCACACAAAATTCAATTAAGTGAATGTCATGATAAGCCTTCCAAAAAGCTTAATACTCAAATAAACATGCGTAAAAAATGAGATTTATTTGGTAGTTGATGGCAACGAACTAATCTATTTTTACAGAAAGTAATTAACACAACAAGACAAAAGATTCTTCGAGAGACAAAGAGAAAAAATGTAAGCTTAAACATAAAATCTCAAAACAAAATCATAAGATTAAATCTCAAAATTAAAGCACACTTTCTTTTATTTTGGATCACAACAAGATTTTTCTCACCATGATTTATCGCTCGCAGAGATAATCCTAAACAAACAACCTTGGCTTCCGAATCAATAAGAAATGTTGGAAATTGTTGTCTCTTCCTTCAAGAGACGGACGGAATTGTACATACAAATTTATTACTACCAGCAATGTTTGACTGGCTTTATTTATTCTTCTTGCCATATTTATAATTGTCAAGTAAGTAAATAGACTTCTAATATTGACAAGAACACATTTAAATGTCTAATAGAAACAACGTTGTCGATGTCAGTGGCAGAAGAGAAATTAAATATGATAACAGGAAAGGAAAATTTCTACAACATTATGTTAATATCCCGTCACAGTCTGAATAACTTTAGGAAATTAATATGAGAACATTACATCCGATTGACCTTCCTTCAAGTAATTTCCCTCAAATATTTCCTTGCGATAACCTTGCTCTCGAAAATTTGATTTTCCTTTGTGAATTTTGGAATGAACAGAAGACTGGAGATTACTTTTATGAAAGTTAAATTAACAAATGAATTTATGTAAATGGATATTCTGAAGCTAAGAGTAACAGATATTGAAGAAACTGTCGATACAAGTTATCATCATCACGTCTAACTTAACACATGTGTGGCTTTCGTGCACAAAAGGCTTTGGTAAAAGTTTGCTATCGTTTATGCATTTAAGTTGCACTTCATACCTATCATCAATAAATATATTTAAACTATGAAGGAGTTTCTTTAAAACATTTCAAGAATCTAATTTCACAACTCATGTTGCAGCATGGAAGAAGGTCACAGATTTATCTATGATGAAATATTCGACAACTTGTTCGACAAGTTTTGAACTTGTTGCATGAGAAAATTTAATTTCAATGGAAGAACTTCAATTTCTTGAATGTTCTTCAAGAGAAGTGTTTAAGTTTTTGAAAAGAGCATTTCAATAAATTTCTTCACTTTTGAGACTCATCTAAAAATAGAATTAACGGCCTTAAAAAAAGGACAAGAATGAGATTCAATGACTTTCCAAGTCACTAACTCTGCGTCTGGTAACCGAGATTTTTCCAATTGTCTTCTGAAGGTTAAAGAGAACAAAAGTGGTTTTAAATGAAATTTTGACATCAATTGAGCAAACAAATCTTTCTGGGTCTCATCATGAACTTTAATCGCACATTACGAATTCTTTTGCGGAAAGAACTGTGGTGAGAGGGATGAAGGATGATGATAATGAAAGCATTTCTAGGCCAATGTTAGACTAAGAAAGTTGTAGGAAATTTCTTTTATTCATGAATTCGAAAAAAAGAGATTTTTCTTGAATTTTCTTTGAATAATTGGAATGCTCACCATTTGTATTCGTGAAGAGAATTCTCAATATTTACACTTCTTTTAATTTTATTCACTTTGTTTGCATTCACATTGAATATTTTCAACTCTGTAAAAATTTATTATTTATAACATCGTTTCATGTTTCTGACAAGCTCATGATAAAACTACTTTCATAAATAAATTATACTTTGAATAAAAAATTATTGGAAATAAATTAATTTTCCATAAAGTTAAGAAAATCAAAAATTTATTGAACTGCTTAACCCTGAAAAGTTTCCCAAACACTCATTAAATCTTTTCTAATTAATAAATTGATTCAATACTCACCTATCATTACCTTCATCGCTATTATCCTATCATCTTAACCTTCGTCAAAATATCTTCAATAAAAATTCAAAACTGCCAATAACAGTCAATATTGAAGTTGAAAACTTTTAATCAATTTCGGATCATTTAGCTTAATGAGATTTATATTGTTCTAAATTCTGGAAAGTTATTGTAAAAATCGGGATAGAAATGACAGAATGATTAACAAATTCATAGAAATGATTTCAGATTTTCACTTTGCATATCAAAAAATAGATCAAGGAGACAACTTTACCGATTGTTGAGATTATCATCAACATCGATGAGCAATCAAAGGAAGAAATGTTGCTACATGCAGAACTGGGATTGAGATATTTCAAAAAGCTTTTTCTTTGTAATGTAGAGCACATTTCAATTCAATATTTACTAAAGAACGAGTGATAAAGGTAGGAACATAAATCTATTTACAATATCACTAATAATCCATATGACAAGTAAACATACATCGATGGAAACAAATAGGAATGATTCATGAATCAATTCAAGTCTTTAAGTAAAGTAGACTCTACTTTACCTTTAAAGGATTCTTTTCATCTTTTCTTGCTATCTACATGAATGAGTATCGAAAAGAAAAATTAATCGATTCGTGAAGTCAATTATTTTGCAAAAAATCAAAGGCTTTTACGAAAAGCATAATTTTTCATGTTTATATGATGGTTTTTGTTTGTTTTTTGCTCAACGTCAACATGAGATGTATGATTAATGAATCAAAATAAGGCTTTGAATAGGAAACGTTGGATGTGAAAACTCTTTTTCAACTCATGCGTTGTATGTAACATTTAAGTTGAAACGTAAGTCTTTTGTTGATGACTGGATGAAAACTAAACTATGTTCATGATATCAGAAACATAAAAAAAGTTTTTATCCATAACAGAGCTGATGATTCTGACACATTCCTGACATGTAGTTCCTTACACCTAGAACCCTGTGGGGGGTTTCAGAAAAAAGAAATTTAGACAGTGATGTTCAATGAAATTGAAAACTACTGTTTAAAAAAATAAGAAAAGGTTTACTATTTCACATAAAAATGCAAATTCCTCATGTTTTGTTATATAATTTAAATTCTAAAATAATCGGAGACAAAATCAAGGAGAGGAAATTCATAAATATTTAATCTTAGGACTATAAAACATTCAAAGGAGTTTGTTTATACTTTTTTTCCTTTTTCGGTTTCCGAAGTTATTGAATCATCACCACTGAAGTTGTGTTTGTTAAACACAAGATCGTACAGATTCTCACTCCATAAAATTCACTGATTAACGCTGACTCCAAGCAGTTAAAAAAGGTTCTGGATAAGGCAACAGGTAGTTTGTTGTTTAACTTATACCCAACAATAACAAAGTTAGGGAAGAGCTTCCGTTCACAATCTCTGAGGGACACAAATTCTCATCTAACTTCCTCCTTTGTGTATACAAATCTATCTCTAGATGTAATCAAAAAACTTTTCAATTTGACCCTTTGACTTTTTTATGTGGATTGAAAAGGAAATTTGGAGATACGGGCTTGATAATTTAATATGTAAATTTTGATGATATTTATGAAAAGTTTATGACGCTTTTAAAGAACAAACAATTCTCTTTTTAATTCATTAAGGCTTCCTCCAAGACTATGACAAAAATTCTTATTCACATTTTGAGCCTTCGATAAATTTCTTAAGCGTCTAACTGTGCAAAAATTTTCTTTGCTCATGCGGGAAAACATAAAATTTGCATACATATCAACATCTTTTATTGCTAAGAAATGTTTCCAGAAGCTGTTTGATATTTCAAAGCATCGTCAACTGAACAAACATAGACAAATGCTAAAGCTTCAGCTTCCATGAGCTTCATTCACATTGTAATGTCATAACAATTGTTTTCCTTGTTTCATTAGGTATGATGATGTCAATTACGGATACGTCATGTGGCTTTTATTGTTCTGGTGAGCTTTCATGAGGTTTATGAGTCAATATTTCCTCGGGAAATATTTTGTACAAAGAAGTTTAAATGGTTTTTATTGATTCATTCATAATATGTAATTACATATTTATGATTTCAACACCTACACAATTTTTTATGTCTTCATTCTCGCCTAAAGTATCAAAGAAATTAATAAATATTTCGATTAATAAGCATTAAATCATTTTATTCAGAAAGGAAATAAGAAGTTCTTGCTTTTCAAACTTTCTCAATTTATCTTTCACACTCAATCAAACTTGGAGAATTTCCCAGAGATTGTTCAGTAATTAAACCCAACCTCTCACCATGAAATGAGGAAAAATTAAAAGTTCAATCTTTAATGGAGTTTTCAGATCACAAACATTAACAGTTAAAAGATTTAGTATTCGTCAGACTTATCTAGTTGATAAACTTTCCTTTTCTGAGTGAGTTTGATCGAAGGATGAAATGACTTTACACTTTGAAGATCATTTTCAATTCTTTAAATATCTCTAAGCGTGAGTTCATTAATCACTTTTCAAAAATGTTTTTATTACTTGCCATCGTGGTTTATCATTGCATTCAGAAATTTTATAGTTTCATGCGCCTTAAACACATCAGAGACAAATTATTTAGGTCAGTCGAATAAAAACTTCTCCCTTTGTAATAATCATGTTTCCATTTTGTAGCTAGGGTAATGAAACCAGAAATAATCATTTGTATTAATAAATATCATCTTGTTAGGCTTTCTGTTGTAACTTCAGTTCAATTTTTCAAACTGCTGGAATTCGCAGATTTATTGCTTATGTTTTGTTATGTTATTCATGCTTGGTATGCTTTAAATGACAAAACAGAGTAAAGATTAAATTGAACAATTTCCTTCCAAGTTTCTAAAGATATCAAGTTTCACAAGAAGAAGGAAAAAACTTTTCAAGATTACTTCAACAGCAATAAAAGTTTGTTTCGTAAAGATTCGTGGATAAGTGCAATTAAAACAGTATTAAGTTAAGAAAATCTCACTGTTTTCAAAATAAAATGTTACAGCAATGGACACATTTAGTGATATTTAATATTATAGCTTCGTAGTTTCATTGATTTTTGTTATCTTAAACATCACCAAACTAAATCTCATTACTAAACACATCCAAAATGGATCAAAGATTAATGAAACTTTGTACAATAATTATCAAACCCGTAATGAATCATCATGATAAACCGTGAACGTGATTGTTGTATCATTTAACGAAATGCACAAACTCTTTCTAATTACACATATCACCCACATACAGTTTGATAAACATGCAAGCATATCATCGTTACAACATCTATTAACAATGACTTTAGTTGAATCCGCAATATCATTTTTTTGATGAGAATTTCTCATCGCTTGCTTTTAGAAATAGGTGAGAGGAATAAAACCGCCAATTAAATATATTTCGTGACATGCTATGTTGAATATTGACTAAGTCAACATGAAATTATCTGAAAATTAAAGATAAATAACTGTTCATAGTTTTAATTAGATTAATGTGATTATAAAGTGGAATTAAATTTGGTTAAGAGGAAAACAAACTATCAAACAATCTATAATCAGCATAATCGTTGCAAGTGGAGTTTGTTTGATTGGAAAACTTTTTTCAATTTAGAGTTTACACGAACGTGATGTTGGTTGTGATATCTCCGCTATAACAATAAATAAACAAGGTTTTAAAAATCCGCAACCTCATTTCCCAATACAAATTCTTCAACATATTAAGTACTCAGTCTAATAAATCAGTTCATAATCTTAACTCGTAAACGTTTCTCTTCATCCTTTAACTAAGTCAAGTTTACAGTAAGACAAATGAGCGTTCATTATCCCGTCGTCGCCCGCAAAGGGAGGGTTACTGAAATTTTCATCTCGCTAACTCGCAGAGATTTCACTGAAATGATTGAATGCAAAGAGAGTCGAAAAAATAATGTCAAGTCAAGGAATTTATGTTTTCATTTCTACTTTGAGCTTTATTTTAACTTGTGGAGTGAAAAAACTTCAAAAGATGTTTTACCTTTAATAATTTTGTCAAAGTAAAAAGCTTTCGATGCTGTCTGATTGAAATTGTTTTGATCTGATTCTTATTTTAAACGTTCGAGCTTGATACTTTTTTCCCTTGAAATATCGTTGATAATTGGTGGAAAATTGAAATTTGTGATTTTTGTGTGGGTTGAAGCTTCACATTTCAGGCAAATTGAAAAAAACAAACGTGATTCAATAAAAAACCTTCCTGGAAATTCACTTAACTTTTTAAATTCATGCAAGAAACAAGCAGACATGAATCAAAGTTTGAATACGACTGGGAATATTCATTTTCGTAGACAAATTAAATTTATAAAAAGGTCTGCTGTTGATAAGATTTGAAGTATTTTGCTGATTTCGTACAACTTTACAATTGCTGACAAGAATGAAGCTTCAAGCAATGTCAAAGTTTATTTATTTGAATATGCTTGTGCGTAGAATTTCTGAATCTTGAAAATGAAATTTGATTGATGGTAGCAAAATGATTTCATACATTAAATCGAAAACTTCATGGTTCAATGAAACACAAGACCAACGTTACGGATATGCTGCTTTGTGATTCAAGCCCTTGAATTATTAAATAACATTAAAGTTCACAAAGTTTGTTTGCTTTGATGATTATTTACCTCCAAATTTCCTTGACAGTAGAACAAGAAAAATGAAAAGTTAAAAACTTTCGTGATTCATTGAAACTTGGATAATTCATGGAACTTCCAGAGCTCCAGTTAAAACTTTCGTTTATTTTAGAGCATAAAAGCAAACTTTGATTATCTTCTTTTACTGTTCGCTGACGAAGAAAATGTAAACAAGATGAGTGGAAAATTTTAATTTAACGTCTTCATAGAAACTTTTGGTGGATATTTTGATTTAGTTTGGATGAAATTCTCATGAAATTTAATTTATTTGTCGTATATTTAGCTGAATTTCTCAGAATATTCATTTCATCAATTCTAAAAATTTCAATATTGTTTGCCCAATGAATCCAAAGCATTCCAGTTATCAATTCTTTTATTTTCTACTTAATGCATGAAGCTTTAAACCTTTGAATGATTCCTAATAATATTGTGGAAGCACACTGAAGTTCTTTTAAAAATGTTCATGCTATAATTCAAAAACGATGAATGAAATATGGAGAATGGAATGGGAAACGTTAGTTGAACATTCACGAACGTTTTTCTTTTATGTTCTGTTTTCATGCATTCTAATCTTAATAAAAAAATGACGTTACTTGTCAAAAGAAATAGAAATATCGGTTACAATCAGATGTAAAGACTCACTTGATAGACTAACAAGACTCTTTAATTTTTTTAAATTGACAATTTACTAACATACTAACTTTAATAAATGTCTGATGTTCATCATTTAGAACGTCATCATTTTCAGAAGCTTTGGCAATTTAGAATTTATTCATATTTATGTTCATTCCTCTTCCAAGTTTTCGATGTCAATGGCACCGCGAGCTATTTAGATACTGAATAAATATTGTGGGATGGGGAAACAACATTGCAAATCATCAAGGCGCCCTTCAGCCTAAAAAAAGTCATTAAATATGTGGTTGATTCTAAATGGCTCTTTGCTGTTTCTTTCGCGCACTGAGAGCTTGATTCTGTTTCATGACACATCATAATAAGATTCCAAATTTAGAAAAACGACAAGCGACACTTTTTCCTTAAAACCTAATTTGCCTTCTGCTGATGTCATTCCATAAGATCAAAAAAAATGCTGACCGGATTTTGCCTGTTAGCTCTAACGAGATGTAACAAAAAAGCGTTGTAGAATTTATTTCTCTATTCTGTGTGCATTAAAGATCATTCGAAAATCTGCCTACGAGTATTGAAGAAGATAATGGTATTTGATTTCTGACTCGTTACCTCAATTTTCCAGTTAATTTAATTGGTTGTTGACATCAAACAAACACTCACAAATATCTTCTTGTTGTTTAACTTTAAAATTTAAAAGCAAATTTAGCATGTTTTCTTTTCTATGTTGTTAAAGATTTTCTACCCTCAACTGATTAAATCTTTCATCAAACGACACACTTTATCTTTTTCCTTTTTCTACATAAGTAACAAAAACCTGACAAATATTGTCTGATATTTATGCAGGCTAAGTTTTAAATGCTGAGAATTCCTTTTGCTACTCTTTTTGAATGCATTCTCAAACGTTTCATAAAATTCATAAATTTCTGCATGACTACAGTTTTAAGTTAGGGAGAGAGAGAGAGAGAGAGATACTCACTCATTACAGACGTTGAAGAGACATGAACCATAAAAACATTTTATTAAAATTGATGGAAATTTAGTTTACCAGTCCTAAATGTTTTCAATAAAATTGGTTTTTATGGTAAGGCAATGATGAATATTTCACATTTATAAAGCACATGGAAGTTTTGAACTTTGGTATGACAAAGTTTGACCATAAGGTCTACCTAGTTAGTCAAGAGTTAAAGTATTTTTAATAAACCATGCCCTTTCCTTTAATTAAATTAAATTAATTCAAGTAAAAATTACTTGATCGACTGCAAAACTATTTTCAATTTTTAATTCAATAAAAGTGAACATTTTACACTCATTCTAGATTTTGAAATTTTATTTCCACTTCAGCCATATTTATTTATCTAGGTACTTATGCGGTTTTAAAAGCACAAACATTTGTGAATGCAGTTAAAGATGAACGTGATGCCATTTATTCAATTTAAAAGCTCTTACAGTAATGATGTTTAAAGTAATTTAATCTCAATGGGAAAACGGATGCGTGAAAATTTACGAAGCATACGTAACTACAAACTTTGTAGTCATGGCATCTCAAAGGTAATCCAGACAGAAGTTCCATCTCTTAACTGATTATATTTAAGTAGGTAGTTCGAATTAATAAATTTAATCAAATAAATAATATTTCGGAGAAAGGCTTGCATTTGACAGTCTGAAAGAAACCCTTTCACGAAAATGAACAGAAAGAATTAGGTAGCTAATATAGGTAGAAATCATAAAAACATATTAAAAGCCTTGAAGGATGTTTTTACAACATCGTAAGCAGATTCTTTTTCAAATAGATTTGCAAAATTCAGAATCCATTCATATTTCTTATTTTCGTTTGGATATTGAGGAAATCTCTCCAGGCTCCAATCTTCAAATTCATTCTAATCAATTTGAAACCTTTTTGAGATTAAATACAAAGCCATCGGAAAATGATCTCAAAAATCTTTTGTAACTGATATTTGTATTTAATAAAGTAAGTTAGAATGTTTTAAATATAACTCAACAAAAGATTTCCTAAATGAAATCAACATTTTGATAAGCTTTTTCAAATTAATCCATTTGTTGTTTCCAAAGAAATTATTGAAGCTATACAAATTATAGAGGTTTTTGTGGTTTTGAAAGTTTAGAATTTTTGTCAGCTGTTTGAGTCAAACTTTTATCATGATTCTCTCAATTTAGTACCAACAAATAATATTTGTTTTGGTGCTATTTTAATACATAATTAGAATCTGTAACAAACAAACTACACCTGAGAACAGTATAATTTTTCATCAAGAACTATTTTCATACATCGTAGTTTATTAAAATTGTTTTTCTTCTGCAAGTCCTTTACAAGGATTAATTAATTGAACTGATAAATCTGAGAATCTAAAAAATTGTTAAGACATTGCAAGTTTATTTTTTCATAATTGTTCCCATTATGTTGACGAGAAAATGTAACTTAAAGTAGAGAACAAAATAATGCATTTTAATAACCATTTGAAAACACCTTCAAAAATCATATTTTCAAAGAAAGAAACTTTTAAAAATTTAACGTATTTTTTATATTTAAAAATTACGTACATAAATGTTAGTGAAAGCGAGTAATATTTTACACGGAGTGAAAATTTATTATGATTCATAAAATCTCTTTCAATTCCATCATTTTCTAGAGTAATCATAATAATTAAAACTCATTTCATAACCTACCATACAATTTCAATAAATGTATGCTAAAATTTGTATCTGCGCTGAATAATTTTCTAATACTGGCTAATTAAGACAAAATAAAAAATTTCTTTCAGTGAAAGCTAAAAATCACAAAAAAATCAAAATAATGCAAAATTTTTCTCATTATATGAGCATATTGATATTTTAAATAGCAATTGAAATGTAATTAATGTACAATAGAATTCATTTATCAACAAGCAAACGAAATAAGTGAGTGTAAACATCAACATCATTGCAAATTGAAAAAAATTGCGAAAAATTTCTCTTTTGTAGGTGATAAAAAAAAACAATGGAAGAAAATCCAAATGAAATCTCAATTCTCGACATTCTGGAGCTTGCTCATAGTCTTCGTCAAGAAAAATTGTCAATAGAGACTGAAATGAATGACTACTTCCGATTGCAAATGAAATTAAACGAAAATTCATTCGAAGCAATAAAAATCGCGTTTGTCTCGTCACTTCATCGTCAGAATCTGAACAGCCTAATCTTATCAAAGCCTGAGAATCGACCTTCGCTTTGTTGTCAAAGAGCGATGCTACTAGAAAATGTGGAATTTATTGAAGCGTACAAAGATCCAGCAGTGAAATATCAAAATTTGCCACAATACATTGACCTCCTTCGTTTCATTCATCAAGCTCCACATTTATTGGCTCATTGTCTCTCTGTCGCTGATGATCTTCCTAGCACAGGCGTCGGGTCATCAAAGGCTGACCAAATGAATCAAATCACGCAAATCATATCAGCTGGCCTGTATGGAAATTCAATTCATGGCAAAGACGTTGAAATGATGTTAAAATTGCTGGAGAAATTATTGCAACTGAAGGTTACAACAACTGAAATTCCAAGACGTCTTTTACGTCTAAGTTCATCATCATTTGCAAAATTATACCATAAATTTCTCGAGTCTTCATTGTCATCAAAACTTTTCCTAACAGCTGCACTTCATGAGCCTGTCATGTCAGTTTTGATTGATGACAATCGAATGCTGGACATCGATAGTGCTGATGAACGAGAAACGACAATTGAAGCACTTTTTCGTCTGTCAAACAAATTTGTAGCTTCTCTGAAAAACAATTGGATTATTTTCCCATCAACAATTCGCTGGCTTGTACAAACAATGTCAAGATTACTTCATGAAAAAGCTTGTGATCCGAAAACAATCAACGAGATTCTCATTGACATGGTGTTTGGACATTTCATTTGTCCAGCATGTGTCAGTCCTGATTTGTATGGAATTTCTGATGCGCCAATATCCGAGAATGCGCGTTTTAATTTGATACAAATTGGACAAATTCTACAAATGTTTGCTTTAGCAAAACATCAAGAAATTGACAATAAATTTGTTGAATTATTTCGAAGATTCGACGACAATATCATTTCAAATCTCATGGAACAATTGCTCGAAAACACTTACGATATCAGTGAAATGGGATTGTCACATCAATTACCGACACTTTATAACATTGGACGAAGCAGCATTTTAATGACACATGGAGAAGTCACACAACTTGTTCAATTTCTAAAAGCGACAATCAACAGCGAAGGCATTTATGTTGAAGAAAAGCGAAAATTGAAAATCATTCTGGATAATTTACCAACTTTAATTGAACCAGCAACAACGACACTTTCGGTAAGGAATCTTAATGGAATTGTTGACAGTTCACCAAGTAAAAAGACTACAAAATTAATGCAACAACTTGGCAAGTCAAGTAAGAGTAAAATGGCAAAGAATCTCAGTGCTTCATCATTGAATTCTGAAGAGAATTTCGCTGGTGCAAACATCTCTAACGGAAGCACAACAACATCATCACAAGACGATAATTTTGATCGTGTTTTAATTATTCCATTATCGATTTATGAAAGCAATAACAAAGTTCGGCCGCTTTCTGAAGATGAAGTTTTGAACATGAATCAAGTTGCGGCATGTAATGATCGACCAGATGCGACTGGCACATTAACAGAGAAGAATGTTGAAGAGTTAAGTCGAAGGACTGAGAAAAATGAATTAAATAATATTGAGACGAGTAAAGAGAAACGACCAAGTTTCTCATTGAACCAAGATGATGTTTCGATTGGAAATGCTTCAGACAATTTAGAACTTGAAGCTGTGAGTGAAGCGCCGAGCAATCATTCTGTAGCAAGTTCATTAGATTTAGAAGAAAACAATGATAACGACAACTTATCAGACATGGTTTCAGCGAATGTTTCTGGCCGTGGAACGCCCAACATTTCTGGTCGCGATACGCCCTCATCGCAAGTTATTGATGGTGGTGAAGTGCCACAAATTCCCACACCACAAATGGCAAAAATTTTAAACAAAGCTAGAAATGACATTGAAGATAAATTTTGTAAGTTTGAAATCAAAAAACTTCTCGAAGGTGATGAAACAATTTCGATTATTAGTGATACATGGAGCACAGATGTTCTTGCGAGTGATTCAGAGACAATCGAAGCAAGTGAAAGGAATTTTTCAACTCCTTTAATTCCATCAAATATTATTCTTCCCGATACGTTTCAACTTCGTGCACATAATTTTGATATGTCGGAGACACAATCGGAATCTGCATGGTCGACTGATGTTTTGATAGCGAGTGATTCAGAGAAGAACAATGAGATTGATAATGACGATACGCAAAGTATAACAACGCAATCAGATACAACGCCGAGAGATCAAGAAGTGCCGAATGTAAGTCAAACACCCGACTCGCCTTTTTATGCACCGCCGCGTGTTCCTTACATTCATTTCCGGCCGATTGATCCATCGATTCTAACACCAAGAACACCAGAAAGTCCTTTTTCACTTCGAAGTGCTGACGACTCGCCAAGATTGACTGATGGTGGTGGAAGATTTGTGGACTTTATGCGACCACGTCCAATGAACCGAGAATTCGGTGCAGCGATGAGAAATAATCAAAATGGTTCTCCATTTACTTCCAATTTCAATTATCTTTCAACTCCACCACCTTCATCATCATCTCTTCAACCACGTCCATTACGACAACATTCTAATGAGAGTCAATCGAGTACTGGAACATTTGACGAACGATCTGAGTCGAAGCACAAATCACCATCGCGAGATAAGAAAATATTGAAAGAGTTTATTGAACAACAACAACCGTTGAGTGTTTTTCGTGTCACTGATCCAAATCTTGAGAATTTTACGAATGAAGGAGAGACGGGAAGTAATCGCGTGATTAAGACGAGTTTGAATCTAATAAATCCATTTGCGACGAGTATGAGTGGACGAGCTGTTCAAGTGCACGATTTGGAATCGAAGCCTTTAATTGAAGATCTTGAAGATGTTCAACATCGAAGATTATCAGACGAGCAACGTTCGGTTAGTTACGATTCAAGAAGAAATGGAATGATTGACTTGTTGTCATCTCCAATAATTCTTGAGACACCAAATAATCAATTCAATTCTTCATTAACTGATGATGTTAAGAATCAACAACAGCAGCAGTTGATGAAAGCAAATTCCATTGAAGTTGATGGCGATTTATGTGCGAAAGTGGAAGAATTGAAGCTTAACGAACCAACACCATCGACTGGTGCAAGTTCAAAGATTCCAAATGGAAATGTTAGAAATGGAAAGTCGACTGGTGCAATACCGAAGAGCATAAGTTTTGATTCAACAGCTGATAAAGCTGAGAGAAATCATCATCGACGATCTGAAATGAATAAACATCATCAAAATCATTCGACTGGGTTTTTAAGTAAGATTCGACAAGGCTTTAAGAGTCGTCGCGGTAAAGGACGTCACAGTGTTGACGAAGCGCTTCAGAATGAATTAATGTTGAATGGAAGTCCTCACAGATCGATGAATCTTGGAAATGTTTTCATTGATCATCAACAAGCTGAAACTTCTGACGATATTCTTGCTAAATATCGTCGCAAGCCATCGTCATCGTCCGACGCAGCGACTTCTGATTCAACAGGAAGCAACAATTCAAGTTCATTGAAAAGCAAAAGTTCGGATAATGAGAATCGGTAAGTTTGCTTAATCTTTGAATGTCATTCAGTTAAAAATTCTATTTTCAGATTAAGTCAAGCACATCATGTTGGCGAAACTGATTACTTCTTAAATGCGAAACGAAAGTTACGACTTGTCTTGTCTACAAGCGATTGTCATGCTTGTGATGTTAGAAATAACAGCGTAAGTTTTAATTTCCATCTTAATGAACAATCTTTAAAATAGTTAAATGATTCCAGGCATCGAAATTGTCACCATTGCTTAGTTATCTTCAAATACAATTAGCACAAGCAATGAATCAACAAAATCTTCAACAAGTCTCTTATGTTTCCGAACTTTTACGATGCTTAAATTCATTGAGTAGCGTTGAACATTATAAGTTGATTGAAGAACTTCAGAAAGATCTACAAAATCGTCAAAGTTACTTGCAATATCTCGTTCGACTAAGACAAGATCTTTTGTCGACAATTGCAACAATTGATAACTTTCAAAAGCGATTACTTAACGATCGTGACATGTGCAATAGACATTTGGTGATGGTTTGTGTCAGGATGTTCCTAGAAAAACGTGAATCAATGATAAATTGTTTCCAAGACGAGTTCAGTAAAAAACCAGCAGCTGACGAGAAACTTGAGTTAATGGAAGAATTAATTGGAACATTGATGCAAGATTTAAAGAACGACACAGTTGTTCAAGGCATGGCAGAATGGCAGCTTTTTGAAGCGAGGAATTGTATTGAAAGAATTCTTTTACAAAGACTTTATCACCAAGTGATGTTTCCAAATGATGATGTCGACATTTCAAATGATCGGTGAGTTAATTGCAATCCCTAAAAGCACAAAATTTAATTAAAATTATTATTTAGACTTCTACATAATTGTATTAAAAAATTGGGACGATTTATTACGCCATCACATGCCGGCTTAAGAATTCCACATCGTTACTTGAACGAAGCTCCATGGCCTTTCGCACAACAACAAATTTCTTATATTTCTGCTTATAAAACACCACAAGAGAAGGTGCAATGTGTTATAAGGTGAAAGTGGTTTAATTAATATAATTTATTAAATTATTAAGCTTTAAATTATTCCACAGATGTATTCAATCAATCATGTATTTGTTAAAAATGGCATCGAATCAACAACCAGCGGCTGACGATTTAGTTCCTGTTTTGATTTATGTCATTATTAAGGTAAAAGCTCATTCAATTGTTCAACTTAATTATTTATTTAATTATTTTTTTGTTCAGGCTAATCCTCCGTACTTACAATCAACGATCAACTATGTTGAATGTTTCATCGGTGGAAAGTTAGAAGGCGAAGAGCTTTATTGGTGGACACAATTTTCATCAGCAATACAATTCATTAAAACAATGATTGAAAGAATGGAGAAAACAGGACAAGAGAGTTGTGAATAGCAAAGATAGACTTGGTTAATATGAAATAATAATTAAAGTTATGAAATATTATATTTTACGATTTCAATGAGTGGAAATTGAAGCTTCCATTAAATTTATTATTTTTTTTCTATTAAATTGGGAAACAATTGTCTCATATTATCGTAAAGCAAATTTAAAGAAAATATTTTTATAATCATTTTACATAAAAGTAGCTAATGATTATTAAAAAGATTCACCAAAAGAGCATGAAAAGTATAACGGAAGTATAAAAAAAATAATTAAACTCTATCTATAACAATGAATTAAATTTATCTAAGGTCAAATGTGTATAACGAGGTTGAAAGTAACAATTTTAAGACTTTGTCACTTTTCCTTTTGCTGTAATTTTTTTGCTCGGAATTTGTCTTTGTTTAAATCACCTAAATAATCAAAATGCTTTGACTTTAGGATAAGAAAACAACTGCGACTTAATATTCGATGATGATAATTGTTATGGAGCAAGAGATTTGAAAAAAATGTATATTTTTATAATTCTTTCAGAATTAAAATGCAATTTGAAATTCCAATAAATAAGTAATTAACGACGATAAAACGAAAGCTTTTATGTAGATAATTTCTTTTCAGAGAATGTAGATCTCGGTCAGACAACACAAATTGGTATAATGAATGAAAATCTAACGGTTATTGGCAATTCAAATTCTATCCGTTCAAAAGGGGTTTTAATGAAATCGTAAGGTTTTCTTATCATGTAAAATAAACATTTATTATTTTCATGATTCTATCGTGAGAAGTTGTTTTCATTTAATGAGAAAGTTAGAAAGTAAAAGAAAAAAGTAATTTAAGCATTATTTACATGAAAAGTGTTTTTATAAAATTCTCGAAAGAAAATAACTCATTTCTTTGTTAAAGAGCGATCTTAAGAGATGGAAAATCGAATAACTTTTGTGTTTTTAACGTTGTTGGTGCTGTGCGCTTCACTTTGTAGTGGAAATATTGAAAATGAAATAAGAAAATTGGATTTTACGCTTAATCCTGGTTGTCAGGAGCAGCTTGATTCGCGTTGTGATGATATAACTTTTCTTCATATAAAAGCTGAAGCTGAAAACGACACGATTCATTACATTTGGGACTTTACTGGATCACCAAGTCTTGCACTAGCAAAAACCGATAAGAATGTAACGCTTAACATGGACTGGGATAGTTTTCTAGCCGGTAGAACATTTTCACTAAACTTTTCATCGACACCCAGCTTCCTCTCTTTTATTGTCATAAATAAAATTTTTCTGTTCAACGATCCCGATGACAAAGCAAATGTAAATGATGAAACGATAAGAGACGTGACGCCAATCGATCCACACAAATTTTCATGGAATAGAATAAATATCACTGAAAACGACAATCAAATAACATTACAAATGAATTCAACTGTTAGAGATAATGACACCGAAAGTTCTTTTGCTATTAAGGTGAGTTTTTAAATGTCTGCTCAAACATTATCATGAAAATAATTTTCGCTTTATACATTTATGTAGCTTTCTGTTTCTGGATCAAGTGGTCATGGGGAGGAACTTCCTCATCTTTATCACACAGCACATTCCTCACAAATTGACTTGATAGCAAGCAACATTAATTTATCTAACTACACATCACCTCGTGTCGCTTTGGAACTTTTATTTGTTTCGTTTGAAAATAAATCTGAAGGAGGATTCAAGTTACATAAAAGGAGAAATTTGGATGATGAATTCACGCCTGGAATCTTTGATGTCTTTGACATAGTATCACCTCAATCAGTTCAACAGAAAAATGGAGCATTCTTCCAATATCGCCCGGTTTGCTATACAACTCAATGGCGTACAGTTTCAGATTCAACAGAATTGAAACAAGGAGACATCGTCAGCTTTAATAATGACGAGGAGGAAATTGAAAAGTTTATTTACACGCTTCCTTACTCATATTACGGTTACACACTTGGTTCAATCATAGCTCAAGGTTCAAACATCACTTTCGGATTGACTGGCGATGGTTTTTATTCAAAATCAAATTACACTTCGTTCTCATTGTTGATGGGAATGGGAACACCGCCAGTAGAGAAATTGTCTGTTTTCGTCATAACTTTTGCTGCAATTGGCTTAGGCATACCGTTAATTGTGTTGCTTGTTGGTGGAATTGTTGTTGCAATTCGAAGGTATAGAAATTAAAATGGTAGCACAAATCTCAAGCATAGTTAAATTATGATGAACTGAGAGATCTCCTAATATCAAAATAAATTATGAAAATCAACATTCAGACAAAGACTAAAAACGAGTTGAACTTAGAAATTAATTTTGTACCTTAAAGTTTTTCACGAATTTCTCAAACATTTTGTTGATCTTTATTCTTGTTTTTGTTTTGATTGATATCAAATAATATAAGACATCTTATGATGACAATTTATTCCTTTCTTTCAACAATTTAAATCATTAATTATCATATAAATGCCATGGAAATTGCTAATGAAAAATATGCGGCTGTTGCTCATGATTGTAGAATGTAAATGAATCATGAAACTCATAAAAAATATTTTGTTGACATTTACACATTCAAGTTATGATAATAAAAAAAAATAAAATTATATTCAGCTGGTTTTCATTATTGAATATTTGTTTCAGTTTATGTAATTGTTTGTGGAGAATTTTATGCTGAGAAGTGATTGAAGACTCAGAATGAAAAATAAGCGAAAATTTATTTTTCAGAATATAAATTTAATTATAGAATATTAAAGCAACTCTCTGACTTCACATATTTCCTTTTATTAAGCCATGATTTCAACTATGACATTCATCTTTCTGATGACAATGTTTTATGATGTTATTACCGTAATATAATTAATTAAATTTTAGGAAATTTTTGAACCGGCAAAATGATTTTTTTCTGCTTTTTAATTCAAAATAATTATGTAAGAATTTTATTTAAAAGATGATCAAAATTTTAATCTGACAACAGTTTTACTGAAAGTTTCCTAAACATTACAAGTAAAGAAAAATGAAAATTTTTATTGTCATCGCTTGTTTAGCATGTGTCGTTAAAGCAACGACAATGGCCGAACATAAACAGATGTTGATGGGAATTGCACAAGAATGTAAAGCAAATGAAGATGCGACTGATGATGACATGGGAAGATTAGTTGAGAAGAAGCCGCCAACAACGAAAGAAGGAAAATGTTTGTTCGCTTGCATTATGGAACAAATGGATGTTGTAAGTTTTTTCTGTTAATTATTTTAGTCAAATCACTCTAAAACTTAATTTTCTTACTCAGATACAAGATGGAAAGCTCAGCAAAGAAGGTTTCTTGGAATTCGCAAGTGTCATAATTGACGGCGATGCTGGAAAGATGAAAGTTGCTGAAGAATTGGCAAATGAATGTGGAGCAATCAGAGATGACGATCGATGCGAATTAGCTTATAAAGCTGGTGGTTGTGTTAAAATGGCTGGAATGAAGAGAAACATTGATTTCGGATTTTAAAATGTTGTAAATTTCTCATTGAAAAAGAAATAAATTTTATATCAATCATGAATACCAAAGTTGATCTTTTAATGATAATACGAATGTCTTCTGTGAACTTCTTCATTTGAAATTGATAGCAAAGGTTGATGAACACCATTGACAATGCGAGTTGTCAAAACATCATTTTTGTAAATTTCTTCGATATTTTGATCATTGTTTTGAATCGTTCTTGACTCAACTTTTATTCCATTTTCATAACGAACATTTGACGATGAACTCTGAAGAAATTATTTTAGTAATTTTGAAGACTTTAAATTGATTAATTTCTTACAAAAAAATGAGTTGTGCTTGGAATGTTTGTGCTGTGACTGTGTGATGACTCAGTCCAAATGTTTGTGTGAAAGAAGTCACTTAATGTTGATGCTTGTGAATGTCGAGAATGTTGACCATGCTGAACCTCAAAGAAAGGCGATGCAAATCCAAAAAAATCTTTAAATATTTCAGTGGGATTGCGGAATATAAAAAACGAATGTGTTGAATTTGTGTTTCCTGAAAGATCATATTGTCGACGTTTTTCAGAATCTGACAAAACTTCATATGCTTCAGAAATCCTTCCGAACATTTCGGCTGCCTTTTCAGCATTGTCGGGATTTTTATCCGGATGCCATTTGAGTGCTAATTTTCTATAAGAATTCTTAATTTCTTTTAAATTTGCTGTTTTTGAAACGTCGAGAATCTTATAATAGTCCATTACAGTGAATTTTGTTAAATAATTAATTTAATTTAGTGAATAATGTCAACTGCGATTATTATTATAAAGACATAAGTAAAAGAAGAAAATTTTATAAATTGAGATTTTCTCGTACTTTAATTAAATGATTATTGACTGTTCTGTTCTTATATGAACTCGACCGTTAATATGACTTTGAGGACGTGATGAATCGAAATCATTGGCATGAAATTACAAAAGCCACGAAAGAAACTCACCATTTATAAGTGAATGTCTGCGAAGAATTTTCCATCAGTGTTTTCGTGAATCAAAGAAGTCAACATGAAATTTATCAGTGTTTTAGTTGTTTTTATGTGCGCTGCTTATGCCAAAGGCGACAAAGATATGATGATGAAAATCATTGAAACATGTAAAGGTGTGACAGGAGCATCGGATGCAGACATTGCAAGATTCATAACTCACGCCCCACCAGAAACTAATGAACAGAAATGTTTATTTGCCTGCTTTTTGACTTCGTTGAATGTGGTAAAATGAACGAAAATTCAATTTAAGTATTTGCTGTTTAAAATATTTTTTCACCAGATTAAAGACGGAAAACCGGTTGAAGAGTCATTTATAGAAATGATTAAAACTGTGACTGGAGGAGACGCAGAAAAAATGAAAATTGCTGCAGATGTCTTTGCCAAATGCAGCGGTCTTGTCGCTGGTAAAGATCCATGTGACGACGCTGTTAATTTTGGTATGTGCTTCATGACAGAAGGAAAAAAGCATGGCATTCCACTTCAAATCTAAAACAGACATGAAATCAAAAGAGAATTTATTAACTGACCGACCGCGGCACAACATTGTAAAAGGACGAGATGAGAATTTTTTTTATTTAAGTAATAAAACTTATGTTTGCATTAAAAGCTTCTTGTTTTAATTTTTTTAAAAGCTTTCAAATTACTTTTAAAGTTACAATTTTATATATTAAATTCAGATCAAGTTTTTAATTTTCTAATGAATTGAAATCGTAAAATCTGATTGTAAACATTTTACATAAAAGTTTAGTTTTTTGAAAACTATCAAAAGCTCTTTGAAGCTTTCGCATACCTCAAATTTCTTTCACAGTTCCATCAAAACGTAATAAAGTTGAGTAAATAAAACTTTTCTTTCATCATGTATATTCATCAAAAAAACACACACTTAACAAAAATATTAAAAATTCTTATCAGTAAATAAAAATGCAGGTGATAAACTAACTCATTAGAGATAAGAAGAAAAGAAAACAAATTTGTTGATATGGAATATCATTTCAGTCTTGTTTCGTCTTTTCATCAGTGAATATTTGTTATTATGGATTCAGTTGAATTTAGCGTCGTTGAAACTGTTTACGGTCCCCTGAAAGGACGTAAACTGAAATCTGTGTTGAACACGGAATATTTAAGTTTCCGTGGCATTCCTTACATGAAACCACCACTTGGTAAGCTTCGCTTTCGAGAAGCACACACACCAAATAACTGGAAGGATCCTTTCGACGCTACTGAAGAAGGTCCAAGCTATTGTGCAGTAAATTTTATGACAGGAGAAAAAGAAGGCCAAGAGAATGCTGGAACCATCAACGTCTACACAAGAAACACAAAACCTGAAAAACTTTATCCTGTCATGATTTGGGTAAAAAATAATTTCAGACACCAAAAATTGTTTTTGACTTCATTTACTTTGGTCAGGTGCATGGAGGTGGATTCAACAAAGGTTCAAGTCAGACTGACCTTTATCAACCCGATTACCTTCTCGAGAAAAATGTCGTCTTTGTATCATTTAATTATCGTTTGGGTGCATTTGGATTTTTAAGTTTCGATGATCCAAAGCTGGAAGTTCCTGGAAACGTCGGTCTCAAGGATCAAGTTTTGGCTTTGAAATGGGTCAAAGAAAATATTGAGAAGTTTGGTGGTGATCCGAAGCAATGTACAATCTTTGGTGAATCTGTAAGACGTTTGAACTTCTCATTTGAAAATAATTTGATAAATTTCACTTTCATTATAAAGGCTGGCGGTGCTTGTGTACATTACTTGACAATCACTAAGCAAACTGAAGGTCTTTTTCAACGTGCAATTATCATGTCAGGTTCAGTGATGAACAAAACATGGAGTTTCGCAAACAGAGATAAACGTGCTGAACGTTTGGCAAGAATTCTTGGGTGGAAAGGAAAATCTGGGAAAGATCGCGAAGTTCTGGAATTTCTAGAGAATGTTCCAGCTTTTGAACTTGTTGATGCTTCTGAAACTTTGATGAGCGATGAAGACATATTTGGATATGGAAAGTTGGTTCCATTTTCTCCAGTCATTGAACCATATGAAACAGAAAATTGTGTAATTGATAAAGAACCTCTTGAGATGGCACGCGAAGCTTGGACAAATAAAATTGATGTCGTTATCATGGGAGCATCATTTGAAGGTTTATTACGAAACCATGTTGACGAGGTAAAAGTTGCAGAATTTCTGAAAAATCCGAGTTTCTTCGCACCTTTAACTGACCTTGGTTTGAAGTCGAATGAAGATAAAGCAATTGAACTTGGAACAAAGATTAAACAACTTTATTATGAAGAAGGTTTGGAACCTTCAAAAGAAACCCACGAACAATACTTGCGAGTAAGTTTTTCGATATTAAAACTTTTAGAATTTAATTTAATTTTAATTTTTTATAGTTCTGCTCTGACTTTCATTTCTGGCACGGTCTTCATCGTCTTGTTCAATCACGAAATGCTTTTGCAAGTGGAAAAACTTATTTACTTCGGTTTGACGTCGATGCGAAATTTAACATGTTCAAAGCACTTAAAAAAGCAGAGAAATTCAAAGGTGCATGTCATGCTGACGATTTATTTTATCTGTTTGCAACGAAATATAATGACAAACCAGCAGTTGACTCTAAAGAATATGAAACGATTATGAGAATCGTTGGGATGTTCACGAGTTTTGCAATCAAAGGTGATGTGAATTGTAAAGAAGTTGGGGATGTTGAAATTAAGCCTTATGACGGTTCTTATCCACCCAAATGCTTCAATATAACTGAGAATGAAGTTAAAGAGATTGACCACCCTGATGGAGATAAATTTTTGATTTGGGATATCGTGTATGAGACTCAAGGTGTTCCACTTTATTAGAAATTATAAATGACATTAAAATTGTCGAAACTTTTTAATAAACACAAATAATCAGAAAATTTTTGTTTACACTTTTTCGACTTTACTCGCTTCGCCTTATCAATAATTTTTGGAAAGTTGATAAACATTTTTCGTTGATATTGGTTTAAAAATACATTCAATCGTGGTTCCTTCTCACTTGACATAACTTTTAAAAGATTAAAACATTCTACGAATTTATCAGTGCGTTTCCAGAAGTTCTGACCTTGATTTGAAACTGTACATGAGTAGAATAATATTTAATTTAACAACAATGAGATTTTAATAGCAATAAATTCAATCGTAATGTGAAAAGCAAAGTCACTTCCTATACTTAAAATTTGAAATTATAGAAACAATAAAACACAAAGTCAATAATGCTCATTTACATTTAGAAACTTCATCAAAACGATCAAATCGGGAAATCTGATTTAAAATGATTTTCAAATCTTTCTTTATGTTGGTTTTGATTTTATTTGTCGATGCAGAAATTCATTCGGGAAGTGAATACGACATGGTGGAAAAGCTTTTTGGAGACATTACATCGAAATGTAAAGGAATAGAAAATGCGACAGATGAAGACGTCGCTTTCATGTTTGTTGAAGACGATTCATGGCCCGAAACTTATCAGGGAAAATGTTTCATTGATTGCTTCTTTGAGGAAATTGGAATTGTAAGTTTTGAGTAAAGTTTAACATAATTTAAACCATTTAAATATTTTTTAAATTTCAGTTCAAGAATCATAAATTTCACAAGCGTGGATTTCTCACGACTGTCTTAATGATTGCTGACATTGATGACGATGAAAGCGTTGAAATCGAGAAACTCGGAGACATGATTAAAACAATAAACAAAGAATGCGGCGCAACGACCCATGCTGACAGATGTGAAAATGCTTTGGACTTTGCTAAATGTTGTTATCATATTTTTGAACATGAATTTAACGATGACAGCAATGAAGTTGATGCAGTAAAGGAATGAAGAATTGTAAAATATTTTGTTAAGAAAAAGGAAATTAAATTTCTGAATAAAAATAATAAATTTATTCGTTTTATGCAAAAAAATTCTTAATTTGTATTTTGTTGTATGATTAAATTAACAATTAAGAAAAAATTGGTACAGTCGTCGCTCTATAAGCGGAAACTCTATGAAAAGAAAAGCCCCAGCGAACCTCCATTCAGCCGCATTTATACTTCGAAGCCATTCTATGAGCAGAAAAGCTCCCCTTCATGGTTCGTTCAGCTTCCGCTTATAGAGTTTTCACTGTAATTTTTTTGATTTATGTACGTTTAATGGCCTTAGAATTGTTCATATTTGCTTTTAAATTTTCCATCTCTTCCAAAAATGATTGAATCACTGCAAGAAATCTGAAAACTTTCCATCAGTGTTTTAAAAAAAAATTCTACTACGAGAAACAGAAAATTTTCTCTAAATCTAAAACCATAATTAAAACTTGATGACAGCTCTTCACAGGAATTCGAATTGGAATGATTTGTTGACATTTGTAATTACTGCTTTCATAATTCAATCATATTTGCATATTACTTTAAAAGTTCTAATTAAAATGTTCCAAAGGTGTGAAAGCTTTTGATGGCGTGTGTTAGCCATCACTGACTTCCTTTTCATTATCGTATTTAAATTGATTGAATTTCGTTAATTTATTCATTAAGTGTATGAAATTTATTGTGTCAACAGTTGTTCAAGATGATGTTTCTTCACTTAATTATTTTGGGATTAATTTGTGTGACAGAAATTTCAGCAGTTGCTGAAGACACGCTTAAAGAAATATTCTTGTCGATGATTAACGATTGTCAGATTCAAGAGAAAGGGACTCGTGATGATTCTGTGTCGGTGCTTGCTGGTAAAATAGAAACTCCTGAAGCCAAATGCTTGGTCACTTGCATTTATGAAACACTTGGAATTGTAAGTTAATTAAATTTACGATCGATGAAATTAAAATATTATAAATTATGACATCAAATTAGCTCTCAAAAGGTGTAGTGAAAAAGCCTTCATTCATGCAAGCTGGCAAGATGATTTTCAAAGGCGACCCCGAAAAAATGAAAATTGTTAGCAAAACTGTTGACACTTGCAAATCAATCGCCGGTGAACGTTGCCAACAAGGAGCAAATTTTCACAAATGCGTTGTTGATACTTATGCTGCTAATGGAGTCGTTTTGCCTACTTATACATTAGATTAATTTACAAATTGGTTCACACATACTGGATAAGCTGTCATCATTGATAAAGATTTATTTCATTTATCACAATTAAATTTAAATAATCTTAAACATTTCTCAAGAATAAACTTGTTGATAATTACAATTGAAATCAAACGCTGTAATTAATTATTTAATTTTTCCAAGAGAAGAAATAAAACGTGAAAGCTTTGATGATCATGTATAATCAACTAACACTGACTTCCTTTTCATGATCGTATTTAAGATGATTCCATTTCGTTGATTCATTCATTACGTGATTAAGATTTCTTGTACTAACAGATGTTAGACATGAGAGTCGTGCAATTGTTTATTCTGAGTGCTATTTGCCTATACAAAGTTTCAGCAGTATCTCAAGATAATGTGAAAGAAATATTCATGTCGATGTTGACCGATTGTAAAGTTCAAGAGAATGGAACTGATGACGATATGGCTGGGGTACTTGTTGTTAATTTTAAAGCTCCTACAGTCAAATGCATGGTTGCATGCATGTATGAATCATTTGGAATTGTAAGTCTGCTAATCTCATGTTACTTAACTTCTAATGAAGATTGATTTATAGCTGAAGAAAGGCACATTCAAGAAGAACGCGTTTATGCAAGGTTCAAAGACGATTTTCCAAGGAGATCCTGAGAAAATGAGAATATCTGCCATTGTAGCAGACAAATGCAATGGAATATCGGGAGAGCGCTGTGAACAGGCAACAAATTTATTTTTATGTGTTCATAATAGTTACAGTGCTAATGGAGTCAACTTAGCTGAATATGTCGTTTGATAAAATATAAAATCGAAGTGAAATATTCAAATTGCTTGTCCATTTAGAAACGAATCGAATTTTATTTCACAAAAATCTTAAAATTTTAATTCGTGCTGTGAAAATTCTCAATGATTGGTTGCAATGTGTAAAGTTTGATCTATTCATGACTTCAATTCTGTTCTTCTGTTGAGCTTCTCTATTAATCTATTCACAAGCAGTGCTATGACAATTATGTAATTAATTAATTGCTTCTCTCAATTACTATTTTAATTAAACAATGAATCTATTAAATTGTTCGGTTAGCTTTTAGTTCCCCAAGGAAAGCAACATTTAAATAAAATTATCAAAAGTAAACGTAAAAATCGTACAAATTGGTTCAATTAAAATTTGGAACGTCTTACAAAGCTCCCAAAAGAATGTTTAAAAATGTATAAGCTTGCTTGACGACATCTGCATAGGTTTGCAAGTTCAATGGCTTAACACCAAGCACTGAATATTCCTTTCTACGTTGTGCCATCATCAGCATGAAAAGAATTTTCTTCTTTGACTTGACACTTTCAATTTCGTACCATTTGGAACAATAAAGAGATTCTTGAAACTTCTCGCACTAGTAAAAAGAAAGAAATTTTAAGTAGAAAATATAAATATGTATTGAAAATAATCAAAGCCCACCATAGTTGATAAAATATTTCCAAGAAAGCAATAATAAAAGAATTGAAATGCTCCTGACATGACAATCATCAGAGGTAAAATGTCAAATTTACTTTTCCGGTTAAAAGCAGAGCAAACCAATAATCCAAATGTTGTAAAAAGTTGATGAAAGCAGATGGGATTGAATATTTTGGCAGATATTTCAATTAACTCAAGAACATGTAAATGTTTGTTAACCAGATCAGAAATACTTTTTTCATCAGTTTTTCCGTCAATTTTCATTGCATCAAAACAACAAACAGACATTTTCGCCACACAATGGAATGTCACTAAGTAAAAGAAAGACTCGTAACCTGGGAAAATTATTTCAACTTTAAATAATTAATGAGTTAAAATCAAATTTACCAACAAGAACGATGAGTGTCACAACTTGCCAAGAAAACATCATGAAGAGATTTATTTCATGTGATGGATGTTCGTCTGGCCTTTGAAACGAGAAATCTTTTATTAGATTATTTTTAACTTGCTTTAGTTAATTATCAGCAATTACTTACAAAGTCCAAGGCATTTGCATCCGAATCATCATAACCATCTGACGAATGAAGATTAATTCCCACATCAATGCTAACACTATAGTGAAGAAATAAATTGATGCCGTAGCAACAATCAAAACTCTTGTGAACTTTCGATATCTCCTTTCAATTTTCATTTCTTCCTTCGTTGTCTTTGCGGCATCTTGCAAAATCTTTGCTTTTAAAACTTTTACAGAGTCAAGTCTCGTACAAAACGAAACAGTTTTCATGAAAATCTGTTGAATGTAGATTAAATTTCATTTGTTGGATATTTCCCATATTAAACTATTGCCTGAAAAAATATGAAAGCTCCAGTAATCGCTGTGAAGAGTTTCGTTCTATCATCTACAAAGTCAACAAAAATGTTCTTGACATGAACAATCGACCAAAATGAGAAATAAATTCCGGCTTGAATTAAAAACTTTCTCGTAATATTTTCACTTCCACCGAAGAAGTCAAGAGCTAAAGCAATAATTAATAAATTTAATCATTTAATCTTCAAATAACATAAATTTATGCTCACAAAAAATTTTGAAAAGATTTTGAATAAAATTAAATTCAATCTTGAAATTTAATTCGCCCTTAAAAAAATCCATAATTAAATTAACTTCTGGGAAATTTTCTTTTAGATTTGTCGAGCAAACTTAACTCGCTAAACTGTTCACTGACACTTTAAAAATCAAAATGAACATAAAGTGTTAAATTTTTTTAATAGTTTTAAAAATCAATACCTTTTGATGTCTTCATATTATTTTATTAATTATTCAACAGCATAGACGTAATTATAAGTGATATCATTAATTAAAGAATGTATGAGAGGGGAGATAAAGTGACTTCACGTGGAACTTCAACTGATACTTTGTAAGGGTCTGAGTTCAATCATGTATTTATCAACCCCACAACATTGCAAATCAGCAAGTTAAGCAATTTAAACAGTCGTTCATTGCTATCATCTAAAAAAATTACAAATCTTCTTAAATTAAGAAACAGAATGAACAACGGTCTAGAAATGCTAGAACAAAACTTTAATGAATACCAAATCAGGCTTGATCAATCCAAAACAGAATCAATTTCATTAACAATTCGTAATTCCCACGTTTTGAAAATCGTTGGTGACATTGAAAAGTTCTCTTAAAGAAGAACATTTTAATTAGGAATTAAGAAGAAAATGAAAAAGTTTTTCACGAACATGTCAACAAATTTTCATAATCAAATTTCCAAACACTTTTCTTAAAGAAAGTTTTTTAAACTAAAATGTTTATAAATAGGAAGTTGTGACTGATTAAATATTTCTAAACCGTTTTTAATTGCTGAGAATCACAAAGAATCAAAGTCACATTAATTATAGGGAATCAAATGAGAATTTATTATCAAATTATGTAATTATAATCTGATGGTTTAAGCATTTTCTTGATAGTTATCATAAAAATATTTAATTAACTTCATCTTTACTAAGTAATTAAATGTTTCTTCTCAAGATTAGTTTCAAATATTCTTCGTCATTGTCTTTAATTGTTTTAAGAGTATTTAAATGATGTTCAGGTGCGTTTTAATTCAGTTCGTTAATTAGTGTTGAACGTTGTGTTTCGAACATGAGATCAATCTTTCTAATTGTTTGCTTATCATTGATAACAGTGCAAGTTTTTGCACTTTCAGCTCATAAGAAGAGAGCTTTTCTTGAAGCCGTTATGAAGGAATGTAAGCTTGAAGAAAATGGAAGTGACGCTGATTATGAGTCGATAATGGCTGAGAAATTAAGTGAAACTGGTCCAGGAAAGTGCATGATGGCTTGTGGATATGAAGTTGTTGGACTTGTGAGTTTAAAAATAGTTAAAAGATTTTATCAAAGTTCTAATCACGTTTAAAAATTAATTAGTTTGATCAAGGAGCTTTTAATCGTGGAGCTTTTCTTCACATTGCAAGAATTATCGTCGATAATGATGAAACAAAATTAAAGGAAGCTCCAGGCATTGCTGATGAGTGTGGAAAAATTACTGGCGAACGTTGTCAACAAGCTTACGACTTCAGCAAATGTTTACATGATTATGTGAAGAAAACAAACGCTGATGTTCATCTTTTCTAAGAAGTTGGAATCATCGATGAACGCCAACGCCCAGGAAGACTCTCGCTACATTATTTAAAAGCTCATAATTATGTCTGAATAACTAACTGAGATATCAAAATAATTTGCTGACGAAAATGATATTTTACTTTTAATTAAAGTTATTGAAATTAATCATCAAGCTTTATGAATTTATCATCAACATGAGATGTTTTTTAGTATAATTATTTGAATTTTCAGTCTATGGTTTCATCTCAAAATTCCGTCAATTTATTTAAAATGAAAAATTCTTGTGAAAAGTTTTGACATGTCAAAACACATAAAATTAAAAATTAATTCATTAAAATATTACTAGGTAGGTGTTGATAAAAGTTGTTTTCAGAGATATCAAACAATGATTCATATCTGAACGGTAATGATGTGGAAAATTTTATTAATGAGACTTTGACAAGCTTCAGAAATTCTCTATTTAAGCTGAACGTCAATCCATATGTGAAGCATTCAATTCGAAAAATCTTTTTAAAATTGACTCAGTAATTGATGAATTGCAAGTTAAGCATGAAGATATTAAAATATGTCGCTCTGTTGCTGATGATTTGTGGTGTGACTTTTGTCAAATCCGACGATAGGGAAGAAAAAAAGAAAATGGCTAAAGAAATGATGTTTGCAATGTCAGAAGATTGCAGAGAACAAGAAGGAGCAACAGAAGCTGATTTAGACGTTTTATTAGAAAACAAAAATCCAACTACAAAATCTGGAAGATGTTTAGTCGCATGCTTGCAGGAGCAGTTTGGTGTTGTAAGCTAAAAATGAATTTATTTTTGTTTTCTTAATTGTAAAAATTAATTTCTTTCGTTGTTAGGTTGATAATCTCAAATTTGTCCCAGAAGCATTTGTTTCAGTGTCCGCCATGGCAATTAAAGAAGACGAAGAGAAAATGAAGCTAGTTAAAGAAGTCGCACAAGAATGCAAAGATGTTACAGACGTGGATCGTTGTGAACTTGCCATGAAGATTTCAGACTGTTTGAGAAATGCTCTTAAGAAGCGAAACGTCGAGTTTTAATAATCTATGAACACAACAGCAAAACATAATTTGGTTCCCCAGCATATAATTTTAATAATGTGACAATGAAATTGTTTATTTGAGATCACATAATAAATATTTTTAATCACCGTTACCCACGTGGCTTCATTGTTATTTTAAATTTTCATTATTCAGATTAAAACATCGAGATTAATTAAAAACATCGTTTTAGTTTATGATTTTTGGCACAAGATTAAAACTTAACTTCCATTAGTTATCAAAAATTAAAGTGAAATTAAATTCATCGTGACTTTTTTGATAATTTACTTAGCATCAATGGATGAATTAAAATCAGGGAATGTAAAATAAAAGCAAAAGCTTCTGATGATGATATCAATAAAGTGTTTGGTGGATCTGTTCCTGAAACAAAGGAAGGAAGTGTTTTTTTGCTTGTTTAGGAAAAGTTTATGGAATGTTTGCAGGCACTGACAACAACATAAAATTGAGTAAAAAAATGTGCATTATGATTGCATGTTATGTGAATAAAATATAAAAAAAATGAAAATAAAATTCATGAAAAGATCGCCGATGTTTGTTTTAACATCAACTGATGAACATCGTTGTGAAAGTGCAGGAAAGATTGGGAAATGTCTTGAAGAGAACATAAAAGAATTCAACATGACATTTAAACTACATATAAAAACTTCGAACAATTCACAATTAATAAAAATATTTAATTATATTTCAATTGTTGTTTTATTCATTAAAAAATTACGATTAACATTAAATTTATGACATTTTACATTTATAAATCGTTTTCATTCTTATCATTGTCATTGTCATCATCATAAAATTCATTATTTTTATCAATTAGATTATCAATATCCGATTGACTCATTCTCACATCCGCATCCGGTTCATCGATGTTTCTGTCTTTCTCGTCAGGTAAAGCATCGGCTGGTATGTCGAACATTTGAACTGATGGACTGTGCTGGCACATTTTGAGAATGTCATATGTGTGTTTTGTGATCGCTTCGAGATATTGCTTCGAATTAGCATTTTCTATGCGTGATGGGATGTCTGGATGTAAAACCTGATCAAGAAGTTTAAAATTTAGAAAAGAAAATTAAACGGAAAGATAATTTATGATACTTACAAAGTCTGGTTTAAAGAATTCAATGTAGAGATTCATCGGAATGTCATTTGAGATTTGTTCATCGACACACAAAGACGTTTCATATGTCCAACAACGAGCTACATTTCTCAACGTGTAGCCACCACCGCCAAGTATCAACGTTGGGACATTTAACTCTTTAACAAACTTCACACAATCACCATGACCACGAGTTGACAATGAAAAACATCCAAGACGATCTCCAGCTAACGAATCAGCTCCACATTGAAGCACAATGACTGTTGGGCGATAATAATCCATCACTGATTGAATGACAGGTTTGAAGACTTGAAAGTAACTTTGATCGTCGATTCCTTCTTTAAATGGAACATTCACTGAGTAGTATCGACCTGATTCAGCGCCAATTTCATACATCGATCCAGTTCCAGGAAAGAATTTGTCACCATATTTATGAAAACTGACAGTCATCACACGGTCTGTTAAGTAGAAAGCCTCTTGGACACCATCTCCATGATGCACATCAATGTCAATGTAAAGGACTCGAGGATGATATTTCAGCAGCTCCAAAATACTGATGACAATGTCGTTAACATAACAAAATCCTGACGGCTCATATTTCTTTGCATGATGTAATCCACCACTCCAATTAATGCAAATATCACTTTGATTATGATTAAGCTTTTGTGCTCCTTCAAGACTTGCTCCAGTGTACATTGAACAGAATTGAAATAATCCATCGAAGATGGGACAATCGTCTCCTAAATTAAAATTTTTATGATCTTGAAGTGAAACTGTTCCAGGAAGTGTTTTTTGAAGGAAGTCGATGTAATCTGCATCATGAAATCGACACATGTCTTGAGCTGTAGCTCTAAAAATTAAAATAAATTTCCATGAAGTTGTGAAAAATGAAAACAAAACAGAAAACTTACTGATATGGACGATAAATTTGCATCTTTTTATGTAAGCCGTAATTCATAACGAGATGGTGAATTACACTTAATCTATGAGGTTTCATTGGATGTCCAGGTCTAGAAAAAGAATATTTTTTATTTACATTAAAAAAATGCTCCGAAAATTTAAACCGGAATTTTATTTTCTTACCCATAATGGAAGTTTCCAACATCTCCATTAAAAGCGTACGATACCTTTCTGGTACACATTATATTTCTGAATGATCTCTATGACTTTTACTTAATAGATATTTTGATATAAAGCAATTTAAATTTATTTTTTTAAATTTAAAAAAAATTTTCCTCTGTTCATTTCACCTTGTTCACTTTATTTGATTCCTTCCAAGTAATTTCACACTCTCTACCTGAAACTCAAAGCACTTTGAGTTGTCTTTTGTCCGAGAACGTTTCAGTGGCGGCGCTACGATCGATTATCTCGCACGGAGAAATTATCACGCACGGAGAAATTTTTTGAGGGTATTTTGTATGGGAGGTCAAATCCGCGCGAACCGTCGGAAATTAGACATAATAAACATGGACAAACTGGGCATTTTGTATGGAAGGTCA